ATAGTTTGTTGAATATTTTCTTAAAAATAATGAGGTATAATGAGTTGATTTATCTTTTGATTTAAGTTAGCGATTAATTATTCTGTAGAAATTCACAGCCAAAAAGACTTTAGAACTGTATAATTTAAGGGCGATATGAACTAGAATTTATGATTATAGTTTTGAATATTTGATATTTAAAATTTGGAAGCATGATAAGGATTGAAACTTTTAAAATTAAAAATAAAAACTTATTCTTCATATCTATTTAATATATAAAGGATTTGTATAGAAGATTTTCCAGGAAGAAACATTAACATAAAATTAGTATCATTAAAAAAAATCTATCACAATTTGTGAATAATCAATCCTAAATAAATCACTATCGATTTTTCACTATAAAAATGATGATTTAAATTAATCGATAACTAGGTGTTTATTGTATAATATATTAATAATTCTTACTAATTTATATTCGCAAGTTCTACATATTATTGAATATTAATAATGACTATTATTCATCTAACAATGGTTTGGATATTTAACATGAATATAACAATAGATGAATCGTCATTTCAGTAATATTAAATTTTGGTAAAGAGATAGATGGCAGGCATCTAAATTATAGTACATAGGTGAATTCTCTAAAGGGTAAGAGTCTTATAATATTTCATTAAGGCAAAATAAAAAAGATAATATCTTATAAATATATAGTTTCTTAATTATATTATAAAAATTAATTGAATAATAAAACATGTATTAAGATATACATTGATCATAATTTATCAATAATAGCTTTGGTATAATCTGTGGTTGTACTTTTGCCACCAAGATCACCAGTCAAAAATTTGCCTTCTTCTAATACTTAGTATGTAGCATTTTCGATTCTATTAGCATAATCATTTAGTCTCATAGCTTTTAACATCTATTTTATTAAATGTTTATTCATACCATAATTCCTGATAATAGTAGTGCAGTTGGATTTGCAAGATTTTTCCCTGCAATATCAGGTGCAGTTCCATGAACAGCTTCATATACTTCGCAATCTTTTCCAATATTTCCTGATGCTGTCAATCCTAATCCTCCAATCAAACCTGCACAAAGATCTGAGACAATATCACCATAAAGATTAGGCATGACCATAACATCAATTTTGGTAGGATCATTTGCTAATTTAAAAGCCATAGTATCAATTTATTCTTCACTAAATTCAATTTCTGGATAATTTTTTGCAACATCATCACAAACTTTCAAAAATAGTCCATCTCCTTGTTTCATAACACCTGCTTTGTGACATGCAACTACTTATTTTCTATCTATAATTATTATATATTAAATACTGTTTGCTCTTGCATATTCGAATGCATATTATGCAATATTTTAACAAGCATTATAAGAGACTATTTTGAGATTCTCAACTACTCCAGGAACGACTTCATGTTCTAAACCACTATATTCTCCTTCAGTGTTTTCTCTGATAGTTACAACATCAACTCCTGGATATGGAGTTTTAACTCCTTTAATGGATTTACATGGTCTAACATTAGCAAATAATTATAATCTCTTTCTTAAGGTAACATTTATTGATCTATATCCCTTTCCGATAGGGGTTTCGAATGGTCCTGATGAATTTAAGGGTAATAATACCTTTTAATGCATATTTCAAGGCTTTCACTTATTTAAGAGTTTCTTCTGTGATTAAATCACCTTATTCAGTCACTCTTTTTTTGTGAATCTCATGAAATTCCCATTCAATTGGCACTTTTGCAGAATCAAATATATCGATTACAGCTTTAGAAATTTCAGGGCCTATTCCATCTCCTGGGAATAGAATAACTTTTTAATAATTGAATTATGGTCTCAAAATAGTAGTGGATGCTTTTCTTATAATATTCATCTTAAATAAATAAATAAATTATATTTATTAGATTTAATTAATCCTTAAATACTTAAATTAGATATGCATATTTATTTTATAATAATTATTTTATTATCAAATAATATTCATTATCATTATTACGTATTTTTATTATAAAATTATATTAAATGTTTATTTACTACATTCATCTAATTAATAAAGTTTACATTATTAGTAAGTAGATTAAATTGAAAATTTTAAAAGAAAAAAGAGTGATTTTAAATCAAAAATTATTATAGTAATATTTTTATAAATAGTTACACTTATAAAAATGAAATAAGTTAATAAGCATAGATGATAATAATTAAATGTTGTTTAATAAATGAAATAATGCAATATATCTATCAAAGATATCATCTTCCTGACCATGATGCAACTTATTTCTTGAACATTATGATTACTTCATCCAATATGGCATTCTCTTCATTTCTTTTAGCTTTTGCTTCTTCATAATCAGCTCTCTTTGCTTCCAAATCAGCTTAAGCTTAATCTAATGCATCTTATGATTCTTATAATATAATCTTAGATTTAGCTTATTAAGCTAAGGCAGCTTATATTTACTATAGATTAATAAGAAAATAATATTACAGTAGCAGTTCTATCAGCAAATACTTATTTTCTTTCATATTCAACTTCCAAGGATGCAATTTCAGCTTCAGATAATGAAACCCAACCAGCTAATTCCCATGAGGCATTGATTTCATTTTATTTCAAATTTTCTAATGATGCCTCTAATTCAGAATGTAAACCTTCCAAGACTGCCAAGACTTTTTCAGCCAAAGTTGATCCATTTCCTGATGATTATTCCTAATTATTTATTTTAATAGAGATTACTTATTATTCTTAACCTAAAGCCAAGAATGTTTTGATTTAATGTTCTTAGAACAAATTGCTATATTATTTCAATTTTTCAGCTACAGATTAAGCTTAAACTTATGTAAATTCAAATGAATCTCCATTAATAATATAACCAGCAACGTCTTATTTCAAAAGTTTGATAACTTCAAGGGCTTCTTAATTATGTTTGATAGATTTGACGAATAACTAGTTGCTGAAACATTAATTGTCTTAAAGTGTTTCAATTTTAGCAGCAATAGAGTCTCTTCTGGCTTCATTCCATGCCAAATAGTTTTTGGTTTGTTACAAAACACTTTCATATTCAGCTCTATTCTCAACTGCTTATTGGAATAACTTCTAGTTCAAAGCCTTGATTTTAGAAAATTATTCAATTGTTCTAAAGATTTGTAATATATTATTACTATGCACCAATCCATTCATCTGTTTCATTCTTTTGATCAGCTGCAAATTAAGCATCAATGTTTGATTATTTCAAATCATTCAACAATCCAAAGACTGTGTCTATAGCATCACTTGCTTTTGTTCCTGTCTATTTAATAAATATCACTATTTACTTATAAGAGGGCCAAAATTTAGTCTTAAGTTTTTGATGCTGAGCTTGTAGCTGCTAAGGCCAACAAAACAATCATGATGTATTTCATTTCTGATAAACTTAATAATGAAAAACGATTTATATTAAAAACGAATTTCTAGTATATTGATTATAATAATAATAATTTTATTTCAATTATCATAAGAACTATGTTTGTAATTGTTAATGGTTTCTTAAAAAATAATTATTTATGATATTAATTATTAATTCAATAAATTTAATTCTTATATATCAGCATTAAACTATTGATTATTATAATTACATCTTTCTCTAATAAATTATTTTAATTGTTTATGAATTAATTATTATTTATTTTATTACATTTATTCCATTAAGTACATATCCTAATTAAGTCTGTTCTAGTCAAGCTTTTAGTTCTAATATACTTATATTAAAAAGTATTGCAAATATTAAAAAAATTATAGGTTAGTAGTTTAATTATCAGTCAAGTACTTCATTATAAACTGTATGAATTCAATAAGAAATGATGACTCTAAACTTCAAGTTGATCTAGATTTGATCAATCCGAATTCCATATATATCTTTGTAATAACAATCTACTAAAAACGCGTTGTCACCAAACTTTGTAATTAGATTATTGGATAATTTTTACTAAACTTGATAATCATAAGATACTTGTATTAATCTATATTATTATTAATTTATAATATTTTAGAGCATAATCCTAAATCAATTCATTACCAATGATAATAGATAACTAATTATTTTTGAAATTTAGCCAAGAATCTGAATATCCTTTAATATTTTTATTGACTCTTTAAGACATTTTGAATCTTTTGACAATATATCTATTTATTCAAATACTTTATATAATTCTAGTTGATTGCTATTAATAATTATTTTGTAAACTAAAAGTTGTAAATTATTCACAATGAATATTTTGTTTTATTAATTAGTTATTTATGGAGTATGACATTAGAATTAACATTTTTTAACCTAAAATTATTCGATCTAATTTATTAAAGCAAATATATTATTGGTAGTTCATCTTATTTCTATATGAATTTAAATAACTTAATAAATAATTTTAATAAAATTTATAGATATTAATATTTTTTGTGATATATGAAATTTAATAATCATATATTAAATGTTAAGATAAATTATTTAGCATTCTTTCCCTTTTTCTACCTTAAAATATTAGTTATTTCATGTGGATAAGCTCTCTCATTGGCATTCCCCTTTCTATAGAAAAATACATAATCATGAGTAAAAGCAATATCTGTTTTTGGACATCTCTCTACTTAAACAACAATTCCTGATAATTAAGACTTAATTCCATTTTAGTCTATTAATGGATGTATTTTAGCCTATTTTTAATAGTTTATAAAAATACTTTAATTAATGATTAAAATCCAGGAGGATATATATGATCCTTAAGTAAAGAAATAATGGTTTATTATATTTCTTGTTTTGTATTGGGTACTAACAATCCTTTGATCTTCATATCTTAACCTAATCCAATCAAACAAATTCCACCATCACTATTTAACATAGCACACACAGTTTCTCCAAAGGCTCTTGGATTCTACTTTAGATTATCTAATGTTGCATAATCGAAACCAGTAACTTTAGGAGATGCTGTAATTGGCTACCCTATTTGCGGCATCAAATCTAAATGAACTTATATTTTTTCATTTCCTCTTTAATGTTAATTAGCAACTTAAGCTATTGTAATATTTGGAGGAAGCAATTCAGCCTAAAAATAGCATATATAAATAACCTTTACGAATTAATTTTTAGATTGACCTGGTTTTATCTTTAATCCTCTTACAGCATTATAATTTATTAATGCTTATGAACAAGCATTTCTCACTAAAGTATCAACATATTGGTTATCATCTATTGTTACTGTTACAGGGAAATTATTAAATAATGCCCAAGCATTCACAACAAATTATACCTCTAGTGATGATTACGTAATATTTTACATCTCAATTATGGCTATGGTTAATAACCAGGTTATGGAGGGTATCCGGTTTACGGAGGGTATCCAGTTTATGGAGGGTATCCAGTTTATGGAGGGTATCCAGTTTATGGAGGGTATCCGGTTTACGGAGGATATCCCGCTTAAGGAGGATATCCAGGTTAGGGGGAATAATTTGCTTAAGGAGGATAACCAGGTTAAGGAGGATAATTTGGTTATGAAGTTTAACCTGGTTGTGGTGGATAACCAGGTTGTGGAGGATAATTTGGTTAACCTTATTATCCTGGATAACCAGGAGGTGGATATGGAGGTTGATTCATTAATTAAATTAATTCTTATTAAATATTAGATGTTATTAAAGAAAATTTTGTTAATATAGAAAATCTTTTTAGTTTATAGATTTCAAATAATTATTAACTTATTCTTAAAATCGTCTTATCCTTATGATGAAGACATGAAATTGGTAATCTGAAATATTCTAATTACTAAAATTACTCACTTTTAAAATATATATATTTATTATTTTTAGAATTCTTGTGAATTTCCAAGAATTTCATTTTTTTTAAATCCAGCTTTAACTTAAAAATAAGCATTTTATCTTTTTCATATATATACTTATTTTTGGAACCAATTTAATATATTGTTAGTCAGAAAATACTATTTCATAGTTTGATTAATAAGGAACAAAAATTTCCCTTTTTGGTTAATTTTCCATAAAGTATTAAAAATAAAATAGATATTATGAATATTTAACAAAAATTGCAATAAGAAGAGTAACCTAAACACGAAATTCAATATAATTTTCCTTTTCAAAGAAGTATTGGTAAAAAGGAAAAAAGAAATGATAAAATTAGAAACATATATAAATTTATGTGGTATGTAGATTATGATAATAGGTGATTTTTATGAAATTCAATGTTATACTATGGCTTTATAGTAAAGGAAGAATACCCCTAAATTTGAAATGTCTAATATTAGAAAAATTAAACAGTGATATGCAATATATTAATAAAGTTTAATTTTTTTTTGTTTAGAGAGGGATGTAAAATCACTGAATTTAATTAATTTTTTATTCACTATCATAAACTACAGGGTTAAAGTTTTGTAATAACATGAGTTTGAAAGTTTAATAAATAAATTATTTTTAATCTTCTACCTAAAATCGTATTGACCTGGAATGATCGATTTTAAATGTAATAAAGAAAATGGGAAGATTTTATTATTTATTTTATAAAACAACTAAATCTTGTCATCGATGAATCAAAACGATTTATTTCTCATTGAAGGACTAAAATTTTAGAAGGGTAACAAATAAGCTATCTTTTTGATTCCTTAAGGAAATGGTTTGAAGATGATTGTAATAATTAAATTGATTTAGAACACTCTTAATCATTCCTTGTTGTTAAATATTGACTTTTGTGATGAAGGAGTTATTTTCGATTGGAGTGCTTACATAAATAACAAGAATGATGAGAATCTATATTTCATAATACATTTTTATGGATAGTTATACAAAGTCTTTGGAACTCCAAATTAATTAGATTCTATGTACGAATTTTCTGCAGGAAAATTCATTTTTTTAAAGAATGACATTTACACTTTAGATACTATAAATGAGTCTATGTCTACATATCAAGTATATATATATTTTATTTATAGTTAAAGACAATAATTAATAGACTTAATGGTAAAAAATATATTGAAAAAAGAATTAATTAAATAGATTCATAATAAATATCCAATTCAAGTATCACAGATTTTGGATGTGAAAAAGTACCAGAAGAAATACGAATTATTTAATTATTAAATATACAACGATGTCCTTACATCATGAAAATAGATTAACTAACATTTGATGGGGAATGCTATTCAATTATTTATTAAAGTTAAACTTAAATATCACTAAGACAAATATTAAAAAAATATAAGAATCCTCCAGTATCTTTTATCATTGAAATATTAGAATAACTTCTTTTAGGTATTAATAAATAATTTAAATTTAGTTCTAAACATCTTTGAAGAGCTAAAAATAATTCATAATGGAATTACTTTAGACAATATATGTTATTCTTAAGAATTCAATTCAATATATATGTGTAATTTCTCTCATTCAATTTTTGAAACTCAAAATCAATCACTAATGTATTATTAATCTAAATTTTAGAAAAGGTAATTCTATTGGGTTTGTTCCACCAGAATAATATCAAATTAATTAACATATATCTACTTCAGCCAATATATACTAATTAGGAGTTCTATTATACTATATGTATGCATAACAATTCTAATTTAGGTTATTTAATGAAAACCCTTTTGGAAAGGATTAAAAAAATATATTATTAAATAATATTGCTGGAAAATATTAAATTCCAAATACAAAATAGGATAAGAATATTATTGAAATTATGAAATCAATGCTATAAAAGAATCCTTATAAAAGGAAAACATCAAAAGAATATTTGACATCAAAGATTTTTATGCCTTTATATAGATCAAAGATTTCAAAACATAGTTTCTTTTCATTTTTTTAAGACAATTTTAATTTAAAAATTGATGAATATGAAGTTGGGGAAGATCTTAATTTTATTTAGTGTGTGAAATCATTGTCAATACATAAAGGGATGAAGAAATGAACTGATTTATATTATGTGGTAGAATTATCATTATCAATTGAATTTATTTATTGCTTATAATATATATATATTGAAAATTAGCTATTAATTATATATATTTTATAATGAAAACAAATAGAGATAAATAAATGAATGAAATGAGATCAAAAATTAAGTAATCTCTATTTACTAAAAAAGAAATAATAAGCAAAAATGTAGAGAACTCTAAGATTGTTAAAAGATCAACAAGCAATACTTAATTAAATATTGAATCCTAAGCTAAAACAAACTAGAAATAAAAGCCTTGTATTTAGAATCGTTTTCATGATTTATACTAAATTGGTTCTATCATTGGTTAAGGTTCAAATGGAATTGTTAAAGTTTGCTACAAAAAAACTTCATCAAGTTAACTCTTGAATTTTGGTCATATTCCAACTAAATATGCTGTCAAAATAATACCTAATGCTGATGATCCAGAATTAATAAACACTATCACTTAAACTTTTATTATAAATAGAGAATTAAATACATTACCATAAATTATATAGGTTTTCGATCTATTTATAGATGAAAATGAAAAAGTTGCATACTTAGTTATGGAATATTGTGAATGGAAGAGTTTAGAATATTATCTTGACAAAAACTAACTGACTATTAAATAAATTAGAGAAATTATTAGAAATTTAGCTATATCTCTTAAATCTATACATAATAAAGGAATTTGTCATAGAGATATTAAACCAGATAATATTTTAGTGAAATTAAGTGATCAAACTGAAATTAAAATTATTGATTTTGGTGTATCCAAAAAGTTTTTTAAGAAAAATAAAAATGGTATCATCATACATGAAATGTGGACAAGAACAGGCACTATTTTATTTTAAGCACCTGAAATCTTTTTATGTGGAATTTATAATGAAAAAAGTAAATAATTAATATTTAATTTATAGTTGATATTTGGTCATGTGGAATTATTTTATATCAATTATTATGTCATAAATTTCCATTCTTGGCTGATACAATAATAGATACTATTGAAATTATTACTAATCCAAATTATAATCCTTGGAGATAATAAGAATTTTTAGATTTACATTATTTACAATAAGATTTATTAAAACGTACACTCACCAAGAATCCTAAAAATCGATTATCAGCAGAAGAGTTATTGTTACATCCATGGATTTCCATGAAAACTAATTAATACGATAAAACTATGGATGATACATAAATATCAAAAAAAAAATCTAAACTTCGTGATTTTAAAATTGCAACCTGTCTCTAATTAAGTGATATCTATAATCCTTATAAAAACTCAAGTCCGTTATATTTAAATCCAATGCAAAACGGTAACTCTATTAATGACAACAATAATATGAATCATGTTTACTTTAATAATAATAATAATAATAATAATAATAAGAATAAGTTTGACTATGGAAATTTTAAGATTAATGATTTTATTGTTAGAAGTAAGTAAATTTTGAGTGGGAAGAGTAGTTTTTTATTTGCAATAGAGAGTTCTTAAGATAATTCACCAAAAATGAATATTTAATAATCCGAATTATATTTAGATGATAAATAATCAGATGAAGTATTACAATATAGATTAGAATCTAGATTTTTAGATTATGAGTGCTAACATAGAAAATTTTCGAAATGAGTTAGATATTTTTTGTTTATTTTAATACAGAAAATAACTATTTATATATATAATAAGTCAAAAAATACATAATATATGAATTTAATCAATTATTTAACTTATTAATAAGTAATGTATAGGTATCTTTAACAGCAAGAAATTCAGTATTCTTATTAATATTTAATAATTTGTATGTTTAGAATTTTTTAAAAGGATTTGAAGTCTTATTCTAAATATTTTTAATAGGTAAAATCAATTTGGTTTCTCTTATTTTAGATTCTGATTTAGTGGTTTATCCAAAAATTTATTATTAAGGTTGAATGTTTTTAATTAATTTTTTTGGTAGTTATGGTGGAGTAGCAATCTATTAATTTTCAAATTCTTAATTAATTGATTAATCAAAGGATTGATGATGAATCTTAATTTAGGTTTATTTTTTGTTAGTTTATTTTTTAGATGAACAACAAAACATTACTTAATATTATTTATTAATTAGTATTAATTATACACAAAAAAAGGTATAATGATAATAAATTAAAAAATATGATTTATTTATATTTTTTATGGGATCACATATAACTTGCCAAGATTCCTTCCTTCCAAACTCCTGTAATAACTTATCCATTGATAGTTGTGTATGCTCCTTCTCCATCAATCATTCCATCATTAAATTTACCTTCAAACTTTTCACCATTAGTTAATTAAAGTGTTCCTTAACCATGCATTTTACCTTCAAAAAATTCACCTTATTTATTATATATATTTTATACCCTCATAACCTAACCAACCATTATCAATGCCACTAAGATCTTAATAATCAAATGGACCATCAATTTATTCAGCCTAGAAATTGATCAACTTACCTTAACCATGATATTAATTTTCATGCCAATATCCACTATAAACTTCATTATCATTTTAATCAGTTAGAACTCCAAAACCTTCTCTTGTTGCTGGTTCATAACCTTATCCTCTATAAATGTAACCATCTTCATACTATAAAGCTAAATCTTAAAATTATTAATCTTGATCATTATTCTCAGGACTAAAATAAATATATTAATATTTTTACTTTTCATATTATGGCTGTTGAGGTTATTGCTATTACTTTTAAGGTTAATATTAATTTTACTATGGATTCTAGTATCTTTAAACTAAATCTCTTGTTCTATCAATAGCATCTTAGAATTTCTTCTCTAAATCTTCATCTTTCTATGACAACTATTATGGTTTATATTATTATTGTTATTATGGCTATTATTATTATTCAGGTGGTCGATATTATGGTACTTATTAAGCTTTTGGTTATTATGGAACTTATTGAGGTGGTTGAACAACTTTGTTTTGAATTGGAGCTTAAGCCAATTATTAGATTGGAGCTTATGGTTAAGATTGAGCATATGGACGTGTTACTTGTTGTTATGGTTATTGATATTATTATGGTGGGTATTATTAAGGTTGAACAGTTCTTGGAGGTAGACTCTAAGGAGGCAATGGCTATCTATACTGTTAAACATTCTATGATAAAATTAACACTCTTACAGGTTGCTATGGATATGGTTGGGTTGGAGTTGGTCTCTAAGGACTTTGAGTATAGATAGGACCTTATGGATATACTTGTTAAGGAGCATAGGTTTAAGGTGGTTGTTATTATGGTGGATATCCAATTGTTTGTTATGGATAAGAGATCCTTTGTGGTTGAGGTGGTAATTGTTATTTAACTATTTAAGGTTGAGGATAACTGTATGGTTGGGGTGGACGATATCCCTAGAATTATTCAAAATAAATTCAAAATGTACCTATGGTATTGAAGGTGGATATTAGGGTTGAGGAGGGTATTATGGTCTTGTCTAAACTTAAGTGGGTGGAATATAGGTTTAAGGCTGAGGTTGTGGTCTTTGTGGTGATGCCATGTAAAAAGGCTATTGATATGCCATTTTATATATAAAATATTTTAAATATTAATTGATTTCTTGATTGCTTCAAACACTTTATAAATTATTTTGATTCATATTTTAAGTATATGGTATCTTATAAATGATTATATTTCTTTTTCTTATTGAATCTATTAAGAGGACAATAAAATTAAGTTATTAAAGTTAAATTAATAAATAATTAAATAAAATGATAACAGCAACAAGATCATTAAATGTTAGATTGCCATAATTAAGCATGAAGAATCTTGAGAAATCTAGAGAAAAGTCTAACAAACCTACAATTAGATCTATTAATAACGTTTATGATTATTCTAATTCTCCACCTAAAACAAGAACTGATAATATTTCAAGGGGTTCCCTTTCGACTCCTTTATAATATTGCAGATATTCCTGTTATAATATATGTAGAGTAGATTCCTCATTTAATGACTAAGAAATCTTTAGTGCTTAATAAAAAAGTGTTTAAAGAAATGAAAATAGCAAAAATATATATAGTGATTAAATAGAAAAATTGTCTTAAAGAATCAAAAACCTTAGCAAAACAAAAAAAAAAATGTAAGAATCGATTTCCTCAAAATAATATAAAAAAACTGAACCTTATATTCAAAAATAATCAGATAAATATTAACCTAAAAGTCCCAAACTGATTCTTAAAACTGAAGAAAAAAATGAAGAATTCAATAATGAATAAAAAAAATTAATATAAGAGAAAATGTAAGAAATTTATTCATAAGTATAATCAATATTAAAATCTCATAAAGGTTATGTTAGATAAATAGAAAAAAAGAATGTCTATATTTAATTAGTCTAATTAAAAAAGGAATTTAAACTTGTTAATTAAGATTATAATGAGTTTTATATTAATAATACTAATGAACAATTCAAATGTAATATATAATACGTCTATGATTAGTGGATTTTGAATTAGTCGATCGAATTGAATAATTAAAAAAATTATTTGAAAATAAGAGACCAACTAAACGTAATTGTGGTAGTCTTTTCGATGGAATGGATATATCTATAGTAATTCAAACAGAAGCTGATGAAAAACCTAATAATATTGATTTTAAAGAAATATCTGAAAAAGATTTTGAATAATCTTAAGATTAAATTGGATAATTTGCTGATTAAATGACAGATTGTTCACCAGCTAATAGCACTACTAGAAGAAGAACTACTAATTTGAATAAAAGATAAACAAAATAATATTCTATTTAACCAATCTAAATTTAATAAGAAATGAATTAATAACCTTAAATAAGTAGAAGAAAGAGTAGTGTAAAATCAATTAATAGTCCACTTACACCTAAAACTCCTGATTCTCCATCTACTATGACTTCTAGAAATAATAAATTTACAGCATAATAAATTCTTTAACAAAAATTGAAATTACCAGCTACTCCACCTAAAAAGTAAGATTAATAATAATTCTAAGAAGATTAAACTAATATTATAAAAAAAGAAATATAAAAAAGATAATCAAAACTCATTTCTCGTAAAACTACATTAGAAATATCAAAATAACCAAAATAAAATTCTAGATTAAATTCAAGAAATAGTTTGGTAGAAGTAACTGAACATTCTGAAAATGAATAAAAAATAAAATCTAATAATGATACTAATTAATAATAAATGAATAATGAAAATAAATAAGAAATTAATGATGTTTAATATATTTTAGATTAATTAGTAGATAATAAAGAATAAATAGCTATTTAAAATTAAACATAAATATTATAATAAAATTAAAATGTCTCAAAAAAAGAATAATAATAATAATAACATACTAAAAATTAAGATATTAAAGAATGCAAAATCATTTAAGAACTGTATTAATGTACATTTATATATGATCAAGATATTTTGAATAAACATAGAAAAAATAAACACAAAAATCAATGGTCTTAAGATATATTATCAATTATGTCTAACTATTATTAATTTTTTTGATTTATTTTTGTTTTATAAATTAATATTGAATTAGTTATATATAATAATAAATATATTTCCAAAATCAAAATCCATAATCAAAACATTCTCTTGTTTATTATCCATTTTTTATAATCTCTTACTTTTTACCTGCAAATGGTATTCTATGTAACCAATCTGCAGGAACTCCTTTATAATTCTTTGGATTTAGTTCAATAGGATCCAATTATTACAAATAATTAGCTGGTGGATTTCTAATGATTTATAAAATAATATTACTTATCATCAAAAGATTTAACTTCTTATAGATCATTTGTTATTTATTTCTTTTATTCTTATTTAGGTGATGATTTCAATAAAGAAGGATTAATTTCATTAACCTTACATGTAAGTCTATTTGCTTTTTCTTTTTTCTATTTTAATTCTTCAATAAATTTATTATTAGCCTTATCTGGAATAGCTAATTAATCATCTATTAATAATTTAGATTCTGATTAAATTTAAACTTTTTTATCTTATTTCTTTTTAGATTCTTTTGTTTTTTAATCATTACTAATCTTAGATTTATTATCATTATCTTTTTAAGATTTCTATGTACGATTATCAATAGCAGATTAAGGTCTTTTATCTCCTTTTTGTTTTCTTTATTATTTCTCTGATTTATTTTATATCTAAGATTCTCCTTAAACACTACCTGCTTCTGATGCAAATCTTAAAGTATTTGTTAAATCTGGTTTTTTAATATTAAATTCAGGAATTGTTGATTTCCCTTTTGAATCCAATTACTTTTTTAATTCTGAATATGGCGTAGGAGTCAATTGATTTCTTTATTTTTAAGCTTCCACTTATTCAGGATTTAATCTATCTTATTCTCTACAATTTCTTGGAGGTTCAGGTTCAACACTTGCAATTGCAGCTCCTTTTCTTAATGCATTTTAATATGTTTAGATATAGAATGGATCATTTTTATTTCTATGTGGTTAAACATTATGAGAAAGCATATGTTATCCATATACTATACCTCCAACAGCAGGATTTATATTATTGAATCCATAAGGACCCCAAGCAGGTTTACCAAAATAAGTAGTGAAAGCTGTATCTGCTATCCATCTAGTTTCTCCTTGAAATTTCTTAATTCTATCTTTTCTCCTTTATAATTTGGCTGCATCTTCAGGATTATTAGGATCTAATGTTTTAGCTTTCTTAATAAATTTAGTATTCATTTTTTTTTCTTGATCATCAACTTATTCATTATCTTATTCATCTTCTTCAGATGAGATTATTTCTTCTTCATCTTTTTTAGATTCTTCATAATAGAATCCACTAAATGGATGTTAAACTTTATATTCACCTTTAAAATTTTTATTATTTTATTCTAATTAATACATTAATTCATTTGTATCTTTTATATCTTTGACTAAGTAATTATCTCGATATGCTGTTTATATTTTAGGATTCCATTATACAGGTAATTTATATTGATTGTTTTAATCTTCTTATAATTGAATTTATGGATTAGGTTATGATTAAGGATTACGACAATCACAAGATTTTGCAATATTTTTAATAGTTTTTTCATCTAATTCTAAATAATTGTAAGAATGCTAATATACTTTATACAAGGATTTATGAATCTTCTACTTTTAATTTTTCAATTTTTCTGAAATTATCTTTATTTTCAGTTAACCAAGGTTAATTTTCATGATTAATTCTTGTTATTAATTTTTTAGTTTCAGGTTCTCTTTCAACTTATATTTTCTTTTTGAAATCCCAAGGTTCATCTTATTCAACTGGCCATTTCATAATATCAAACATATTAGGTTCTTAGTTTCTTGGTTTATTTTTTTTACCAAATATTTTATTATCATCTTGATTAATATAATAAATTACTTTCATAGACTTATTTTAAGACTTATTCTTTATTTTTCATATGACTGTTAAAATTGATGAGTAATAAATAAATTTAATTTTAATATTATTTTTCAAAACTACTGTTAAAAGGAAAATATTTCATATTTATTATTATTATTCAATATCATCACTTTATTCTTCTTGATATTGTTTAACTTATCTTTCAATTTATGATTATATTTATTATTCAACAGTTTCATCTTATCTAATTGTTTCAATTTAAGATTCTTCATTTACTTATGGAATTTCTGATAATTATTATTTAATTTATTGATCTTTTGATTTTTCTATTTCTTTTTATTATTAAACTTTATCTTTAATTTCATTTAATTTATCTATTTCATTATTTTCAATAGATTTAGCTTTTAAACTATAAATAATCCATTTATAATATATTTACTTAATAATAATTGGCTATAATTAAAATTATAATTATTGTTTTTCTTTCTTTTTTGAATTTATTGAACTATTATTTGTAGAATCTCTATAAGAATATGTCATATTATTTCTTATTTAATAGAAGAAAATAATACCTTATTATATTCATGTAATTTTAACATTATTAATATCGTTATAATCTTATCATTAATCTTTTATTTTCTTTATAAGAATGTGAAAATTCTTCTAATTTTAAGACTGGTTCTTATTTCATTAGACGATCAGCTATTTTAATATTTTCGTTTTGTATTTATTAAGCTTGATTTTTACGAAAGGTTAAGTTTAAATTGTGAGGGTGATGTAGATTTTCATCTTCATATTTATAGTAATCTTATTACATTGGTCTATTGCAAATTTCTGTTATTTTTTAATATAACTAGCTATTTCCTTTATTTATACGTTCTGATTATTCTATTGAAATAATGGATTTTAGCATACCATTTAAATCAAAACGTCTTCTTTATTATCTTAAATTGTTTCTTTTTTCTAAGATTTCCAAATGTTAAACTCTTTATTAAGATTATGTTTTTTTACTTTTGATTTCATTCAATTTCTTTAAATGAAGATCATATGATCTATTTACTATTAATAGTTACTTCTCTCTCTAAAATATTTAGTCTAATTTATAATTATAATTGTATTAATGATTAGATCTCATTAAATAAAATAAATAATATATTTAATAAGAATGTCACAACCGTCCGAAACTAAACAATCAATTTAAAGTGGCAGAATGGTCTTACATCCATCTCTAAAGTTAGATAAATCAGCAGCATTTTTCAAAAACACAAGAGTTAGTTCATGTTCTTATGTAAGAATGAAATAAGGTAATCCATAAGTAAAAATATTATATTTTATACTAATAGGCTGTTCCATTTTATGAAATAGCCAATAAAACACCTGCTGAACATGAAACTAAATCTACATATACAACATCATCTTATGCGTATTTAAATATAATAATATAAAAGAGATGATTATAAAGTAAGACCCAATTTACATGTTGGATCTACTAATAAATTATTAGAACCATATAATACAGGATCATTTAGATCTAGATTACCAGAACCAGATGCTCCAATTTTAACTAAAAATGCTTCTTAAATAGAATTAGGAGATAGACAGTAAGATAATAATATAGAGTTTATAGTTTTAATGTAAAAAGACATTTCTTAAGCACTGCTCATAATGTCTATGGAAATTTTGGAAAATAAGGAAATATTACAAATCCAGGAATATTATCAGAGAAAACAAAATGGCACCATCATTTATAATAAAAATGATAATTTCGAAGATAATATAATATTTCATGAATCATGAATATCATCTTCATCATCTGTTTTAGTTTTTGGACAGCATTATGGAATCAAAGAATTCATTTTAATATTGTCTAAATTTAACATATGATTTTTATCTTAAATTTCTAAATTATCTTTAGTTCCATTATCTTTAAGAGTCTTTTATAATTCTTATTCTGATTTTTAATATTCATTAATTAATTATTCAATTTTATCATTTTTAGAATCATCATTTTATTCATTTTATTATTTTTTACTTCTTGTTTTTATATTCTATTATTTATTATTATCTTATTTGTTATTTTTATTATTTATCTTATTAGATTTAGTTTATTTTTTTGTGTCAGGTTCATCTGTACCAAAATTAAACATTGCTTTTTTCAATTTTTAACCTTTCTTTTCTTTTTTATTATTAGATGGTAAATCTAATTAATTAGGATTATATTTTTTATTTTCTGTAGATTATTCTTCAGATGATTATTTATTATTGATTTTAGTTTATTTTTAAGGTTAATTTTTTTTAGTATTTTTATTTTCTTAAAATTATTCATATTATTCATTATTTTCATAATCTGATTCTGAATCTACAGTTTTTTTAGATTACTTCTTTTTAGAATTTGTATTTGTAATTGATTATTTTTTATTTTTAGTATATATATCTGAATTTGAATTAGTATTAGTATTAGAATCTAATTCTGATTCTGATTCTGAATTTTATGTTTCTATAGGTCTCTTTTTTGATTTTTTCTTATTATTATTATTATTACTTTTTTATCCTTTATCTTTATCTTTATTATTATGATTATTTTTTTATTTTTGTTAATGATGGTTATTTATATCTATAGGGATATTCATACTACCAAATACATCATCAAAATTTTAATCATAATTATTAAGGAATTCAGTCATAGATTTTTTAATTATTGGTTTCTTTTTAAATGATTTAACTTATGAATCTAATGCACTAAATAAAGATGTTTAAAATAAGGATTAAGATTAAGCATTCAAAGATTTTCTTAATGTTTCTTCTTATTCAGATTCAGAACAATCTTCAATATTGAACTTATTTTTAGTCTATTTTGAATGATTCATTTATTATTTGGTTGATAATCATTTTTAATTATATATTACAATATTTCAAAGGATTTTAATTTTAATTGGACCAGAATAATTATAATATATATGATATTAGAAAATCCTAGTAAAATAAAATGGAAATAATAGTATATCAGAAAATATAGAGATTTGTTAGGAATTTCAAAGTATAAATATATATTTAAGATAGTCTCAAAGTATTACCTCCTGAACCTACTGAAAATCATATTACTCCATAACATTTAGATTACATTAATAAGTAGAGATCAAAATCATTGAAATAAAATGATGAAAGTATCTTATAATGTTCAGATAGAAGATCTTTACATACAAAAATTTATACTGCATGTGAAATGAACTAAATTATTAATCATGCAAAAGTTTGTGGATTATTACACGATAAACAAAGTTAAAAATCTTAAAATAAACAAAATCAAAGTTTATTAGAATAAAATAGAAAATATTTTTAAGATGTTAGAAATTTAGAAAACAGTTGGAATTATAAAAGAAGATAATAAGAAGAATAAAATAAATTATTCAATTCTATACCTATGGAATAACATTATAAAATGAAACTTAAATAAAAAAAAATGGATTTAAATATACAATAATTAATTGAAGAATAACGTACTCTATTTCTAACTAGTAATACATAATAAAATAATGAATTATCATCATCTAGTTATCCAGAATGAACACTTTATATACATTTGTTTATAATTTATATCTAAATATATACATAGATTATATTATATAAATAATCATAAATATTAAAATTTGGAATTATAAAATTAAAAATGACCAAAAGGAAAACAAATCTCTCCTCAATTACTAAGAATTTATTCAATAATGATTATGATTAAGATACTTTATTCTCCTCTCCATTGAAATCAACTGATTAATCTAAATCTAAAGTTTCCTCCAATTAATCACCAATCAAATTAGACAGTATTGATAATTTAATTGAAAGTTAAAATACTTTAAGAACTAATAGACCATCAGAATTTAATCTTAAAAAAATGTTATCTAAAATGGATAATGTTGATAATATACATGAAACATAATAATAATATAAAACCTTTAGATTTAGAAGAAATGAAAATTTTTAATCTTAACCTAATTTAAAAATTGATGTTAAGAACGATATTGATGAATTCTTTAATAACAATACTCCCATTAATAATACTTAATCAAAATATAATAAAGAGAGTAAACAATATTAATTAATTACCTTTACAGATTATGTTGAAAAGATTTATGGTAAAGATTGGTTTACAGTACCATAAAGAAGATTTAGAAGATAAACTACAATATAAGAATTCTTTGATATCATTGAATGACTTCTAATTAAACTAATTTGATTTTATATATCTTAACATATTTTTAATAATAAGAAATAAAATTTATATAAATTTATGAAGAAGTACTCATCCTAAAGATTATTATTAACTAATGAAGAACTTCTACGTATTTAAATACTAACTAAAAACTCTTTCAGACCTTCTTCAAAATAAAGAATTAAAGAAAAACCTCAAATTGAATAATATCAATTCAAACCTGAGGTATTATCTAAATATATTCTAGATTAATAAATAATCTGCAAATCTATAAAGATCTATAAATGATTTATTCAGATGGAATTTAAATAGATAAATGAAAAGACAATAAATATATGAAGATGAAGTATTAAATACACATTTATATATAGTCAAGAGAATTACTCAATAATGCTAATAGATTAACTCATGAATTAACTAATTAATCTGTTTTTGATAGATTATATTAAGTACGAAAAAACAGTGAAAATATTATATGTAATTAATCTTCTCTTTAATATTAGAATAATCTAAAAGAAATACTAGTAATTTTGGACCTTATTATACTAAAAATATGACTAGTTCCATGTATTAAGAATATCAAAGATAATAATAATTAGATGTATCTTAATTCAAATCTAAAACAAATGCTACTGATAGTAAATATGAATAATCACATTAATAAACTCCAAATCCTAATTTTTTAGATTCTGATTAATTACCTATAGCAGTAAATGATGTAATTATTTATTTTTAATATAAAAGTAAATCAAAGCTTAAATACCTGTACATCAATATGTAGACTTAACTGAATAATTAAGTAATTCTATGAATGAACCTGATTCACCTGCAAAATCACCCTTACATTAGAAAGATATAGAAGTCATGGTTGAAAGGTATAAAAATTTATTTAAAATAAAATAGATTAAATAATTGGTAAGCTAAGAAATAATAATTAGACCAATAGGTATAATAGGAAGATTAACATGTAAAATCATAAATTAAACATAATTTAATAAATTAAAATAGAATACCATCATTTGGAAGTTCATAATCTCAATCCAAATTTTATTCGAATATGTTTCTTAATAATCATCAAATTAATTGATAATTAAGATATATTTATTATAATACTAATAATTATCTATTTATATAGATTATTATAATGAATTCATATTCTTATTATCAAAAATTTCGAAATTTCTTATACATTACACTTTTAATTTATGATCCTTTATGTTATATTACTTATTTATAATTAATTTAGTGTATTATAAGAGTATTTTCATTTTTCAAACATTTTTAAATAAAATGGTTATTAAAAAAGCTTTTCAAGATTTTTATATTCAAAAATTCTTACAAATCAGAGATTCATTTAAACGAAATAAATATTTGAGTTTTGGATTAATACTATTCTAAACTCTATAAATATAAGGAATCTATATAAATGGGAGTATTTTAGAATTAGATGAAAAGGGAAAGAAAAAAGGTATAATGGATGCTCTTATTTGGATTCTCAAAACTGCTAAGTATATTTTAATATAAGTAAAGAGTATTTCCATTATTCTAATCTACTACAAATGTAGATAAAATAATTTTCATTGATTTCAGCTTCATTGTTATATTAATCTTAATTTCTTTTATTGCATTATTAGCAATTTTAACAAGAAGAAGTCATAACTATATGTAAACTAATAAAATCAATGGCTTATATCAATTAGTATTTACTGATTATCCTATTTAAGTAAATTTCATATTTACAGATAGTTATAAACAAAGTAAAATTTGTTAATGAAATTTATAAAATTTATAACCTTCATAGTTTCCATCTTTTTATAAACCTACAAATACTTGTTTCATTGGAGTATTATTTATAGCTCTTTAGATAATATTTACATATTTATATAGAATCCATCTGAAAATAATGGTATTATTAAAATATATTAATTAGATTGGATACATACAATAGGCATTATTACATCATTTGTAGTATTATTATTTTTCTTATTATTTGATAACTTTATGATGTTCCACTTTTTTGATTATAAATTTAAAAATCCTGATTTTTTAGGATAAAAAGAATCCAATTTTGAACTATTACTCAATTTATATATCTATTCAACAATTACAATAGTGATCTTTACATAATAAGAATATCCAAATTTATAATTATTACTAGGATTACTTTTTACAATTTATTAATTGTTTTTAAACTCATTTTTATTTTTGAATCGTAAATAATTGATGAATCAATTTAAATCTTTAATCCTTGGGTAATTTATATTTCTATATATTGCTTTATTTTGTTTTGTTAATGGAACATTTTCTGTTGAATTTATTAATTTAATAGTATTTATAGCATGTCCTATTATCATTAAAATTCAACATAGAATTTAAGATTTATAAATTCAATAACATCTTTAATTAGATGATAAACACTTTAGGTTTTTTGAATAAAAACTAAGGAAAATATTTGATTTAATAAAAATCATTTATTATAAGGAATGGAGAGCATTTAGATAACCAGTAATTAGATCTTATATTTCTCTATAATTGCACAGTTTAGCTGCTAATCATTTAAGAAATTGTTATGGAAATTAAAATAATGATATTAATTTAATTAAGAAATGCTTTTGTAAATAATATTTTTAATACAATGAAGATAAATAAATAAATTTTTGGAAGAGAGAATTAGATTTATAAACAGAAAATAAATATTTTGCATTTAATAGTGAAAAATAATTTAAATAATTTTTATTTGATTTAATAAAGGATAGTTTTGAAAGATATCTTAATTAAAAATCAATATTAGAAACAAATATTTAATTTTCATATATTTACTTTTTATTTTAAATTTAAAAGAAACCTACTAAAGCATTTTATGAGGCTATGAATTTGAAATTTAAAATAAAAAAACTTTCTTAAAAGAAAATAATGATAATTGAATAACTTATTCAAGATGCAAAATATAATTTTAATTTAATGATTGAGAAAAAAGATTTAAAAAATCAGAAATATAATTTTAAATAAGTTTTTGATTATGATTAGAATTTAGATACCACTAAATTAAATTTTTAAATTATATTAACAAATTATAAGAAATGGTACAATTAATTATTAAATTAATAATTACAATTATAAATGATTATAAAAAAGGGAACAGAACTTTAATAATAAATATAATAATTAGAATAATAAATATTAAGTTTATATTAATTAAATCCAGTTTCATCTGAATTAGATACAATAATTTATCTATTTTATAAATATATACACTTTAATCTAAAAAGACCAAAATCTCTTAGAAGAAATTCATAATATGCAAATTAATTTATTTAATCAATTAATTAATAAGTATTTGAAAAAGAATCTTGTATTATTTATATATCACTTATGAATCAAAGAGGTTCAATATAAAATTATACTAAATCTTTTAAATCTTTGATTTTAGGTAGTGATTAAGATATTAAAAATTAAAATATTAAATATTTTATGCCTGATTCTATTGCATAATATCATGATATGTATTTAGATAATTTTATTGAATTGGGTAGAATGAATATAGTAATGGCTGAATAAAGATTTTTGATTCTTAAAAATAAATAATAATTTATAATACCTGTTTATGCTAAAGTGAGATTAGAAAATTATTCTAATAATGATTTTGGATCATCTGCTTTGATAACATAAATTAATCAATAAAATTATTATATTGTAATTAGTAGATATGGTATTTTGGAAGAGATGTCTTACAATTTTTATGAAGAAATCATACAGAAAACTATGAATTGTTATCCTTATTAATTAAAAAATTTAAATTTACTTAGATTAATGCCTTGTTTATTGAAAGACTTGTAAAAATTAGAATAAAATTAATAAAATAGCAATGAAATAGATTTTGAATTTTCTTAATAAAATAAAGATTAAATCAATTAAGATATTTTAATGGAAGGTCATATATTAATTCCTAAATAATAAAATTTATTAGATTAAATATAGATTTCAAATAAAAATATATTTAATATTGATGTTCAAAATTATTTTACCATTTAATAATAAAAAAATCACTTATTCTATTAAAATATTTAACATCTATTTATATTTTATGTTAAATATAAGATAAGATTAATGAAAACCATTAATTCATTACATAGAATATTAGAAATATAGACTTTGAAGATGATTAAAACTGAGCATCAATAAAAGGCTATAAAAATAGTATAGAATATTTGTAATATTGAATAATCCTCTATGTAGAAATGTTAATTAACACCAAAAATACATTATTATTTATAAGATTCAGAAGGATATGATGTATTTCATCAAGAGTAAATAGAAGCATTTAGAAAATCATAATCTATAGAATTATTTGATAGAAAATCATATGATTTAGATAATAATTTAATAATGGAAGAAGATAATATGATAAGTCAGAAATAGAGAAATTTTGATGAACATTATTCTACAAGAAGAGATTTGATACAATAAACATTATTAAATACTATAGATTCTCATATGTACTAAAAAACAAAAGAAAATGTTTAATTATTACAAAATGAATCTGAGACAACAAATTAATTAATTAGAAAAAATAGTTTTAAAATTATAAGTAAGAATTAGATTGATGATATGGAATTATCAAATAGATAATCAAAAAATTCAATTGATTAAGATTCAGGTTCATATTATAAAAATCGTTAAGTTACAAATCATTAAAATGATGGAAGTTCTATAGCCAGTTCATAATAATAAAATGATTATATTAGTAAAAGGAGAATGATAAGAGATGTCTTATTTTCAGATCATTAATTTTAAAATAATACAACTAAAACTGGTATTTTAATTTTCGGTTTAGTTTTATTAATCATCTTATATATAGTAAATTTAATTTTTATTGCTATTACTTAAAATGTATATATATATATATATTATAGAAATTAGAAGAGATTGAAGAAAATAAACACTTATTATTGAATTTACAAAACTCTTTAAATCTATTTATTTTATCAAATCAATTTGAATAAATTTAAATCTATTAAAATAATACATAGATTTGGTATTAATAACTATAGAATCTTTCTATTATTAATTATTAAATATATTTAAGATAAATTTTAAATGAGCAAAATTCAATTATCGATTAATCAATATTTCACTAATTAAGTAATTATTTATATATTTTAAAGAAACCATATATTTTGAAGAAACTACTAAATATGATTTGGATTAAATATTTTTAATAAAATTAATAGGTGAATACATGATTGATTATATAAGTGATAAAGAATTACATAAAGATGGAATAATATTTCTAATTCGTAATTTTTAGGTGATTGTTTAGGAAATGTTTGTAGAATTTAATAATACTATTAATAATAATATTCATTAGTAAATTGATATTATTGATTCCTAAATATAATTAACTATAATTCTATCAGAAGTTACTTTAAGTTTAATAGTTATTATTCTATTACCTGTATTTTTGATTATTAATAGATAAAAAAATACAATTTTGGAATTCTTTATGACATTCCCTTAAAATGAACTTTAATAATAATATGATATTTATTAAATTTTGTTAGATAAATTGGAAGAAACCAAATTTATATAATAGGAGACAAATTAATATGATATAGAAAGTTCACATATTAAATAATTTGTAAAATCAATTCGCATTGGTAAAGATTCTAATTAAAGTAAATAATAATATGGTAAATTAAAGACAATAGTTGGATCAAGTATTTTAATATTATATTTTAGATGCAACTCCTTTGATAATATTTAGTATCTTTTTAGTTTTACTATTGTTTTCTATTGTTTCTGCTTATTTTATAACTTCATTTATGATTAAATATCAATTTCTTAATGAATATAAAAGAATTAATAATGAAATTCAAATTTATGATTCGTTATAATCTGAAATTATCAAAGAAAATTCAATTTAAAATTTAATACTTAATTAAATAATAAATTAGAATATAAGCAATGTAATTAAAAATACAAGTAATTTCAATATTATATATAAAAATAGTACTATAATTATTTGAAATAGAAAAAGTAAGTCAATATTCAATTATATTACATTATTAATAAGAACTCACATAAAGATTTTCAGATTCAAGTAATTAACTTTTTTATAATGTTTTATCAAATAATACATGTGATATTTTCAACAATGAATTAATTTAATATTTAGAAATGGAAGAATATTTAGATTTTTATAGTTACTAAGTGTGTCATACTCTTGGTCAAACTTAAGAAGGAATAAGCATTTCTATAATTAATTTTGTAAATTAATTAAAACAATTATATTCAACATTGTAGTTCTATAAAAGTAATTATTTTAATTATAATATAGATAATAACTAATATGAATACTAAACTCTTTATGATAATATCATATTCTTAAAAGATTAAGAGATATAATAATCATATTTATATAATGCATTTGCACTTTAAGTTATATCAAATTATTAAGATTAATAGTTAAAGATGTTAATTGAATAACATTATTTAACACAAATAATAACTTTTGTTATTGGTGCTAGTTTTATAAGTGTATTCACTATTATAACAGAAAAATGCTTCAAAAATTTAATTTCCAATTAAATTAATTAATCAAAACTCTTACTTACTTTAATTCCATTTGAAATATTATAAACAAATGCTTATGTTATGACTTATGTATTACAAGAATCAAAAAAAATATATTTATGATTTATATTAATTATTATATTTGAAAATAATATAAATTATTTAATGTTACTCATCCTCAAATATTAGAATAAAGTTAAACAATTAAATTTGGATAAACGAGTTAATGTATAATCTTTACATATACTTTTGATTTAATTATTTAGTATCAAAAACAAAATAATAGGTTTGATTGATTAAGATGGTAACAATAATTGTTAATTATCAAGGCAACTATTATGATTTATCATAATTTATATAATAATTGTAATATACAAGATGTAATGTCTATACTATTGTAAGTGAAGAACATTAAAATTCAAATGATAACAAATTATTATAAACATCTCTAAAATATAGTTAGATGTCAGATTATAACAATAAGCTATCATTTATTGATTTTATTTATGATTTGGAAGAATTCCAATAGATTCTAGGTGGAGATCAATACACTTGTATTTACTTAATAGATGAAAAAGATTAACAAGGACTAGATTTTCTAAGTGCACTAGAACCCTTGATTAATAATTTCAACAATTGGATTAACTTTTTCTATTCATTTAGTAACAGATTATAAGATCAATTAAAGGAAAATGATTTTTATTTTAAATTTTTATGGATCTATAAAGGATCTAAGAAAATTGTTTCCATTTAATTGAATAATGACAAAAAAATGAGATAAATGGATGATATTATACATAAATTAGTTTAAGCAAAATTATAAGGTACTAGTACAAGAACATCAAATATTAAATAATAATCTTAAATCTCATCTTAATAATCTCCTAATAAAAGAAGAAGCAAATCTATTCGTAAATTGGTTGAAGAATCTTAAATTTCTAATAATTCTTAATATATGAATTAAAATGCTGGATCTTCAAAATTAATAACCAGGGTTTAAGCTAAATTTATTTAAAGAGATCCTTCAAGAGGCAGTGAGAATTTTGAAGATTATAGATCTTAATAATAATAATAATAATAATAAAGTAATATCTATCATAATGAATCAATTATCAGTTAATAAGATATGCTCTTTACTTTAGTAGGTGATCTAGAAGAAAAAGAAATATTGGATGTCACAATGGCAAGATTAGTTAAGCGTTTGTTAATTGAGGAAAACAAAGAAATAATTAAAGTCTTTTAATTATATTTGTAGAATCATATAAACATTCAATAATTATGTGAAAAATTAAATAAAATAGTTGAAAATTGCACTTATTAAGAGAGACCAACATCTCCTTTTTAAAGTCTCAAATAAACAAAACCTCAAACTAAACCATAATAATCATAAATACATACTAAATCTTAAGCCTAAAATCATTCTGTTTAATAAAATTCCATCCAATAAGATTTAAGTTAACGATTAGTAGATATAAAAAATAAGGTTATTGAAAAAAATAATTACAGTTATAATTCTGAATAATTTGGAATTATGAATGTATTGTGGAATCAATAAGATCAAGTTTTATTATAATTATGTACAGATATTTATAATAAAATGTAAAGAGGTGAATAACCCTCTCTTAAACCATTACAGATTTATGCTGATTCCAAATTTAATGAATTATTGTAGCAAAACTTTAAATTATCTGAAATTACTATGATTCATGAATATAGAAATAGTCATTCTGGATCAATACATGCTGTCTTATAGCATTTTAGATATTAAAGCAATATAGAATAATTTATTAATGATTTAAGAAAAGCAATCAATTCAGTTTAAAGTTAAAATCAGAATCTTAATTAACCTTAAAAATAATAAGCCTAAGAATCTAAGGAAATTATATTATTTAAGTCAATTCCTAAAGCTCCATCACCTTATAGTGTATTAATGCCAAATTTTTAATTATAAGAAAATACATAAACTTAAATTCCTACTTCTACTACTACACAACAACAATAATAATAATAATAATAATAATAATAATAATAATAATAATAATAAAAATAATAATAATAATAATAATAATAAAATGAAAATAAAATTATATTTATGCATTAAACACAACCTATACCATTACAAATAGATAAAAATTTGGAAAATTAATAAGCAATCTAAGAATCAGCTTAAGAAATATAATAGCCAACTTATTAAAAGATTGATATTCTGAGTAGATCCGAATAAATTTCTCCATAAAAAAGAATTAGTACTTAAGAAGTTGCTGCTAAAGATATAATTTTTAATGAAGAAAACTTTATGTAAACTAAAAAAGATAAAAGATAAGCTAATTTGGGAAAGATTGATTAATTTTATTAAATTCAAGCAGAAAAAGAATTATAATAAATATTTAAAGATATGCTTTGGGATATGGATTTGGATGAACCTAAAGTTAGATAATTAGAAATATTATTTTCAGAATATAATCAACAACTATATGAAATTTTATAAGGTTGGTAATCTTCTAGAAATATTTATGCTACCAGAACAAAACTAATGTATTATTATTTAAATATATAATAGAAAGTTATTATCTGAATAATAAAATAAAAAAGATGATTATAGAAAAATAAAGATGTATAATTTATTTATGAATTAAGTAAGATAATTTACATTATAAAATCATTTATAAGATAATGAGAAAAACTTTTTATTAAAAATGTTTATGGATAATGATTTATAAGTTTTAGGAACATTTGAAACTTATTTATAAAATTAAGATGCAGAAGATATGTTAGAAAATTTAAAGTTGATAATTAAATAATATTCCAAATTTACTAATGTATAATAATTATTATTATTATTACATAGATCAATTCACCTGATACAGATTTAGATTAATAACCCATTATAGAACCAATAAAAAATTAATTAACAGCTAAAGAGATTTTATAACAGATAAGAAAATATTTTTCAGCTGAAGAGAAAAATAGATTAGAGAATATGCCAAATGAATAGAGAGATATGAGAATAGTTGAATTATATTAAGAGTATTAGTAAGATTAAGATTTAAATGGATTTATTTCTGCTGTAAGAAAATTAAGTCAATAAGATTAAATAAAAAAATAATTTGAGGATTTATTAAAAAAATTACAAAAGGAAGGACAATTAAAGATAGATGATTATATGTTATCTATTATTAGTTAGAGAAGAAATGAATAAAGAATTAAAGGTGTTTTTGAATTATATCTATTTAACAAAAATATAGAAGATTTTGTTGAGAGTATATATAGCATTTCTAAATTATTGTAATAAGGTAAGATAATTAATTTTTAGTTTAGAACTTATTCTTTAAGCATTGAATTAATTTGAGAAAGAAAAGTTATTGGATGAAAGAAAAATATCAATTTTAAAAGAGAAGGCTAATGATTATCATAAAGATTATCCAAAATTATTAGGTGCATTTGCATTATATTTTGAATAAACTTTGACAGATTAAGTGGAGGCTAAGAAAGAAATATTAGAAACTTTAAGTCTTTTTAGTTCATGAATAGATATCATGTTTATATTGAATATGTCAAATAATATTTATTAATTAAAATATGTTTACTACAGTATCAGTTTCTGTCTAAGAATTTAGAGGAATTCGAACTGCATCAGGCACTGGAACATCAAGTTATAGAGATTTCTAAAGATTGCCAGCAACAAAAACAAATTATAAAAGGTAATATTTGAAAGGGGCATCTAATCGTGTAAAATCATTAAAAGAGGAATCTCACTTTGTTTAATTATGTAGTGATAGAAAAGGCAATGAGAAATTATTTAAATTTAATAGATAAGATTAACTACTAAACTATAGAAATCTTCATCTAAATAAATTATAGCCTCTATAAAATTAAGAACAAAATCTCGAAAATTAATAACATTAAGAATAGTAAAATAAATCATAGATTAATTCTCCAAATAATAATATAAGAAATTCTGCCATCCAATTAATTACTGATTAAAAGAATTAACTTATCGAATTAATTTATAACACATAATCAGTGATATAAAAATAGAAGAAATCATATTCTAATTAATAAAAAACTGAGGGTTTATAAAATGTTAAAACACCTACTTAAGTTACAGTTTCATCACCTTTGAAAAATTAACCTTAAATTATAGGTTAAATAATCATTTCAAGTAGAAATAAAGGTGATCTTTTTGTAAAAAGTACTTAACTAACATCTTATGGTTCGCTTAAAATAACTACATAAGAAGAAAAATAAAGTATACCTCCAAAACCAAAGATACCAACTTCTATGGATGGTGCTAAGAAATTCTTAAAATAATTTATTTGATTCAAACAACAATATTCATGTTAATTCTCTTATTTAATAAATATTAATTTATAGAATCAACAACAAAAATTAGACTTGGTTTACTTATTTGTTGATTCCAGTTTAATATTTTATACTTTTTCTTCTAATGACATGACATCTTTAATTTATTTTGAAATGCATTAGAAAGAATCAATAATATTTATACCTTCTTAAGCAGATGTCTCAAAAAATTTGATGCCATAAGAATCTGCTAAATTTTTACCTTATTCATATTGAACTACTCTATCATTAAGATCAGATTTGTTAGCCACTAATAAAATAATTACACTTTCTGAAGCATTTTATCTTATTTAATTCATCCAATTTTAAATGTTTTAAAAACTTTCAAGATTATTGATAGCATAGACTAATATAATACCCATTGCTCCTTTATAATAAGTTGAAGTAATAGTTCTAAATCTCTCTTAACCAGCTGTATCCCATATTTATAATCTCATTAGTTTTCCTTCTACTTCTAAATCTCGAAATTTAAAATCTATGCCTGTTCTAAATTTAAATTCATTAATCTACCAATAGTTGAAACAAAGCTTGGAGTATATTAATTTTCACAAAATCTTTTTAGAATATTTGTTTTGCCAACAGCAGAATCTCCAATTATCAGTAATTTTATTATTGGTTTATCACATGTATTCATTATAATTTAATATAATAATTTATAATAACAGATGTTTATTTTTTATTCAATTTGTTTATTTTATGAATAGAATACTTTAAATTAAAAAAGCATTTATACAATAATAAAAGAATAACATTATCTGATATATACAATTCGTAGGATGTTTATTTATTAATCTAATTACTTATTTATGTAGTTATAGATTAATTAAATTTCTATATTTTTTATTTATATAAATATTAATTGAATTCAAATATTATAATTTAATTATGACTACTATGCCATTTGAATGAATTATTTCGAAATAAAAAAAGATATTTAATTTTACATCTAATTTTTTTTTTAAATCATCTTATGCTTCCTTTATTATATGCCCCATAGTATATGAATTATCCATAACTCAATCTTTAATAGTTCTATATGCTTCCAACTACCACGTATGCATTACAAACTCCTAAAAAAGAAACTTGTGATTAAGCCTGCTAATTCCCAGAGCCTTGCTTATTTGAATCATAACTACCAAGTAACACTGTGAAATTTGAAGAAGCAGCTGAAAAAGAATTGACAATCCTACTCAAATACTTATCTAAACATATTTCATTATTAAAAGACAGTGTATTTGATGAGTTTGTGTTAGAAAATTTAAAAGTATTTCATCTTGTATAAATTGTAGACATTGTCATCTCTATAGAAAGACCTTCCAAACATGATTAAAAAACGATATATCTTAGTCAATAAAACAAAAGAGGAAATGACAAAATTTATCATCAGAAGATGTTTTCTCTTTATCAAAACTTAAATTGATTATGAAGAAAAAGAAGGAGTCTCTGCTGAAGAGAGAGATAGAATATTTTATCATTCTTTCTTCTCTGATGATTAAGAATTTATGAAATCTCTTTAAAATGAATCTATTGATGATATGATCCCATTTAGAAAAGATTCTAAGGTTAAAACCATGAATGATAATTATTTAAAAAGACTATTTGAATCAGAAAGATTCTCTAAATATTATGCTTTATTTTTAAGTATTTATTCCTATAAATAAATAGATCAATTTAAGGAAATTTGTTAAAATGAAAATGAAGAAAAAATAGAAAATATGACAAAATAATTGATCAAAATTATCATGACTAGAGATTATGGAGTATTATTTAATTCTAATTATTTTTTATAGAAAATCAAAACTTATAGGAGATTCCCCTGGAAAGACCATGAATTAATCAAATGCGAAGGTAGAGCCAAAGAATTATATACCAAATATTCAAATTCTCACATTAAAAGTATTTTATTCATAATAATTAGAAACCAAAAATAAATATAGTTCAAAATGTGATTCACATACGTCTGATATTTTGGAAAAGTACTCTGAATCTTAAAATTGATATTGCTTATCATTAATATCATATTATCTTTATTAAAAATACATATTTTATAATAAAATACTATTATTTATTGTATTTTTCAATATTTCTTATCTAAAATTCTAAAACTATCCAAATTCTTTAATTTTCATATATTTTAAGCAAAAATTCATTATATTAAAGATTCACCTTAAATTGTTAACGTAATGAAGTATTCAGTAAATAAATAATTCATTATTTATAAAATATGAATTAGTTCATTTTTATAAATTTAGAAAATTTGTAAATATAATAGATTAATTAATTCTTATGTTTAAAATGAAAATAAGTAATATATATAAATGTACAAAATATATATTGAACTATTATATTAAAACATAAATAGTAACAATAACATAGAATAATTCGATTATATAATAATTAATTCTATTTAAATCTAAGAATATTTAACTATAATCTATTAACAAATGTTAATTATAAATTTACAAAAGAATAATAAAAAATTATTAACTTTTATGTAAATAAAAATTTATAATATCTAATTTTTAAAGAATTCAATTTAATAAAAAGAGAAATTTATCAAAAGTCTTCATTCAAGAAATAACAAGCCTTGTGCACAATAAGTAAATATCAAATAATTAATAAGAAATTTTGGTTTGTTATGAAATAACAAATTATTTTTATATCAATCCTTATCTTTATTTTTGTTGAGGAATAGATCTAATTTGAAATACTATTTAATAAAATAAGCAATAAAGTCATGCTTTAATAAAATTGCCTGAAGTATATTATTAACATTTTACATTCAAAACTTTAATTACAAGCGGACAATATTGGTATTTTTTTTAATGAAATAAAGTTATAAGTTTTTTTGGGATGTAAAATAATAATAATTGAAAATTATTAGAAATAACTATAAAACTTAGAATCTTAGGAATGGGCCATCATTGATTGCCATATATATGGTTATGGTCTAAGTTTAAGCTTAAGAGATTTAGTTTAAATATATATTTATAATAGAACTTGTAGGGCATAGTAATATAGATTCTCTAAATAAAAAGTAAACTCAATATTTTTTAATTACGATATTTCGGATATAAAATTATCGAATATATTCTGTCTTGAATTAAGGGATATAATTGAAGAAATTTCTGTAGGTGTTTTAGGATAATAATTAGAAAATATTGATTATATAGATTAATTTTAATTGTTTTTTTATGAATCGATGAATTAATTATAGTGAAACTTGAATATCTATTTAATTTAATTTTTTGCTAAATACAATATTAAATAATATGTTTAAAAATTTACTGAGAATAGGTGTCAATCTTTCATTATTTAATACAACATATGTTTTATGTAAGTCAATTAAGGATGAAAAATTACCTCATTATCATTTTCTTAATGAATAAGATTTAAATAAACTATTAAAGAAACATTAGAACTTATCAATAATTGACAGAAGTTACACTGAACACATATTATCTATAATAAGAGATATAGAAACTGATACTGTGGTAATGTGATAAATAAAGGTTAGGAATTCCGAAAAAATTCAGATCGTTTAATTAGAATACTTATAGAATAGGCAATTTCATAAATTGAAAAGAAAAAGCATGTTAAGCAGTCTCCTTTAGGATATTATGATGCTCATGAAGTAAAATTTGAGGATGAAGAGTAAGATTAATTATATAATTAGAATATGTTTTGTGAGTATTTTAAGATCAGGAAATGCATTTTTATTTGAAGGATTAAAAGCTGTATCTGGAGCATCAATAGGATAAATATTAATATAAAGAAATGAAGACACAGCCTTGCCATCATATTTATTTTAGAAACTACCTGCTAATATTAAAGATTAATAGGTAATACTAATGGATCCAATGTTGGCTACAGGTAATAGTGCTACATTGGCTTTGAGAATCTTAAAAAATCAAGGAGTAAAATAGGAAAACATTACATTTTTAACTTTAGTAAGTTGTGAATAGGGCATAGAGAAATTATTTAGAGAATTTCCAAAAATGAAAATAATCACAGCTCAAGTTGATCCAATTTTATTAAAAGATTTTAATTATTTAGCACCAGGGATTGGAAATTTTGGTGATAGATATTTTGGAACAATCAAAAAGAGTTAATAATCAGGATAGCAATAATGAAAGAAAAACAATTACATTATATCTTATTTATTAATTATATTAATTAAAAAAAAAAATATATCAAATATATTATTCAAAGCTACTACTACTAATGTTATTGTTATAATTTATTATAAAATTTGAAAGCTGAATTTTTTTTAAGTGGAGTAGTTTCAAATTTTAATTTGCTCAAACTTAAATTATCTTTAAATTAAGAATGCTAAATCAAGCTTTTGTTTTCGGATTTGAGATTTGGTGTTTTTTTATTAGATTAATGCATAGCCTAATGTTTAGGTGTAAGTAGATTTAATAATTTAGAAGGTGATTCAATTTAATGTTAAAAATGATCATCATACTTTACTTCTAAACAGAGATTACTAGGACTATTAGTATCATTATTTGGATTGTTATTATTATTATTATTATTATTTTAATGAGGATCAACCTTTTCTTTTAAAGGTGTTTTGAATTGATTTAGAGAAGGTAATTAATATTCATCACTATTATTAGTTTATTCATAAATTCTACTTAAATTTTTCGAAACCTAATTGGCACTGTCCTATTTATATTTATGTAAATAATTATAATAAAAAGAGGGTCTTTATGATAAAAAGTCTTTAATTACTGAAACAGTAAAAACATCTTAACACATAATCCAAAAATTTTTTATCCATCTATCTACTTTTTCTTCTTAATCAAAACCATGAGCACCTACTTTTTCTTAAATATACTCATATAAATTATTTTATATATCATCTACTTTATCTTCATTCCAAAAAATGGAATCTGTAATTTTAGCGGTTTTCTTAAGCATTTTATTTTCCATATTGTAACTCTCAATTCCGTCAATTTTTATTTCATTCATCATTTTTGAAATATATGAATTTACAGAATTAGGATTTAAATAGTTTTATTATTTATTTGTTCTTCTTCTAGGGATATTATTTGGGGAATAGGATCTAGGAGACATTTATCCATTTTATTAAGATGAGAGTAATTTTTATAGTAATTATCTTTCAAGAGAAGTAAAAGAATTCATTAATTCTTAATTGGACATGCCTATAAATTATTTTTATTAGAATTTACCCCCTCTTTTGCGAATATCCTTTAATCTTTCCTCCATTTCAGGGATTCGTTTTTTCATAGCTGAATTCCAATGATTTTTAATTGAATTATCTGTTCTTCCAATTAATTATTTAGCCATTTCAGCCCATCTATTACCCATTACTCTATGTGATAAAAAGAGAATCCATTCCTCATAATCACCCCAATGTGATTTTTTGATTTATGGATTCAAATGATTATGCCAACGCTCTCTACATTATTTGCCAATTCTTCCAGGTAAGTGTTCAGCAATAAATGTCCATTTCTATGGACCATGCATTTAAACCAATTTGATAAGCAAATTATCTTCTTATTCTGACCAAGGTCTTTTTTTACCCTTAGACTATATGATTAATATGGGGAGATTACATGAAATAGAATATCTTCATCATCATCGTAATCTCTCTCTTATGCATATTTTGGTGTAACTGTTAAAGCAAAATTGGTTAAGCTCTTTTATTTTGTTGCTGCAATATCTTATATGAGATGTTATTTCTTTTTATCTGTGGGCTCTATAATTTCGCTGTACTCATTCTTATTTCTTAACCTTCTTTTGATGATAGGAGGAGATATAGATAAATGATTTTATGATTTCATTCTCAACCTCTAACTTCTATACATTTTATTAATTAAAATAATATTTTTTTGAATTTGAATTTCAAAATTAAATATATATTTTATGTCTCATTATAATAATAATAAAATAATTAAGAGTATATATAATCTGTTTGAATGAATGCCCCAATATTCATCAGTATAAATCTTCTATATACATTCATCATTAAACATGATTTATGATTATAGTTCATAGAATTTTACAGCCTTTTAATAATCAATATATTCATCTAAATAAAGAGAAGAACAAGGTCCATATCTCAAAATAGTATGACAATATTGATTAACTTGTAATAACCATTAGAATAATTCTAATATCTTCAAATATTCAGGATCTCCTTCAGCCAAACTACAATAAGAAAACCCACCAGCATTGAATCCACATTAACATTCAGAATAACCGTATAACTTCTAATCACTATCCAATAATATGCAATCAGTATCAGTTTCACATGGTTTACTCTTTGTTAAACTATGAGGTCCATTTTGGCAAGTTCCATTATTTGGATTAATATATCCATAATAGCATGCCTTAGGATTATCAGCTTTAATATTATTTTCTAATGAATAGTAATATGCACATTTCCCCAAATTACATACACAATTGTTAGTACATTAATAATCATTTTAACATGATTATTCGAATTGAACTTATTATTTACAATATGTATCACAATAATAACCAACATCACAATATTAATGTCCTGCACATTATTGATTCAATTTCAATCCCAAACAAACTCCACTTTTACAACTATTTGATAAACAATCGCTATCTCCACTACAACTTTCTCCTGGTAGAATCTTATCTTTTGTTGGTTTGTCTGTACAATATACAGGTTTTTAAAAAGCAGCATCTTACCATAAACATGTTTTATCATCAGAACATGGTGTTAATTCATGAACCTTACCTCTATACTCTGACACATTTACACATACATTATTCTAATTTTCTTCTCCACATTTATATCTTTTACCTCCACATTTTGTATTTGCAAATGCATATACCAAAATGATAAAGTATAATAATAATAAAATTTCTTTAATCATTATAATTATAATTAACTTTTTAATCTCTTATGGATTAATCAGAGAATTTAAATTTAGGAATATGGTATCTAATATTTATATATATGATATTAAATTAATAACTATTATATATATAATAATATATATAGATAACAAAAATAATAATATAAAAATAAAATGATTAAGTGATATTTATTTATATTCCTCATATATTTTATATCAAACAGGTACAAATTATTTATCTTATGATTTAACAAATTAATTTATGATGAATAATTAAAATGAAATTATTACTATGAATAGCATTACTTTAATAATAGTTGAAATTGTCAATTATTAATATAAATTTATTAAGTTTGTATTTATTGTTTATTCTCTATGATATGATTCTTTTTAGAGCATTTAAATCCATCTAAAATCTGAATCTATTTAATTTAAATTCATCTTTGTTTATATCATATCATTCTTTGATGCATAATTTTTATCAATTCCTAAAATGTCAAAATCAAATTCAACCAATGTTTTACTTTATCCATTATTTTTAAAACAAATCCTATACTTTCCACTATAAAGTGCTTTAAGTTATTATTCATTACTCTAAAAATCATATTAAATATTATAAGGATCAAAAAAAAATATCTAAACATCCTATGATATACCACCAATCACTAAATATTTAATTGTTATTTAATCATCTATTTTAGCATTCATGTAAACACACTTAGGCTTCTTGTCTATTAATTCTATTCCTAAACACTAAATATATTCAATAAATATTGAAGCTATAATTAATATCAAATACATTATAAATAATATTCATAGTAATGAATATATATTTGATGATAATGAATTGACAAAAAAATAGAACTTTATTTGAATTGTGTAATATTTAGATTTCGTTTATTTTTATTTTATAAAAATGGCTTAAGTTTTTAATTCAAAGGTTAGCATTATCACTAAATCGGAAATCAGATATGAAGGTACAATCTATTAAATTAATCCTCAATAATAAACGATTGCATTGAAAGATGTACGTTCATTTGGAACTGAAGGAAGAAGACCTGGTATTATTTTTTAAATAATTATTTAAGATCATGAAATACCCCCCAATTAATAAAGTTATGATATTTTAGTGTTCAAAGCAGCTGAAATTAAAGGCTTCAAGACTTTAGAAGAGAACAAGTCAGAGGATCTCAAATTAGAGAATGTCAAATAAGAAAACTAATCACAATAAGTATAGCATTTCTAACCTCCTTAAAATATTGAATAAATAGAACAGTAATAAGAATAAAGAGGTTAATTTTAAAATTATTTCCCATAAAATCAATAAATAAAATCAAATGGAACAAATCCTAGAGCTTTCAATTTTGAAGAAATGCTTTAAAAAGCAAATGAAATTGAGAAAATTAAAAAGTAAGAAGTGAAACCTAAGTATAATCCTACTTCATTTTTTGATTCTCTTTCAACTAGTACTTAAAAATAAGAGAGATCAACTTAATAAAGAAATCAAAATTAGATTGATACTGATACATTTGGTAATTTTTATAAATAAAGATAACATAATAACAATAATAATAATAATGGACAAAGAAGAAATAACAACAACAATAATAATAATAATAATTATAATAAAAATAATAATAAAAATTATAGAAGGAATAATAATGATTAATAAAGAGTTGTTTATGTAGAAAAACAATCTTTAGAATAGTATTAATAATAATCATAATAATCATAACAATAATAGCAATGAATATCTAATTTGTTATTATTTAAATAAAATATACAAATAAATACTAAACTTTCAATTACATATAAATTCTTTCATATTTTAATCAATATATAATTTAAATAAATAATAAAATATTACTAAAGTTGAAATACAAAAAAATTGGAAAACTTATTTGAAACAATTACTTAGTTTAACCATCTGAGGATGAAATTCATCATACAATTATATTACTTGTTAAATAAGAAATATAATAATGGATTAAATTTAAACTTATTATAAATTGATAAAAGAATTAAAGCTTATAGACATGATTCTTAAGAAACAATTAAATATAATTACATATCAATTAGATTTAAGAATCTTATCATATAAAGTATTCTTTAATTGATCTATGAATTTAATTTTTGCATTAATTATTCTTTATAATAATTGCACATATTATTGGATTTCTAAGAGAAAGCATTAAATAGATGTGCAATATAATTAGAAGATGGACATAATAATGCAGATGATATGGCAGAGAAATTTTGTTGAATCTATTAAGAGGTAATATATTTCGATTGCCAAAATCTATTACAATTCTTATATGAGATGATGGAGATAATGAAATTGCCACATTATCTAGGTTGAAATCTATTAATTAAACTTATGGAGAAGAGATCGTTATTTTAAAAACTCAAATATTTCAATAATATATGTACTTATTCTCCTAAAGTATTTAGAGAACATATTAGAGATTTAATTAAATATTTGGAAGGTATTAGGTATTATTAAAATATAAACAAAAATTAATTGTTTGATTACTTTAATATTGATTATTAATTTAGGGAATATAAAATATCTTGAATTCTATCTTACATTATTTTAGCTTTTAAATTTATGCCATACTTAATAGATATCAATATTTATTTTAAATGAGGTTACTTATTAATTAATTTGATATCCATTTGTAAATCATAAATGAAATTAATACATTTTAACAAATATATAACTAAAATTGAATCATATTTAGGTTTATTTTGAATTACAAATGTCAATCACTAACGCAATATCTAATTTTTTCAATAGATTTATAAATATTTTTAGGTATTATGCAAATAGTAATATATTATTTCTAAATAATGATAAAAATATAATATATAATAATTTTTATAAAAATTTGATTTTTTTATAGAAATCAATCAAAGATGGAGAATTTTTAATTACAAGATATTTGTTTAGATAATATTAAGTGTAGCGATTGGTAATGTTAGAAAAAGCATCCTCGTTGCTTTGCAGGAATATGTATATAAGGTTTAATTGATGATGAAGAAGAAGGATAATGTAATGATCCATAATGCCAATTATTTCATTTAAATGAAGATTAACGAAATAATGCAATTTAAATAAATGGGTTTTATAGATAGAACATCTGTAATATTCAAAATTGTAAAATCACTAATTGTAGGTATTTACATCCTGCTTGGGCTAAAGATTATTGTGTATAATTTTTTTAAACTAAATGTAAAAATAAATGTAATAATCATTTGAAATGGAATGCTATTAAGACTTAAGTTTATGAGAAATATGATATTTAGGGTTTAAATCCAGAATAATTATGTAGAAAATTAGATTGTAAATGTTTAAAACATTTACCAAATATTGAAGATTTCTGCATAGATTATTTCAAAGGAATTTGTCCTTAGATTGAATGCTCTAAAAAACATGTATTTTGGGAAGAACTTAAATCTAATAGAAAATTGTAATTTGAAGAACCTAAATTAAAGCCATGTTCTTAATAAAATCTTTATAAACAATCATAATTAAATGAGAATAATACTTTTATTTAAGTAATGATTGATGAATAAGAATTAAAAAGAATGCATAAAGCATTATAATAATAAAATATTATCGATATTATATTTATAATGGATTGTACAAAGACAATGGATCGTTGGATATAATAATGTCATTTACAAATGGATAATATTATACAAAATTTTAGAAATAAAAATAAATAATATATTACTCGTGTAGGATTTGTTGGATATCGTGATATTATTATTAAAAAATAGTAAAGTATGATAAAACTTGATAGAAAAAGTTTATTATCTTAAAATGATAATATTGAATAGATGGATTTTTAGATACTTGATAAAAATCATGTTGTTTTTCATGATTTAACTGATAAAATTGAATTAATTAAGGAATTTGTAAAATAATAAAAAGCAACTGGTGGAGGAGATGAAGCTGAAGATATTGTAGCTGGAATAGAAAAAGCATCATAATTAAATATTTCAAAACATTAAGATAGTGTATTAATAACATTTTTATTTGCTGATTCTCCTTGTCATGGTAAATAATATCATGATATTGATGATGATGATTTTATGGATAAAGTTCCTCCTAATACTTTAGAAAATTTAATGAAAAGATATAGAAAAATTAAAAATAATAATTTTTTCTTTTGTTCCAGAATATCTGCAAAGACTGATAAAATGTTTAAAATAATGAAATCTGTATTTCCAGAAGTTTCAATTACTGATCATTTAACACCAGAAGATTTTCCAAATTTAGTTAAATTTTCATTAGATTAAAGTTTTTCAAAAATAAGCAAGAGTCAATTAAATAAACCATTAGAGATTAAAGCATAATCTATTAAATCTAAGTATATTGATTATAATTGTAAAACTCTTGAAGATAGAAAAAAATATTGGAAAGATTTTGCCAAGATTTGTTAATCTTAAGTAAGAATTAATGATACAACTTTAAAAATTAATTAAAATCCAGAAAAATTATTAGAAAATGAAGATGGAGTTAATTCATATATATTTAAAGTATTTGATGTTATTAACAATCAAAATTTAGTAATCAAAATACCTAAAAAGATAGTAGAAGAATATAGATAAAAAGAATAAAATTTGCAGAAAGAAAATTCAAATGAACGAGTAAAATTATCAGAAGAAACTACAATAGAAGCTTAAAAGTTTGCATAATAAAGATTTACATCATAAACTATAGCAAAGTAATTAGCCTAAATTTATAGAGAAAAAGTTAAAAATTTGAATGGAGCACCACCTATTTTTTATGTATCACCCATGTTATATACACTTTCTGAACCATTTTATGGTTTGAATCATATTTATGCAGAATCATTCATTAATTTACCTAATATTTAATGGAAAAAATATTCAAATAATGCATAATATACTAATCCTGATTTTTATTACTATTCTTCCTTTAGCCATTTTACTTATGAAGAAACAGGTAATTAATTTCTGATTACAGATTTATAAGGTAAATTAAATATTTTTAGTGATCCATCAATTTAGAGTGCTGACAGTTATAATAAAAATTTAAATAGTGATATAACAAATTTCAATTAACAAGGTATTGCAAATTTTTTTTTTAATGCTCATTAAAAATGTAGTTTTATATGTTAAGAATTAAATTTAACAAACCCACTTAACATAGCTGAATAAGTTAATTAAAATGAATTTGATTCAACATAATGGGAGTTCAATGATTCATAAGAATTATCAATTATATGTGAGACATGTGATGAATATTAACAAATTAAATAGATTGATTATTTAAATGATTTACATAAAAAATGTTCGTAATGTAAAGAACTTGAAAATGTTATGCATGAAGTACAATGTAGTTGTTGTAAAGAATATTTTAGAACTCCTATGAATTAATAAATTCGAATAGGAACAATGTTAGGAAAATGTGAAAATTGTAAAGTAAACTGCAGATAAACAAACCTAATTTGTTTGTATTGTAAAATGAATTGCAAATTAAAGGTTTCATCTGAGACTATTGAAGGCAAATAGATTTATTTATGTAAGGAAGGAAAGAAATATTTATCTTCATTAAAATGTATAGCATGTAATTCTTAGTATTCTTTTGACAAAATTCTAGATCCTAGATATTATGAAATAGGTTTTTATAGATGTAAAAAATGTGATTGATTTATTTCAGATTCATTATTAAATTTTTGATTTATTGTAAATCTTATGATATTTTAAATAACACTGTTATAAATATTTTATATATAAAATGTCTTATTCATAAAAAAACTTTCTAAATTAACCATTCTATTCTCCTGCAAAATTTGAGAATGATTAAAAAGATTTAATGATTTCATAATTGAAAGCTGAAAACTTTGAACTTAAACAAAATGATAGAGACTACTAAGAATTAGCTACACATTTGAAATCGTTAGAACATAGGTGAAATCACATTTAATAGTAGATATAATATGTTACATGAAGAAAAGATGAGAAATGAAGTAGAATATAGAAATAGAAGTGATTAGACATTAAAGACAATTGCTAATTTGAGAAATGAAATTGATAATTTGAAATCCTAGTTAACTGAAAAGCATATAGAGAATTAAGAAATGAAAGCAGAGAATTTAGCATTTAAAGAGATTACAGAACATAGATCTTAAGAAAATCAAAGAGTAAAAAATGATATGGGCTTATTGTAAGAAAACAATAGAAAATTGTATGAAGAAAAGCTTAGATTAGAAACAGAATTATAAGCAGCAAAAGATGAAAGAAAAAGGTAATGTATAACATATTAATTAGATTGTTACATGATAGAGAATTATTAAATAATACATATGAAGATGTATTAGATAAATTAAATGAAAAAGAAAAGTAATTTTCTTAATTGTAAACAGAATTTGATAATCTTGAAAAATAAGCTCTTATTTATAAAGCTGATGTAGAAAATGTATTATATTGAATTATCAAAGATCAATAATGAAGTTAAATCAAAGAGTGAAAATCTCAAATATACTAGAATGTAATATTAAGAAGCTCAGAATTATATATCATAATTACAAAATGATCTTGAGGAATTACATAAATAGAAGGAGAAATTTAAATAAGAAAGTTTGATATATTAAAAGAATTATTAATAAGAGGCTGATACTTGTATGGAATTAAATGCCTAAGTGATTCAATTAGATTAAACAGTCAAACATTAAGAAAAAACAATAATAGATTAGAGGAATGAAATTGAAAGATTGAAATCAATGCATATGGAATGTTTAGAAACTACAGAAGAATTAAGTCATGAATTAGATTAAGCTAAAAGGATAAATGATTAATTAGAACATTAACATAGAGATGTATTTTAATATAATATATAAATAGGTTATGGAAGAGTTAGATAAGTTATCATTAACAGAAGAATAAGCTGCTATGGCAAGAGCTAGTAAATATAAGGAATTAAAGACTAAATTAATTATGGGAACTAAGCAATTATAGTAGTTCTAATCTCCATTTAAGAGATTTTCTACAAACAAAAAACCTTAGCTGAAATAATATGATTTTTGAAAGCGATTAATTACTATAAATATTTTAATTTTTAACAGCTTTTGAATATGATTGAAATAAGAAGACCACTTTCAGAAAAGAATTTAGGAAATAGATCAAGCAAAGATTTGCAAAGACCTAATTCATCTAATTCATAATAAAAATAGAATTTGTAAACTATGAAAAGTTCAATATAATTACAAAAACAAAATCAAAACTTTTATTCCAAATATTTTAGTAGTAAAGATTAAAAAGAGAATATTGAAATACGTTCAAATATAGATAGAAATCAATCAGCTAAATAAAAATAGACACCTTAAGATTATAAAAAATTATAGGATAAACTCCTTTATTTAGAAAATAAAATATCATCAATTAAATCTCATATAGATAATAGTTAGAGATAATCAAAAAATAGTATAGCTTCTAAGTTTTTTTCATAAAATACATCAAATAATCAAAATTCTTCATCAGTATAAAAATGTGTATAAATTGATTTTACTAATAGAGGATAAAAAGAATAAAGAGAATTCACTCCTTAATAATAAAATAAATTAAAATCAAGTACTCTAATTAATAATAACAATGAATATAAATCTTCTATTGAAGGTACAATAATTAAGAAACCAAGTTTATCTACTTTTGTTACTTAAGTCAAAGCTCCATTATCAGAAAATAAAACTAATTTTAAAAATTTAAAACCAGATTCTGCAAAATCTGGTTGTAGTTCAATTAAGACAAATTTTAAAAGGAAAAATTCTCAAGAAAAAACAGTAGAATCTTCATTTTTATATTATATCTCTTCTATTATTAAAGGATATATGTAACCTGAAATAACAAGACCAATAGAATTAATTAGAGAACATTTATTATAAACTATGTAAGCATCCTTATTTTAAAAATCTGTTAAAATAGTTTCAAATTTTGAAGATAAAAAAATCAATTTACCCTCCACAAATAAGAAAACAATTGTATTTGATTTAGATGAAACTCTAATACATTGTAATGAATCAATTTAAGTTCCAGGAGATATTATTTTACCAATTAAATTCCCATCTGGAGAAATTATTGAAGTATTATATTATTAAATATATTTTTAGGCTTCAATCAATATTAGACCTTATGCTTAATAAGTATTATAGACTTTACATAAACATTTTGAGATCATTGTATTTACTGCATCACATTCTTGCTATGCAAATGTAGTTATTGATTATTTGGACCCTCATAAAAATGTGATAACTCATAGATTTTTCAGGGATAGTTGTATGTAAACTGAAGAAGGTGCTTACATAAAAGATTTAAGAGTAATTGGAAATAGATCATTAAATGATATGGTTTTAGTGGATAATGCAGCATATTCTTTTTGTCTTTAACCATTAAATGGAATACCAATTATTAATTATTATGATAATAAAATGGATTAAGTAAGTTTTTTTTAGTGATTGTAGGAATTATTATATTTACAAAATTATTTGATGTCATTAAGAACAGTTAGAGATGTTAGATAATACAATAGTTAAAATCTTAAATTAGATAAATTTGCACAATTTACAGATCCTATTGATTTATTACAATCTCTTCATAAAGATTATATCCCTTGATTTATATCAAAATATATAAAAATTAATTAAAGATCTATATAAATAATAAGTTCAATAATGTTTATAGTTTAAATGTTAATTGATGGTCTTGATGGTAATTTTATTACAAATTAAAAATTGTTGATTCAATATGTCTATTTTGTATATTAAAATTGCTAATCACAATAAATACAATTAGTATCAATCAATAAACTAAATGAAATTGATCTAAAAGGATTTAGCCATCAAAATCATATGATTATTGGATGTATTAATAAAAATATTTATTGTAAAAATGGAAGAGTTCGAGATATTAGATTTTAATGAACTTTAACAAGAGTAGAAAGGAATAGATAAGGCAGCAAAATTTTTGTAAAAGAAGTTATAAAATGGATTTAAAATCAGTATAGTGATTAAAAAATAACATAATTTTGCTTTGCCTCCTTTGCAATAAAAGAAAAATGATTTATTCTCTAAACAACATCAACCTATCGATATAGTATAATTTAACTTAATAATAGATTAGTTAAAGTTCTGAGTAAACTGAGCACAATGATAAATAAGGTTCTTCAACATCTTCACATTCTAGTATCAAAATGAATAAGAAATTAACTGTTCCTCCAACTTAACATTAAACACCCCAATTAGATTAAGATGAATAGAAAAGTGAAAAATCTGAAAATGATTAAATTTCTTTCTATTAGAACATGAATAACAGTTTTGAACATTCTCTAAAAGATAATTTATTAAGTCAAAAGATTCAAACAGGATTGTTATTCATGAGAGATGGTAATACAAAAGTAGCTTTAGAGAAGATGATGGATGTGTATAAAGATGGAAATGACTAATTAAAATAATGTTAGGATTAATAATAAATTTCAGTATTAATAATAATTTGCATTTAATCGCTTTGCTATGCATCCCAAATATTTAGGGAGTTGGGACAATTTAGTGAAGCTTAAAAGTAATAATTCATATTTATATTATAGATGTTTAGATAAATGTTTAAATTAATTTGAGATTAATGACTTTGATTTATTATGCTAAATATATATTGCAAAGGCACAATGTTGTTTACTCAATAATTAATATTTATAATCTCTAGATTATTATACAAAAGCATTAATACATTATGAATAAGTAAATTGGAAGTTGGAAATTGCAAAATTATTAGTTAAAATATCTTTTGTGTATGCTTTATTAAGTAACTTTAAATAATTTAAATAAAGATGATTTTGTTGATGCAAAGAAGATTTGTTATGAAGGATTGTCAATTTTATAAAGTAAACTCTCACATTCTGACTAAAGAATATATGAAACTTATTATACTTTGGGATGTATCTATTATCTTGAAAAAGAATATGATTTCGCTTTAGAATATTTAGATTAATCTAAGGATGGATATATTAAATTGTAATAATCATTTTTAATTAGGTATGGCGAAAAACATATTAACATTATAAAGATTCTCAATTTATAGGGTGTGATCAACCATTTATAAGGAAATAGTAGTAATGCTATGGAATTCTATGAATAGATTGTATGTTTATATGGGTATATTACATTATTATATTAATAGAGACTCTTAAAATATTGGATTAGCATTAGTATTGAATAATCTAGCCTTGGCTTATTTAGATAGAATGAAATTTAAAAGTGCAAAGTTGTCTTTTGAAAAAGCAACAGCTATTTTGAAATTATATCTCAATGAATAACATCCTACTTTTTAAAGAATCGAAAAGAATAAGAAACTTGTTGTAGCGGCTACTTTATCTTATATATGATTTTAATGATTCTAATTTTCGTAATTTTTTTCAAAAATAATATTAAAAGATTTTCATTAACTATGGTATTTATATTGATCTATTATACAAAAGCCAAAAGCACCAAAAACTAATAAATCAAAGAAAATTTCTAAGAAAATTGCAGACAGAAAAAAGAATCCTCTATTTGTTAAGGAAGCTAAGAATTTTAGAATTGGAAATGATGTTCAACCAAAACGTGATTTATCAAGATATGTGAGATGGCCTCGTTATATTCTACTCCATAGATAAAAAAAGATTTTATTATAAAGAATCAAAGTACCTGCAGCTATTCATTAATTTAGTAAAACTCTTGATAAAAACTAAAGTAAACTTGATAATAAATTTTAATAATAGGTTCCAAAATATATTCTTTGTTAAAAAAATATTCTCCAGAAACAAAGACTGAAAAAAAACAAAGATTAATCAAAGCAGCAGAATAAAAAACATAAAATTAAAAACCTGATACTAAAAAAGTAAATGTTCTTAAATTTGGATTAAATCATGTGACAACTTTAGTTGAAACAAAAAAAGCTAAATTAGTTTTGATTGCTTATGATGTAGATCCAATTGAATTAGTAGTTTGGTTACCATAATTATGCAGAAGATAAGAAGTACCATTTGCATTTGTTAAAAGTAAAAATTTATTTTTATTATTTTATAGATAAGGCTAGATTGGGTGCTTTGGTTCATTAAAAAACTGCAACTTGTGTTGCATTGACTGAAGTAAGAAAAGAAGATTAAGCTGAATTTGATAATTTAGTATAAGATTATATAATATATTAAGGCTAGAGATTTAAGATAACATTATAACGAGAATCATGAATTATTAAGAACTATTGGTGGAGGTCAAGTAGGAATAAAGTCAAGACATTAATAAGAGGCTTTGAAAAAGGCTTTAGAGTTAGAGGAACTCAAAAAAACAAGTTAATGATGTATATTATTAAAATAAAGAAAAATAATTTAAATGTATTGATATCATTATTGTTATTTTTTATTCATTGTTATTTAAATATCATTAAGATCTTCTGCAAAATCATCATATCTACTCTCTTTAAAGAAATCTACAGGTATTCTTAATTTTTGTTATTTTAAACAATCTTATACAAATGAATTATTCATAAAAGTCTGATCATATTAATTGAAGAATATTTCATCATTTGTTTTTGGAGCATAATTTCTAAACACTTTGTGATTCTTTAGTAAACCTTTAAATATTATGCTTTTTAAAACACGTAATGACATATCTATTTGTATTTTTTTTAGAAATAAAATATTTATTATTTTTTAATAGAAATGCAATAGTTTTTTATTAAGATGACAAACCATAACTCATTAAATTAATTCATATTATAATATGTGTTTTTTCTTAAAGGAAAAGTCAGGTTTTTTTTTCTATTACCATTTAGCTTCACATTCAAAATAAATAAAAGGTCCTTTGATTACTTTTTCATTTTCTTCATCCTTCTTATATATAAAAATTAAAATTACATATTAATAATGTTTATCTTTCTTCATCCAATATCCATGTTTAGTGTTATATATCCATTAATTTTTAATTAATTCTCTTGCTGCCATTAATTATTCAGTAGGTTCTTTATGATAATAAAATACATAGAATAATGTATCACTACTTAATTAACTGAATACTGAATGAGGTAGCATTTTATATTTAGGTAGCAAACTATTTAAATTCAATTTTTCTTTAAAAGTTGGTGGCTAATAATAATCATTTTTCTAAGGCCTATCATTATAACTAAAGTCCATCATTTTAATTTTATATGCAGCAGAATTTTAATCTACTAATTAAGCTTATTGAGTTGCAGCTTTTTAATCAAAAGGCTCAATTGTTAATCTATTTGGTTACAAGACTCGATCATTCCATGCAGTTGGTACATTTTTAGTTTAATATAATTGATTGATTAACTAAATAATAGAAATTGTATATACTTAATTAATGTCTTATTCATGTTCTGGATTATCTAAATTTTAATACATAATATCCAAAAGCATCATCAATTTTTACCATTTCTTATCCTATATAAGAATTAAATATATTTAAATACATCTATGATTAAATGTTACAAATCTTCACTCAACTATTTCATTTTATCAATTTGATTTTGAAGAGTTTTTAATTTGATTTATCTATCTTGACTTCCTTGAGTTTTCCTTTTCTAAAATTGAAATATATATATACTTTCTTAATATCTTGATTGATCTCTTAAGCTCTCTATTCAAGCATAATGATTTGATCTTTCAATTAAGTTTATCTACTTTAAAATGAGATGCCAGATTATTAAATCATTAATAAATATTATGAATATATCAGAATTATATTGAATGCACTTTCTTTTTGAATAAAAATTTTGGAACAACCATTTTTTCATAAATTAATGTAATAATAGCATTAATGATAGCTATAATTCCTAATAAAATGGTCCATGATTCAGGCATAATGTTTTAATCATCATAACTCTAAAATATAAACTAGGTATAAATGCATAATATACTCCCATGATTTCATCTATATATTCAATTCTCATCAAAAGAAATATGATAGCAAGAATAAACAAGAATATTGTACTTCCTATGAAATAAAAATTAGTATAGAAAGGTTTTCTGAAAGGTTTTCCATTTGAATAAACCAAAGCAATCATTAAATATTAGAAATTACCAAATATAAATAAGGTAGTATTTTCAAAACAAATCTTCATAGTTTCATCATTTAGATCTTCTTTGTTTAATTCATTATTAGGTATGAACCATGATTATTTTAATAATAATAGATAAACTCCTAATTAAAATAATAATTAAATAATAGTTTATCCTATAACTGAACCTAATACAGAGAAACTAATTAGTGATGATCCTGGTACATATTTATTTATTTTTGCTGCCTAAACTAATCCCATAGTCATACTTAAAGGGAATATTGTAAATAGATCATTGTAAAGATATTGATTATCTGTTAAATTTGATTATTTTAGATAGAGTATAGTAACTTAAATGAATTATATCATTGAATATAATGCCATAAATTTGAAACAACAAAATGAAGTAGTTAAGGCTGCTCTGCCTTATGATAATAAAATTGGAACACATGAAATATCTTAAATTTGACTTGTAAATGGTGCAGCAATAGATGCTTCAGCTTATGATAAAGAAATTCCTGCATCAGCTGTTTTCAAGGCTCCACAATCATTAGCACCATCTCCACAAAAACCAACTAAAGGTTATGATTTATGTTTCTATAACTATAAAATTAGATTAGCTTTCTCTTCTGGTCTCATTCTAGCATAAACAATTGTTCTTTCAAGTATATTATTAAGTGTTGCTTAAGATCCATATTTATTTAAATGCATAAATGCACCACCAGATATAGCTAATATATAATTCTCATTTTCATTCCATGGTTGTTCTTCCATGAAATCTCCATCAGTATAAATTTCACTTATATTATCTAATTATATAGTAACAGGAGGTGGATCTTCCAGCAAAGATTTATTTTTAACTAAATTTTTAGAGAAAGATCTCTAATTTAGATATTCAAAATCCTATTGAACATCTATATCCTTTTCAATTTCATTTAAATTACTAATAATTTATTATTATGGTTCTAATGTATCTTCATTTAATTCATTTTAATTATATTCAAAATCTTTCCATGATACATAATATTTCCCATTATATTTCTTTTCACTCAATTCTCCTAAATATACTCTCTAATTTTCAATTAATCCACATTATCTAGCTACACTAATAGCAGTTAAAACATTATCACCTGTAACCATTATTGATCTAATATGTGAATCCTTCAATTATTTAATAATCTTATTTGTAATAGGTTTCAATTTATTTTCCATTATAATAAATCCAATAAAATTTAAATTTGATTCAATTTCTTAACGATCCAAATCTATTGATTATACTTATTTCTATGCCATTCCTAATACTCTAAATCCATTTAATGCATAGAAATCCAATACTTAATGAAAATTAAATGGTATTGATTGATTATTACATAATTATCTTAATTTCTCAGGTGATCCCTTCATATATGCAAAATATTAACCATTATCTTTAATTATTACTGACATTCTCTATAATTTAGAAGAAAATTCAAATCTTTTTACAATTTCTACATTAATTCTATCTATATTTCTAATCCTTATTCTACCATCTTGCTCTTCTATTAATTCACAATTTGTAGATTCAAACATTTTCAATTCCAAAGGATCTCCTACTAATTTACCTTTTACTTATGATAATCCATGACAAGTTGCCATTCCTTTAATAAAATTAACATCAGTATTAGCATCAATTGATGTTACAATCTTTGAAAATCTTTAATTCTCTATCATTCTAATACCATACATATCTAATCCTTCTTCTGTTAGTGTCCCTGTTTTATCAAAACACATTATAGTTATTTTTCCACTAATATTTACTTTTTAGGGTGATATACAAAATATTTTAGAATTCTTTAATCTTGCCAATGCTATACTTATACCTATTTGCAAACATGTTGGTAATGCTGGTGGAACTGTTATTGTAATTAAATCCAAACCTTCATTAATAAATTCCCATGTTGATATTGAACCATCTAAGAGATATTCAATTTTATTAGGTACTGTTATTATGAATCCAATAACTGCTAAAATTGCCATTATTCCTACAAATTTCATAGAATCAGCATAAAATTTAAATGAATTTTAAACTGGAAACATAATTGATCTAATTAATTATCCTTTCTAAGTATTAAAAGCTGTTTGAGTAACTAAAGCAATTACTTCTTATCCTTTGATTTCCATACATGTTGTACCTGCAAACAATGTAAATTATTTGCCTGAATCTAATGGATCATAAATTTCTTTATTATTTGGAAGCTCTGTTTTTAAAACAGGTATGGATTCTCCTGTTAACATAGCCTCATTAAATATGACTTAACCATTTAATAGTATAGCATCACATGGCATTATCATACTATCCTTAATTACTAATTTATCACCAGGTACTAAATTTATTGATTCAATTTCCTTCACTTATCCTTCATCTATTATTTGAACTGGAATATTAAATTTGGACAATTACTATAAGCGATAAAAGCTTCTTCTTTATTCATATAAAGTTATAAATATTGAAATCAATGATGTAATTAAAATTACTGTTGCATATCTCTAATATGATGCCCAAAACCATAATAATACAGAGCAAAACTATAAAATTTAATTAATATTTACTTAAAATATATAAAATGGACTTAGAACTTCTTCAATTAGAGTTTTTAGAATTCCTTTGTCTGGTATTTCTGTATTATTATATCCAAATGTGTCAAGCTGCTAGTTCCGATCTATTGATTATTGCCTTATATCTTATTAGATCATAGTCTAATATTTTGTTTCTATTGGATCAAAAGCATTTTCTGTAAAATAGTACCTATATAATCTATATTCAATAAAAATATTTCCATCTTTGGAACAATTCGATTTAACCAGAGTTTGAGATTTGTCTAAAATGAATTAAAGAATGTTCTTACCTTGTCCTATAATTAAAAAGTGGGTGGCCGATTTAGGAACACACTTCTTTGCACGGAAAAATAGGAAAATTCTTAAGTCCCACCTTGTAACTAAGTAGAGTAAACCACAAGTAATTATGGATAGAAAGGTAAATAATATTGTTTTGAAAAGTGAAATGCGACAAGATATTATTTCTGATATAAGACCTTCTTATTGGATGTTGATTGGATGCTTAAATTAAACCCTATAATTGTGATATATAAATGGTTATTTCATTTAATTAAAAATGTTTAACTTAAAATAACTTTTAATTGCACTACATCACATCACAATAATACTATATTTTAATCGATTGCAATACTCAATCTAAGAAATCTTACAAAATTAGAGTGCTTACTCATACAAAGTAGTAAATGATTTTTCTGCTCAATCCATTAAAATGGTTTATTAATCTATTGGAATATCATTAGCATTTTATATGATATTTACAGCATCCTATGTTATCCAATTAATAGTGTTGTTTTTCAGAAGTAATAAAAACTTGAATCGATACATATATTATCACATTTATTTATTAATACTACTTTATAGTGTGGGCTAATTAGTATAAATTTATTATTACAATTTTTAAGAAGAATTGACTAAATTAACAGCATATTAAAATGAAGAGAACAAACAAGATGCTTTAAAAGACTTATAAGAAGAAGGTTAATTGGCATAAACTATTTGGTAATTGTATTTTATGTGTACTGTGATAATAATAGTAGTATTAAAGATATCTTATTTGTATTTTGGATTGCATTAGTTTTCTAAATTCATGGAAATCTAATTATGAAATATATATATATATATATTAAATGATTATATATAATTAAATATTAACTTCACTTTTTAAAGATATTACATAAAAAGTTAAAATACTTAATTATAATAATATTAAATATAAATTCAATCATTTATTTATCTCCAATCTTCACCTCTCCAACATGCTTCAACTTATTTAATAGTTCTAGGTACATCATTAAGTATTTCTGGACCATTAGCTGTTAATAATATGTCATCTTCTAATCTTACACCTCCTACATGCATAAATTCTTAAATTCTTTCTTTATTCAAATATTTCATTTTATTAGGATCTTTATAAGCTTCTTGTAATATGAAATCAATAAAATAAATTCCAGGTTCATTAGTAAATATCATTCCTACATCCAAATCTCTACGAAATTATAATTAAGATAATTCTAAATTAAATAAATAATAAAACCTGGTAATTTTGGAGGAGTACCTTTATTATATCCTCCAACATCATGAGTTCTTAAACCTAACATATGACCTAATCCATGTGGAAAGAATAATCTACAAATACTATTTTTAATAAGATCTTCCATTGATCCCTTAATTAATCCTGCATTAAATAGATGTTTAGTTATTGTTCTTTCAGCCAATAATTACATATCTCCCCAATTAACTCCAACTTTTAAAGAATTATGAACTTATCTTTGAGTATCAAGAACAGCATTATAAATAATAGCTTATTTTTATGTGAATCTTCCATCACTAGGGAAAGTAACTGTAATATCACTACAATATCCATAGAACTTACCTCCCATATCATTTAATATAAGTTCCCTTTCATTTATAGTTTTTGAATTTTCTTCATAATGTAAAACAGATCCATTTGTACCTGATGCACAAATACATTCATAAGGTGTAAAACGACAACCATGATGTATAAATGTATGATATTAATATAAAGCTTCCATTTAATATTCTTTATTGCCTTTTCTTATGTTTTTAATAACCAATTCATGAGCTTCACTACTAATTTTACAAATATATCTCATAATATCTTATTCTTATGGAGTCTTTCTTACTCTACATTCTGTAAGTATATAATATAATTCATCATAATCAGAATTATAATTTTGTAAGAATGGTTAATCAGGTATAGGTAATGAATGATGAGAATAATCATCAATTCCATAAAAATAATAAATTAATGATGGTTTTCGATTATTCAACCATTATTCTATCTCTTCATTATATAAAACTTCATCTAATTTAAATTTTTATTTAATTTCGTCATTGTTTAAAACAACATTCCACATCTTATAATTAGAATCATATTATGGCACAAATACAATAGATTTCCCATTGTCTACATCTATTATTGCATAACAATTAAGAAAATCTACTCCAAACAAATAATGGAAATTACTCTCTTATTCCACTCTATATTATTAATCTACAATATTACTATTCAATTACCCTCATCATGTTTATTGATTTTATAGGCTCCCTTTAACATAATTACACTATTCCTTGCTTTATCCCCTACATTATAACGAAAGAAGTTAAGGAATCTAGTTCTAATATTCTAATGAAAATCCTCAGGTATCATATATTCTCTAGGAGGTGGTATTGGATCTGTGTTCATTTTGATAATTTATATTATGTCATCCTCATTAATTTAATGTGTAATTTCAATAATAAATATCAGTTCATTAAAAATACTTCTCTTTTGTTTAGTTTTCTCATTACCATTTAATTCTCACTAAGACTTAATATATTTTTAATTATATGAAATAAAGACCTACAACTGCCAAAGCTCCATTAACCATAGATTCCAAGGATATCCATCAACTATATGAGCTTGATAGTAATTCACTTTGTCTCCAACTAGGTCGTTAATATTAATTAATTGGTAGTAATCTATCGCATTTTATCATTTTGAACGAATTGGGCAAAGGTTCATTTGGTGTAGTCTATAAAGTCAAATCAACTTATGATGGACTTATCTATGTCTTGAAGAAGATAAACCTCACTCATCTTAAACCAAAATAATAAGGTATTACTATTTCAGATTTCTAAGCTGAAGCACTGAAGGAAGCATAACTTCTACGGACTTTAAAGCATCCAAATATTATAAGTTATTATGTGAGTTTCATTGAATAGGATAATCTTTGTATAATAATGGAATATGCAGAAGGAGGAGATCTCTAGAAAGTACTTAAAACTTATAAATAGTTACTCAAAGATTATAAGGAAAAAAGAAAAAGCTTGAAAGAAAATACTATTTGGTAAATGAGTAGAGAATTAACTTAAGCTATATAACATTTACATGAAAATAATATCATTCATAGGGATATTAAGACACTTAATGTTTTCCTTACTAAAGATAAACACATAAAATTGGGTGATTTAGGAGTTTCTAAAATATTTAATTCTGAAATTGCCTTAGATGGTACACGTGTTGGTACTCCTCTTTATCTTGCACCAGAACTTGTCTAACATTAACCATATGATTATAAAGTAGATGTTTGGGCTCTTGGTTGTATTGTATTTTAGTTGGCTACTCTGGAACCACCATTTTAAGGAGAAAATCTAATTACCTTAGGTTATAGTATAGTTAACCATTCACCAAAACCTTTGCCTTCATAATATTCAAGCTGTAAATTTGTAAATCATATTTTAAGAATTATTCTAATTCATTACTAAATTATTAGAGAAAATTCCTACATTAAGACCTAGTATATAATAAATTAATAGTCTATTTTTTGAAAAATAAGGTGGCGAATTAAAAATATAATAGTATTTAATATAAATAAAAAAAGACATATTGAAGAACGTACTAAACCTACTCTAAATCAAAATTAGCATCATTATTAAAGACCTTTAACAGGCAATCTAAATAAATAGATAACACCATCTATAGAAATTGATAAAGTTAATAAAATAAAGAAATCAATTTTATAAGTTGAAGGTAATATTGATTATCTTTATAATGTTGAGACAAATTAAAAAGTATAAAAATAGAATGAAACAGATAAAATTATTAAATAATAGCAATATTAATAAATAATTAGAGAATAATAAGAAAAATTAGAAAAAGAGAAATTGGATAAGCAAAGAGAGGAGAAAATAGAAAATGAGAAATAAATAAAATTAGAAAAATAACTATTATCATAATAAAAAGAAAAATTAAATAAATTAGATAAGTTAATTTAATAAAATTAAATTTAAATAGATTCTAATCACAATGAATACCAATTATAAAAACCTATTTAAAAATTACAACATAATAAAGTTAATCTTTTTATTGAAGATTATGATCTTAAATAATCTTGTGATGAATAAAAGAGTGCCTTTTCAGTTGATAAACATCCTTAAATAAAATTCAAATACTAAAAACCAATAAATACATATTAATCTAATATTTAAATAAGACCTTTATCTGCATAAGCAAGATGCTCATTTATTAATATATCTTCAAAATCAAAATTAATCCCAGTATTGCATCACAACTAATCTGCTTAAGAGACTAAAAAGTTTACAGTATTAGATTTAAATCCAAATTTTAATGAACATTCTTAACATTAAGAAATACCTATATCATAACCATCTATAATTTAATAACCTGAAAAAAATGAAGAATAACATATCAATAATATTAATAATAAAGAGATTTCACTTAATAAAACAAAAGAGAATATTCGTATCAAAAGTGTATTCACTTTATAAAAAACAAATAAAAGATTTAAAAATTAATTCTAAGAACAAAGTAATTAAATTATTAAACATTATACCTTAAAAGACTTAGAAGAGTGAAAAATATAATGTAATTTTTGTTATTTTTTTTTTTCTTTATAACCTATATATTTGTAAATCTATTATTGTAACATAATTATTAATTATAGATATTAAAGAGGCAATCAAAAAATTATTAATTTTCTTTAATTGAATTCATAGGATGGTAATTGAAATACAAAATAAGTTATATATAAATATTAATATTTATTATTATTGAGTAATGTCCAAATCATCTAAGTCCAGTCGTAATTTTATTATTTCTATTTCTTAGGAAGCAGTCCATCCAAGAGTTAACATTAGAGTCCAAGTCCAAAATCGAAATCAAATTCACATCCAAATTAAGGTTAATCACACATCATATATCAACATTCAAAATACCTCACTATCAACTACTTCAACATTATCAACATATAGAAAAATTATGCCTCCATGTCTCCAATTTGTCCAAGAGAGTTACCGATGCCGAGTTGAAAGAAATCTTTGAGAAGTATGGCCAAATTGAATATGCCACTGTCTGTATGGAGCCCCGTAGCAAGGGGTAGTAATTTCCCTATCTCTAATTTACCCTAGCCCTGGCAAAGTATCTAGAGGTTTTGGATTCGTTAAATTTGCCAAAAAAGAAAGTGTCCAAATTGCTCTAGAGGCTATGCAAGACAAAGAATTGCATGGATCAAAAATGAAAGTGGAAGTTTCTAAAAGAGCAGAGCCAAGAAGAAAGACCCCAGGTCGATATGCTGGTTATGCCTACCGTCGATCTAGATCTAGATCACATAGAAGAAGAAGATCTATATCATCTGACTCTTATTCAAGTAGTCGTAGAAGACATCATAGGTGTTAAATTTATAAATATTTTTTAGTCGTCGACGACATTATAAAAGAAGATCAATTTCAAAATCAGCTTCTAGGAGTCCAAGTTAGAGCCACAGAAGGAGAAGAAGATGAACGAATAGATAATATTTCAAATAATTACAATATAATTTTACCCTTTATATTTGTACTTGCCTTCTTTATTTTACTACTTTAAACATAATTGATAGTTCTATACTATTTTATCCAAAGAAATCTTAAAAGAAGCATAAAAAGAACTTTTCACTTTTCTATTATAATTAGACTTTTTTATCATTATTTTCCAATATAATCAAAATTCACTATAACTAAATTAAATATTTAAAAATTTATTAATAATCTGTAATATGAAATCATTTTAACATAATTCATTAACAAATACCTTTTTTTCTTCATTTTTATAAATATTTTGGGATATTCAACATTGATGACACTACTTAAAGAGTATTTCAACCATATTTTAGAGTTTAAATAATTTTCTTCCTTTTAATTTTAGAAACACGTTTAATATGTATTTATAGTATAGGATTACTTGGAAAAGGAATTTATGGTATTAACATAATGTTATGAATTCTAATATCAACACAATAAATAGTTTTTGTTTTAACAAAATATTAATAGTCTGAATTACAATATTAAATGAACAATAAAAATTATAATAAAAATTTTGAAAATATCTTGTCTATTTCTTGGTCTCTATTGATAATTTATTAAAAAAAAAGGATGAGTTGCTACTGTTGCATCTTGTAGAGTAGAATTTCAGTGATTTTGTAAGAAAAGTTATTTTTTCTATGGGATGGAGAGTAAGGACATTTGATTAACATAGTATTATATAATTGTTCTTGTGTATAGATTATATATGTTAACTTAAGGATGGTTAGAAATAGATAAAAGGAGCACTTGAAAAGAGGCAATAAATTTAAATATTATAAAAATTTTATAAAAAATAGTTAATTTTTATAATAAATTAGAGTAAAAGTGCATCATTTTTTAATGACACACTATTTGTTTGTATTATGATATTTGAGTTTATGAGGTTTTATAATAATTAGCAATAAGATATATTTTTTTCAAATAAAACATTATAAAAAAATGGAGTAACAAGATGCATCATCAATTGCATAAAATAACTTAACTGGACTAGCTACAGTACATGGGGTAAACGAACAAAATAAATTACTTCATAAAATGAGTGATTAAAGTAGTCCTATGAAAACAGACCTTTAGATTAATCTCAATAAAGAGATTTATACAGAGGAGGAAATGAAGAACTTTACAAAAAGAGGAATAATTTCATTGATAGGAGGTGTAATTTTACATATAGAATTGGGAACTTTTTATGTTTGGGGATCAATTAGTAATAAATTAAAAATAATTTTTTTTTAGGTCCATATGTTTGTGCTTGGATGAGAGAAAAAGATACTGGAGTAACACTAAATTTCATGGCTATCATATTTCCAATCCTTGGAGTCATTACAATGTCAGTCCTTTCATTTGGTATAAAGATTGCTGAAAAAATTGGATTTAAAGTTACAATAGGGATAGGATCATTCACAATTGCATTGGCTTTCTTGATAATATCATTTATCTAACAAATAGGAGGATTTATAGCAGTGTATTGTATAATGGTTGGTATTTCTGGTGGGTTATTGTATATGTTACCAATTATTTGTGGATGGAGATACTTCCCTAATAGAAGAGGTTTAGTATCAGGATTAACAATTGGTGGATATGGATTTGGATCATTTATATTCAATTTTGTATGCAAAGCAATAGCAAATCCTAACAATATAAAGCCATCAGTGATAGAAGTTGAAGATGGAAAAGATGTGAAATACTTTGATAGTCAAGTAGGAGATAATGTACCATTGATGTTACAAGTACTTGCTGCAAGCTATTTTGGATTGGGAATTATAGCAACAATTATGGTTAGATACCCATCTGAAATTGATCCTGATAAAATGTTAGCTACTTTAGAAGCAGAAGAAAAAAAGAAAAGAAAAGAAGGTGCTCCTGCTCCTGCTCCTCCAGTTTTACCAGCTCATAAAGAATGTGTCGAAGTGTAATATATAATATTTATATTTTTTAGTTCTAGAGGTATGAAACATCCATCTTTTATAATTCTTCAATTGATTGTTTTGATGTCTTGTACTTTTGGTATGTTGATATCTAATTGTTATAAATATTATGGATTAGAATTGGGAATTGATGATGCTACATTAACAGCTACTGGTTCAGTTGCAGGAGTAATGAATGGATCATCAAGATTCTTTTGGGCCACTCTAACAGATAAGACATCATACAAATTCACTTTTACTCTCATTTCAATTCTCAATCTAATAACTACTGCCATTTTACCATATAATAAAGATGGAATTGGTTATCTCTTATTGATTGCTGTAGTCTATCTTGCAGAAGGTGGATTATTGGCTACATATCCAGTTATTTGTGCCAAAATCTATGGAAAGAAAATTGGAGGTTTGATGTATGGTTTCATGTTCTTTTTTGTTGGAGTATCAAATATGATTGGATATATATTATATGCTTTTGCAAGAAAGAAGATCAAATGGGAAGGAGTATTTTGGATTTGTTTTGCATTAAATGTTATCGGAATTGTTTTGGGTTTGATACTTAAAGAAGTTGGATATGATTGGAGAGATTAGGCAGTTATTGATGCAGAGAAAGAAAAGGAGAAGGAATTATAAAACAAAGGATAATTGGCTGCATTTTAAAATTGAATTAGTATAATTTTTGGTTTCTTTTTATTTAAGACTACTTATGTCTAAATGTTTATTGTTTAAACTAATTTACATATTAATTAATTATTTTCAATCCAATATAAAAAATATTGCAAATGGATAAAAATGGAGAATCAATCTTCACTTCAGAGTTTTGGAGAGAGATTAATGAATAATATTTCATTGTCTAATCTCCAATTTAAATAGCAGATATTGATATTTTAAAAAGCAAATGTATTGTTTTTCTCAATAAGAGTAGCTTGGAATTGCAAAAAATCAAAATGTCTAAAACTTTTAAATAAATTAATCAGATAGAACAGATAGAACAATCGAACAAAGCTATTCTAAGCTAATCTAAATAATATAAAAACAAGAGTACAATTGCTATTTTTGTAAAGACAATCAACATAAGAACCTATTTAAAATTTAATGGATGAAATGATAGACTAAGTTTGTTTTACTCATTTGACTGTTGGATTATAGTAAGCCGAAGAATTAATAAAAAATATATCTTAATATTCAGAATCATAACAACTTTAGATTTACAATAAAGAAGCAATTTTATTATCAAATTTGATATATCAAATTGATTGGCCAGATGAATTAAGTATTTCAATAGAGCAATATCAGTAATAACTTAATGAACTAACCAATAATAATAAGGATGCATTACAAAGGTATTCAAAAAATACATTTTTTTATTTAGTTTAGAATAACACACTCATTAGATAAACTTAACAGTATTATATACTTACAATAGCTAATAAATTGGAGAATACAAATTGAAATTGATTAGATAAAGAATTTCAAATTATCAAAATGAATTGAATTTGTTAAAATAACAAATTATATCATTACAGGATTATTAAGTTGCTGAAAGTGTTGGGAAAGCAACTTTCAATGATTATAGTAATTATTAAAATTATTTTTATTAGATAATACCATTACTGTTATATTTGATAAATATTTGACTTCATCTCCAATTAATTTAAGTTTAGAATATTTTGGTAATCTCCAGAGATTAAGAGAATAACCATATGATTTAACAACTTAACAGTGCGGTCTCAGGTCAGATGTATATCAAAAGAGTATGATTGTAGGATGTATTTGAAATGTAAATGTGCCATTATTGTAAAGAGATGGTTGAAGTTAAAAATATGAAATAGTGTCATTATAATCATTTTTCAATGGGTCTTCATGAATACAATGAAGATTTTTTGATTTGTTAAAGATATTAAATAAATGCCAAATAAACGCAATAATATTTTCTAGATTTATATTCTGAGAATTACATAATAGAAAGTATTAATATCATCAATATAATAGATTAACAAATTATGTGTTAAAGATATTTTTGTTTAAAATGTTTAAAGTATGATTTTGATTCTTATGAAATTACATCTTATTTATGGATTTGTCCATTATGCAAAGTATTATTTTATTAATGGATTTAGGGATTGTGTACTTGTATAAGATGTGAAAGAAATGATATGATTTACAAAATGAAAAGACAATTCTTAGAGTTAAATGGAGATTTAGAGGAAATTTATAAATCATCTTACTTTGAGAGTTTGGTCAAAGAGAAAAGAAAATAATTATCTTAAATATCTTTAGAGTTTTTAAAAATTCATAAGAATGAATATGAAGAAAATTTATAATAAAAGAATAATAAAAGATAATTTCAAATAAATTCAATAAGAAAAAAGATTAAAAAAGATGATTAACATATAGTTAATAAATGTCATAAACTTTATTAATTAGAGAGTTCATCATCTTCTCTTAAAATAAAGAGATCAAAAGAAACAACATAGAATACAATAAGTAGTCTAGATTCAATTAATTCATAATTGTATATTTAATGATTTGTTAATTTATTTGTAATTACTTTTGATATACAATTTATTTTTATACAAAATATTTTAATATAAATTAAATTAATTCTATTTTTTAAATATGTTATATCTTATAATTATCAAAGTAAAGAGTTTAATACTTTTATTTTAGATCAAAATTAATTATTTTGTATCTAGCTTTTTATATAAATAAATTAAATTTATTAGATATTTATAAATTATAAGAAAAATGTTTTTATTTATCAATCAATTAATGATTTTATTTAATGTGTTATTTTCTCTATTTCTGAGTCCAATCGTTCAATTTAATTAAGTAATCGATAATCATAATCTTTTTCTTTACCCTTTATCTTTTTTTACATTTTATATAAATTCTTTTATTTTTCTTTTATTTTCTTTTCTATTTCCTTAACTCTCTCTGCATTTTTTTACTATCTTTTTTAAATGAAATTTGAATTAATTTCATAATCATTTTCTTAATCATATTCAAACGATTAATTCTATGAACTAGTATGAGATTATTCTTTAACTAATTTGTTTATGAGTTAATTTTAACGTCTGATCTATTATAATTATATTATAATAATACTTCTTAAATTTGTGATTTGTAATCATTAACTAAATTTATATTATCCTTTAATTAAGTCATTAAAAGATGATGATCTTGATCATCCAATGAGACTGATTAAGACATCTCTTAATATCCACCTAATTCAATCTCAGTATTTCTGATCATTACTAATTACTCTAATTCTGCTATCATTCCTAATGATTCTTAATAAGCTTTTTATTTTGACAAAATTATTTCATAATTGTATTCCAATTCCAACTCTAATCGTTTCAAGGCTTTTTATAGGCTTCCGAATATTTTTTCTGCTTAATCTTGAAAAGTCATAGCTGTTAAAATGAGAAAAATTAAAATTATTTAAATTTCCTTTTTTTGTTTGCTTTTTATTTTAATATATAAATATTAATTAAGTGATATCTTGTCCGTCCTCAGTATTGAATTGTGTTCAAACCTGTCTATATCATACTTTTCTTTCTCTCATTTTATTTTGAATAAGAACCCTAATTCAGTATTTAAGATTTTATGAGAGGTTTATCTTTTTATGTATCTAACGATTGAGATTTTGTACAATAATATCTTTATTATATCTATTGCAATGGTTCTTTGCTTTATAAATGATATTCAGTATTTTCCATTTTATATTAACCTAATTATCATATTCATACTCTTACATAGTGCTTCTTTTGGTATGATAATCAATTAGTAATCATTCAGATTAAAATTTGTTGACCCTGTCTTTGATAAGGTTTACTTTTAATTGTGATTAAGTTCTATTTATGATCTTGACATATTGAGATTAGAGCTTAGAGTTGGAGGAGATGCTAAAGAAGACTTTCTATTGTGAAATGCACTAATATTTGTGATTATCTTTGGATCCTTACTCTTTGGTGTAAAATCATTAGAATAGATGGACTATTTCTCAGAATCAGAAATAGTATGAGTTGCAGTTGTAGTTAGCAATGAGCTACAACTCTAAAAGGCATGTAATTTTTCTATAGGATTACTATTTGATTTAATTATTCCAGTAATCCCTTCTTTATTCATAGTTTAGGTTCTGCCCTTGAATCTAGTTAAAAAATCCATTGATTATTTAATTATGAATGAGTAAAAGAGATTAATCAAATATTTATAACCATCAAAATTAATTTATCTAGAAGATATAATTATAAGGGTAATTCATGATGATTTACTTATAAAATTAAGCATTACTATTTAATATATTTTTTATGTAATTTATAAAAAATTTAGTTAATAAGTCTGTGGATTAATTAATCTCTATTGAGGGTAAAGTTATTGGCATAGAACATTAGAAATGGAACTAAATTAATTTAATCATAATAACAGTATCCATAGAGAAAGAGTAATTTAAGATATATGGTTTCATCTAAATATAAAAAATGGATTTGTAGATTGGGTTTAAGTATGAATTCACAAAAGTACAAGTAGGCACAATGAATAATTAATTTTGTGGTTTACTTTCTACTCAATCTAGGATTTATTGTGATAGACAAGATATTTTGGAGATGGAGAAGTATAAATCTGAAATATTTGATAAACATCCAAAATAATAAATAGAAGTTGAAAAATCTGATAAATTTATTACGAATCCTTATATAATCAATTTAAATGATTATTTATCATAAGATGAATTTCAACTTGAAGGAACAATGTTAAATAAAATAAAATAGAAATTACAAAATTTAAAAATATCCACTTTAGTAGGTTATATTTATAAAATAAATACAGATCAAAAAAGGATGTTAAATTTAGGTATTATAGATGATGTGACTCATTCTCCTTGTGAGATTGATTTACTATATAATGACATATAATAAACAACCAATTATAAATTAGGTTAAAAAATTAGCTTTACAAATTTATAAAAGTAGAATAGAGTTATTTAAAATTCATTTAAGGGTTTTATAGAAGATTAATAGGTAATTTAATATGATTTAATTAATATGGAAAATCAATAAATTAATTTATAATCTTTATTAAGGAGATTAAAAACATTCAATATATTACCATATTCTTAATTGAATGAAATTAAACCATATACAATAGATAGAAAACTAAGAAAATATAAAGTTGATACAGTCAAAATTTATTCAATACTTTTCTAATATACATGTTCAATTTGTAAAGGGAGTGTGAAATGGCAATAAAATAAAATATATTAATGTGAAAGTTGTTTATCTTTTGTTGATTTAAAAGATTGTATTTGGGAAATTTTAGCTTTGGTTTAAGTAAGAGTGGGTACACAGATGGCATTATTAAAATTAAGAGATCGTCTTGTTCTTGAATTTTTTGAAATATCTCCATTTTATGAATAATTTTTATAGAATTACAGTCTCACTACAGGTATTTCTATATAGATAATTAGAAAATAATTCTTTAAGATAGGAATTAATAGAGGATGATGAGAAATTAAAATATCTTAATAGTGCTTTCTATAAGTCATTTATTTGTAAAGAGATTTTGGGATAGGCATATTGCGATTTTATTAAGACAGCGAAAACTAAGTATAATAAGTAATTTATATATTCTTAGAGAAAAGTGGAAATAGATTAATAAATTAAAAAAGTAACAATTATAATAAATGAATTTTGATTTTGAATACAAATTTGTTGATTATTAAGTTTGGATTGAGAAAAATGAATATGAAAAATTAATCATATTTCCTAATGGTGCATATGAATAAGTTTTGAAAAATAACAATTCAGAAAAATGGTATGAGAATAGAGTATTGGAACCTTTAATTTGTTTAGAGTGTTTTGGAGTTTAAAATATTAGTATCAATTATTATAAATACATAGCATCTGCTATATAATGATTTTAATGAATTTAATTTTATTTAGTATTTTTCGTTATGAATTAATGTTTGAATAATAAGAGCAAGGCTATTATAATTAAATAACCTGATCCCACCTTTATGAGAGCACTAAATTTAAGCAAGCATACTAAATCAAATAACTAAATACCAAAAGAACAGTAATAAATATCTACTTAAAGAACTTAAAGAACAATAATACCTTCAATGTATGAAAGCATATTAATATTTAAATAGAAAATCAATCTCAAATAAAAATAGTTAAGAAAAGATTAGAGTTTATGATGTATTTAAATAAATACCTAGAAATAAGAGTTAATCTTATCATAATCATATTAATAAAATGGATGAATCAAGAGAAATATTAAGTAAACTTAATTAACAGAAAAAATTCAATGTTGGTAAATATTTTAAGTTTAAATGAAGTAAAGATTGTTAAAAAACATCTAGATTTATTGAACCAATCTTAACAACTCATCGAGTTGAACTACCTCCTTCAAATAAAAAAAGATCATATAGCAATGCATAAACTATAGATAAGTTATTTAAAATGAATGATAATTCAATATCTTATATTAAACCAACATTAGAAACACAAAGGAAAATCTCTAAAATTTAGACTAATTTAAAATTATAAAGAGATGATAATATATTAGATTTGTTACTATTAAATACTTGTGAATTAAAAAAAAAATTGTCAAATAAATCTAGTAACAATAGCAGTTTTATATGTGTAAGACCTGGTAAGCTGCCTAAAGACTTCTTTATTTATAATTAATGATATATATAATTAATAATAATTTACGAAATTATAAAAAATGTAATTAGTTTAAAATGTTAAATAATGAATTAAATTTGTTGGTTAAGAAAGCATACAGACACAATTTATTAAGTAAATTATTTTTAACCATTCAGCTCCTTTGATATCTTAATTAAGAAAATAAACGATTATTAATACTAGATTTACAGATCGTAACAATAGAAAAAAACAAACAATTAGATAAGCATCAACTATAGATGCAATATAATAAATAAATTGCATTGATTAATTTACAGGAAGGAGTAGTTCAAAATTAACAAGCTCTATTTTAATTGTTAAATAAGAAAGAAGAAATACAGCATCTCCTTCAAAAATTAAACGTATACTATCCTTATGTTAAGATGATAATATATAATAATTGTCTGATGTCTTGGGAGAAATCAGTAGAATAGAATTAGAAACTGATCTTAAATAAAAGAGTTAAACATTGTTATTAAGAAATATCAGAATAAATAAACAACAATTTATCAAATTTTTAGAAAGAACCTATCCTATAATAATTTGTTAATAAATTGCTAAGGCTTTTAAAGTACCACCTATTATGAGTGCTTAAGAATATAAATAGTTGATTGATAAATTAGAATATTTGGATGTAAAATCATAGATTCGACTATGTTTTCTAATATATGATTTTAATAATTAAGGTTATATTACAACCCATGATTTAGTTGAAATACTTAAATATAATAATAATTAAGCTGTAGAAAAGGATTTACTACATATGATTAAATCTACAAAAACATAAATATCAAACTAAATCAATAATGATATTATTTAAAATAATTCTTTTATTCTTCCAACAAGTTTACTAAGAGTAAAATTAGATAGAAGTGTTATTTTATAATAAAGAAGATAATCATTAATATCACATGATGGAAGAGGACGTTGTATTAGTAGATTAAGCTAAAAAAATTCACCTGATTTAAGTGTTGAACTTGATTAGGATAATAATTAATAAAATAAGAATATAACACCAATTAAAAAAGTGGTATTAATAACTTAAATTAATAAAATGGAATAAAATACTGATTCTACAAATAATTTAATTTAAGGTTTATAAAATTATAGATCTGAAAATTAAAAAAAAAAGATTAAAATTGTTAAGGATGAAAATAAAATTAGTACAGACTTGACTGGTTTTATTAATATATGGTTTCCAAATAGACCAAATATATTTTAAGACATTATAAAAACTTTAACTGAGAAAAATTGATTAATTTATTTATTCGAATATAATTATTCTTAATTTTTTAAACATTTAAAATTGATTAATAATTTGTTATTGATATACATTTATAATATAAAATTTTTATTAAGATATTTTAATGATAAATTTGATATTATTACAGAAATGGATGGATAATTATTTAAATAAGATGAAGACATGTGAAAATAATTTATATTAAATTATATAATGATTATTATAGTTACAATCATGAGATCAAATTGAAATCATTTAGAAACATGCTTATGATTTATTTTAAATATCAGAAACTTGAATGATTCTTAATTTTAATCTAGAAATTTGATTGGACTGATATATTTAACTAAAAATTCATTATTATCATAAATCTTATTGTTGACTTTTAGAATATATTTTTCTTGAATTGGACTAAACTGATATTTCATTTTTGCTAGAATTAGAAACTCCTAATTCTTATTCTAATTCATTCAAAGATACTTCTTATTTATAATCCATCTCTAAAATTAAATTAAGATCAGGTACACTCTTTATTTTCATCTTCATTTTCCTCATCCATATCAGGATAAAATGAAAAAGGAACATCATGAAAATGAATTCCTGGAGCATTCTCTATATGGGACAAATAATCATAAACTGTAGACACTATTTTATTTAAATCTTCTGTTTTATTTCTATTTTCAACATTCTACTTAATTGGAAAATGTAATAAATAGTCAGGTGAGTAATAATCATAATAAATATCATTTGATGGTATTGCCTAAATAATAAATGATAAATTACTTCATCAATCTATTGACCTAGAGCAATTCCTGTTTCATATGCCCAACATCTGGAAACATTTTGTATTGTATATCCTCCACCACCAAGTAAAATCATAGGAATTCCAAATTATTTCATATATTATACACAAGCACCATGACCTCTAAAATTTGATTATATAGATGATTTACTTAATTGATAAATTAAATCCTCCTAATTTATCTTAAGATAATGAATCAGCTCCACATTACATTACAATACAATCTGGTCTGTAAACTTGCATTACTCTACTTGTAATTTTTTTGAACATTTCTATATATGGTTAATCAGACATTCCAGGCTTCATCGGCACATTAACTGAATAATATCTACCAACTCCAACTCCAACAGAATTCAATTATCCTGTTCCTGGATAAAAATCATCTCCATATTAATGAAATGATAATGTCATAACTCTATTTGTTAAATAAAATGCTTCTTCTACTCCATCACCATGATGACAATCAATATCAACATATAATACTCTCACATATACTCTTAGTAATTCTAAAATGCATAAGACAATATCATTTATATAACAAAATCCACTGGCTTCTTTCTTTTTAGCATGATGTAATCCACCAGACCAATTTATAGCAATATCAGCTTAACCAGTTAAAATAGAATGGGCACAATCTATACTTGCTCCTGAACTTAATTAACAATATGAAAATAATCCAGAAAATGTTGGATTGTCAGGTGAATCACCAACTTTGAATTCAGAATTTTCTGTTTTTACTTTTTATTATTGACTCCATTTAATAATCAATTTAAATTCTTCCAATAAATTTTCAGGTATTACAGATTCATTATTAGCTGAGCAATACTCTTTAACAAAATTTATCTTATTTTAACTCATGAATTAACTAAGATAAATGATATAATCAGGATCATGAAATTTTCCAATTTCTTATAATTAAGCTTCCCTTATTAAATAAACATCCATTTATCGAAAAAGACTTAATTTATAATATTTTATTTCTACCCATAATTGACAATCAGATTATGTGCCATAATGATTCTCTTTGGTTTCATAGGATGCTCTTTACCATATTGAAATTTTCCAATAAATCGATTATAAAAGTAAGCTACTCTTCTACTAGAATCTGAATCAGTCTAAATCATTAATTAATTATTTTATTATTAATAATAAATATAATCTTTGTATTAATTTGTATATCTAATTATGTATTAGGTACAAATAATGATTTAATAATATATTAAATGTTACATTCTTAATAACTATTAAAATATAAAAGATTACAAAAACATTTATATCTTGTTTAATAAATAATATTTAAAAGATATCTATTTTTTAAAATTGTCATTAAAAAAAATTGAAAACAACAAACTTTTAATCAATTTTGTATTTCATTATTTACAATAGCTTTTTTCGAGATGTTCATAAGATATTCTACATATATTAAATGTTTTACCAATCTCTAAATAGTTTATGATACTCAAACCTTTCAAGTAAGTTTTCTTGAAATCTGTTTAGTTATTTAGTAAATCAATTTCTTTATGCTTTGAATCTAAAATGGCTTATTGAATTTTCTCATAAACACTCAATTACTATTGCTTTTATCTAGTTAACATGATCCTATCTTAAACCTTTGGAGTACTAACAATCGGATCAGAACTCTTCCTATCTAAAATTGTATTAAATTCTGATTTGCCTGAATCAGAATATGTATCAGTTTTTATTTTTACTATATTTTATGGTTACTAGAAAGAACTATTAAAAGTGGACACTGTTTCGATATTGCTGTTTGATTTATTATTCATTATCAAGTCTACTATATCTATATTTGTATCTTCTCCTAAACATTTTTCTTTAATCTGCTCTAGAATTATAGTGGATGCCATGTTTGTTTCTTGATTACCTAAAATTTTGAACTTTCTATTTTTCGGTGCATATAAATCAACTTTTGGTTATGGTTTTACAGAATTTTATTCAATGTTTTTGGTTTATTACATTTTTTAGACAACAGATATTTCCTTTTAGTTTTGAATTACTGAAATATAGGCTTTAAATGGTATTGAATTCAGACATTGTATAACATAATTTCCTACTTTAGTGAATTAATAAACAAATGTTTGATTTTCATATAGAGGAGGTGTTTCTATTTCTTCTTCATTTTAATATTAATCAGTTTATGAAATTGCCAAAATAAAATATCTGTCTTAACAATAGATTTGACTGCTTTATTAAATTTTGAGAACTTTAATTGTTAGAACATTGTCTTGTGAGATTATTAATGATTAAGGAATAAATTAGAAATTTTTGATTTCTAATAACATTAAATTAAATATATAATCAATTCTTGAATTGAGGTGATTCTGATGGAAACAAACTCTTTTAACAATTTAAACCTTTCATTAATAATTAAGTAAATTATGAAGTCTTATCTGGAATTCTAACCACTTATTAATCTTTCATAATCACTTAATCTTCATCAATTGAATTATTAGTTTCACATGTTTGGAACAAGTTTTCTTAAAAATTATTGATAAATTGATTTTGCTATTAAATTTTATTGAATTCTTTAATTTCATAAAAATCCTCTTTGTTTTAAAATGATATATATAATGTTAAGTAGTTTTACAGAGACTATTATAATTATTTACATAATAAATGATTTTGTTAAGTAAAGTTGTCATGTAATTATTTGAATTGATGCATAACAATATCTTATTAATTTAACTATTAAACAAAGATGGAGTGTTCTTTAAATCTTTTTTGATAGATCAACATAATTTCATTAAATGGACCCATAGCCATATATTCTATAATATTAAATTCATTTGAAAGTATATCTTCCTCCATTTTTTTTAATGAATCAATAGTAGAACGTATTTAACATTATTCAGCATTGATACACTTTTCAATTTGTTTAAGTACTTCACTCTAGTTATTAAATGTTTAATTAATACCTTTAATTAAAGTAATGGTTAAATAGTTTGATCAAATATTCTCTCGATACATTATTGCATATCTGAGATTTTTACATTTTCTAAACTTTATTTAGTCTGAATAATTAGCTATTTAAATTACGATATCTATTCATGTCTAATCTCTTTCTCTCTTATTTCAGGACTCTATGTACTCTAATAATTAGGTTAATTAATTTAATACAGTATAAGTAGATAATGATATTGTTTTAACTTTTGGAGATGGATGTATTGTTTAATTTAATGAGTTATATTGATTTGGATTCATTCTTTTTTCTTCATTGCCTTTATTTAAATTATGTTCAATACTTATACAATTATTGAAATTTAATTTCACTCCTGCATAGCAATTCTATTATGCTAATATTGGATTTGTTCTATTTTATATTTTCATTAATGATTTCAGTATTTAACTTTCTTTATATTAATATTTAATGTACAATTATGCAGTTTCTAATCTGATGCTTAAGTTGAAATATTTTTCTTTGGTTAATTTGGTGTTTAATGTTGCATCTCATTTAAGAGAGATCGGTTTGAGTATGAATTTTTTTCCAAAGAAGATGTCTTTTACTTACTCTTATTTAAATATGAAAATTTTTAATTGTGAATAGCTTTCATGTTTTCTTTCATTAATGGACTCTTGCGCATTAAAATATATTTTTAACAACTTTTTTTATTAATTAATTATGTAATAAGAAATTTATAAAGATAGATCAACAGCAAATGAAAATACTTAATAAAACAAAGCTGCTGAAACATTATAATCTCTGATACAATATGTTAATGATCTAACAGAAATTGTTAATGAGGTTAAACTCAAAAATTAGGCAGAGTTTATTATTGCCTATTAAAGTCATATGAAGAAAATTAAGGCTGAATTGTAAGAATTAAAAAACAAAACAGAAGAATAAAAAAATAATATGGTATTAAATAAAGTTAAAATTACCTCAAATGACAATGAATTAGTATATTTATATATTTATTTTAGACTCTATTTAGACAAGAATGTCTTAAATTATATGAAAAAATAGAGTAAAAAAATAAAGAAAATTAAGAACTTAAATTTTCATTACAGGAATCCCAAAAAACAAATGAATTTCTTGAATAATAAATTAAAGGTTTAATGAAAAAACTTAAATTGTAAGAAATAGAAAAATAACAATAACCACCAACTTCAGTAGAATAAATCTTTTGTACAACTGCTCCTATTAATCAATTAAGTAATTCTTTTAATTATTTAAAGAGTTTCCTAAAAGAAAATTAACAGACTATTAATCAAAATTAGATATATCATCATCTTTATCAAAACATCATTATTCTTCAATTAAAGAATTATTTGGTTATTAAGATAATCAAAATTAAAAAGATGATGAATTAATTGAAAAGATTTCTAAGTATTTTATTATAAAATATTATAAGATATGTTACTTAAATAGAACAGAAATACTAAAAATAAATATAAACATTGAATTAAAAAGCTAATAATTTATTAATCTCTCAAAATAAGAAAAGTGTTATTAGAAGTGATCTTGAATCCTTCTTTTTAGATTGTGTAGAAACAGTCAGAAGAGATATTTTAAAGAAAAAAAGACCTTTTGGAAATAATTAATAGTTATAGACTTCAATAGAGAATATTGCAGATTTTTCTTAATTTCATAAGGAAGATAAATTAAAAATATTGGAACTTGTAGTTAGTAATGAAAAAATCTTAGTTTTCTTATATTAAAAATTATTTCCGAATCATGTTAATTTAGTCATAAAATCAATAAGAGAAGACATTAACATAAATAACTTTTTAGATCAAAGTCTTAAATATAATTCATCAAATAATAATCATAAATCTGGTGATTATAAAACAGATTTTCCAAAAACAACTAGAGAAGTTCGTTCAGCTTCATTGAATAAATAATTAGAAGTTAAAAAAGGGAAGTTATTATTTAAATAATATTGATTGATTATATTAATTATTTATATTACAATCATAATTTATGTCTTCTATTAATATGAATTTATAATTCCATTTGAGTCTTAAATTTTCTACCACAATTTGGTTACATACATGAATAACCTTCCTCTGGTATATTATTAATAATTTAATTGATTAATTGTCTTGTATTAGAGAGTTCATTATTATCCTTTACTTATAGAACTTGATCACAAACATTTCCAAATGTTGAAACTGCTGTTTCAATTTTTTTTGCATAATCTTAATTTAAATTTGAATCCAATAATAAAATTAAACATTTTAATCCAAGATTAGCTATATCATTTTCATTAGTAGTACAATCATTTAAAACTTAAGTTATATAATCAATTAAATTAATATTTTCTTTTTTTCTATAAATTTATAATATATTCTTACTTAAAGTCTTAATCCTATAACAGATTTAAAATTACACCAAGACAATAATATACAACTTCTCTTGAATTAGAATCTAATAATACAATAACACCTTCTGAAATTCTTGATTTCATTATTTATTTGATTAAATCTTTTTACCTTGATAAATTTGATAAAACTCTTAATCCATCACAACATATTTCTTGATCTTCATTTTAAATAATGAAGTGTCCAAGAATGGTTATTAATTCAAATTTAACATTTTTATATTCGAAATCATTTAAAAAGGTTTATTTCTCATAAAATGTTAAATTGGATAAACAACTTAAAGTACAAGAAATGATTTCCTTATTTTAAATTAAATTTTACTTATTATTTAGAAATTACAGTATTTTTTTGTAACAATTTTAATAGTTTTGATATTAAAATTCTATATTCATTTGAATAATTTTTTAAGATATCTAATCCTATTTATTCAATAGTCAATATATTAGCAATTAATCTTATAATTCTAATCAAAGCATCAATATCTTTTCTATGAAATAAATAATTAATTATTACTCTGATTGTAATATTTAGAAATCCCAGGCTGCTCTACTTTATGAAAATTAATCAATTTAATTTAATTATTATGGATTAATTTCTTTTGTCCAATAATAATCAAAACATTTAAGAATATCACCAAATTAATTAAATTTATAATATATTAATTATCTAATTCCTTCAAAATATGTAGTCATATTTGCTAATAAAAAGGAAGCTCTAATAATAATATATATATTAGTTTAATATGTTTTAAAGAAACTTGAAATATTTTGCATAGCTTCAGTACTTTATAAGAAGTATTCACAACATTCTTTATTCAATGACATTTTTGACATAATTCTTAATGTATTTAAAATCAATTCATAATTGTTACTATAATTAACCATACTAATAACTAATTTTTTAATAATTCCATTCTGAAGATACATTTCAACACTATTATTTTCATTAGCTAAATTTCTAAGAGTTGCTGTTATTTAAGTATATAAATTTAATAAATCTTTTTCATATGTTTGATCATATGGAAATGAATGTAAATAATTATCTATTAATTATATATAAGTAGGTTATAATAATTTTAATGCTTCCTTTTGATTATTAGCTATATTCTTAATGATTATAAAAATTAAATTTAAATAAGGTAATTATTATGATGTTGTTGCTTAATCTTTTGGTAATTATGTAAAGAGTTTCAATATTCTAAACAAAACAAAACTTAAAGAATTGTCATTAATTAAATTTATGAATACATTCTCATTACTTAATTATGCAGTCTTTTATAAAATTGCCAAGACCTATTATGGTTGATATAATAAAGATGGTAATTATTCTTAAATTTTGGATCCACTTTTTGGTCTTCTTAGAAGTGGTTTAGCTTATTTTTGAAATAATAAATCTAATAAATTTAAGGTAGTAAATCCAAATAAGGCTGCTTTGATAGCATATAATCTAACTTATAGATCATTAAAGTCTATTAATTAAATACTCTATTTTAAAATTTATTCTTTGCCTTAATCATTGCATTCTGTGTTTTAGGTCCAATCTTTAAAAAAGATGTAACATTTTTATATCCATTCTAACTTACTTAGATTAATTGATTTAATAAATATACTTTTCTTATTAAATATTATCGACTAGCCAATTAATATTTACAGGTTGAATATCAATTTTTGAACTTTAAGGTCTTGAATCAAGTTATTTATTGAGTGTGATTTTAGGTGGTAAACCAATCTTTTGTTAAGGTCGATTTAATGTTATTTTATTGAGTGTCAATTTCTTTTCTGGATTCATGAATTCGAAAATTGTATATAATTAAATAGAGAGAATTATACAACTGTTTAATGAATTATTAATGAATGCATTGGAAATAAATTAGAATATAAAATCATCATTAATTAAGGGAAGTATTCTAAAGATTCTCTTCTACTTTTTTTCTTTTGACATCAGGTCCATCTTAAATGATTACACATTTAGTAATCTCTTCAAGAGGTTCCTCATTTGAAATGGATTATTTAAATTTCTTTTTATTACTGGTTGTTTGTTCTACCTATTCCTTATAGCCAATTATGTTAACTAATTGATCTAGAAAGGAATGGAGTAGATTTTAGAATTCCTTCTATTTTCTATTCTAATAAATTTGATGTAATTGAAATAACTATTAACCTAAATTCATTTTAACAATTGACAATAATTCATTAGTTGATATTTCATTCAATGATTGCACAATCTAATTTAATATAGTAACAATTACATCCTCTATTTAATTGTCTTTTCTCATTAAATCATTTAATTTTATTACTAGACTCTTAAGTATATGCTCATTCAAATTTTCAAAGCTAGGCAATATATTTTTATATTGTCCAGTCAGAATTTGATTAGCCAATTCTATTGCTTCTTTTAATTTCTTTGTTTCTGTTTATATTGGCCTATCATTCCATTTTTTTACTTTTTCAAGACGTAAATCAGCGCTATACTTTAATTAAAACAAATACTGTGTTCCATCTGCTAAAAAATTCACTCTACATAATTAATTTGAACCTGTCTTTCCATTTGTAATTGAGGAGATCTATTTATGATTATTCTATAATTTACTTATGCTGGCCACCATGGATCTAAAGCTTAAAAAACTACTTACAGCCTAAGACTTTAGCCCAAACTACTTCGTTTATCTCAAATTTCACATCACAGCCCTATTACATCCCTTCACTTTTTGTACTGTAAAACAAATAATTAATTACAAGATATTATAGGATTTTTTAAAATTCGTTAATCATCATCATCATAATTAATTATTATATTTGAATAAAATTTCAGAAATAAATAGATGTCTTCACCATTTAATACATTATTCCAATTACCCATAATAATCTAGCTGCATACTGTCTATAATGTTCTATCATGATTATATTATCAACTTTGATAATTACTATATGTTTCAACTCTAAATTTTACAATTTTTTAAATTTGAATAATCCTAAAAGTAAAAATTTACAATAAATTAAGCTACTCCTATAGTCTGATGATGATTTTATATTAAAAAATGACAATTCACATAAGTTTAATAATTAAAATTTTAGATCTCTCAATATTAATTAATAATTATAAGTGAATTTTATTTAACAATTCATAATCAAATAAAGCATTAATGAAGAGATATATATTAAACAAGTTCCAAGAGATGTATTTATTAGATAACTTACAGAGAAAGAATAGAAAATTTAACATTTCTAATTCATATTAGATCAATTTAATAGTAAATAAACATAAAATTCTAATCTTAAAATTCATCAACACCATAACTTATAGAATAACTTGATTCAAGAGCAAAAATTACATTTGATATTCAAAATTTTCAACTAAATAATAAAAGATTAAGGAAAAGAAAACATAAACATAATATTAACACCTTAAAAACTTTAAAATATAATAAAATCTTAATATATATATATTGATCTAGCAACAAAAAAGTAAAAAATAAATATTTTACAACAAAAGTAAGAGTCCTAAAAAGTTTTCAAAATGTACATTTTTTATACCATAAAAAGAACTCAATTTTTATTAAAAAAATTTTGATTTTTAAATCATTATTTTATAATTTTCTATTTTCATTTTATAAGAGTTTAAATAGTAATTTCAAAATAATCTTGTTAATATATTATCTATGATAAATAACTTAATAATAATTTATACTGAAATATACTGAAATATAATACTTTATAATACAGTATAAAAGAATTATAATAAGTTTTTAATTTGTTTAAAATAAAATTGATTTAAAAAATACTCCTTAATGTTTATATAAAGTAGAAATGATATTATATAGTAATTGAACAAAAATTGATATTTCGATTGGAATCTAATTCAATAATCTTCTTTAAATTTATATAAATTATATATAGTCTCATATGATCAGAGAAATTAATTACATCAAATTAATTTATAATATAATGATGTCCTTAGATATTTAAAATGACTACTTAGAATTTGCATCAATTTTGGATGATAAATACTATATAATTGATACAATTGGATTTGGAAGATATGCAAAGTAATGTGAATTGAATAACAATATAGAGTTAAGTTGGCAATCGACATGGAGGATAAACAAAAATATGCAATAAAAATTATGAAAACAGATCCAACAACAAGTTAATGTAGATCTGAAACATTTATAAATGAAATTTCAACACAAGCTGAATTTGATCATAAACACATAATTAGAATAATTTATGTATTTATACTATATCAAACATTCATAGTGTAGAATGAGTGGAAATTATAAAAAGATAGATGGAAGAGTATAATTAGTTTCTTATTTTGTAATGGAATTAGCTAATCAAGGAGAATTATTCTAATTATTAGAACAGACTTAGCAATTTTCTGAAAAATTTGCAAGAAATATTTTTTCATAATTAATAAAAGGTAAAAAGCATCCTTTATTGCTAGCATAGGAATTGAGCATCTGCATGAACGCGGTGTTGTTCATAGAGACGTTAAAGCTGAAAATATACTATTTAGTAATGGAGTACTTAAGCTGGCTGATTTTGGATTTAGTACTAAGACAATAGATGAGAAAGGATCTAGAATTTAATTTGAAATATCTCAACATATTGGATCTCCTGAATACAATCCACCAGAATTATATAATATTGGTAATTAAAAAGTATTATTATAATATAGGAAAATAAAAGTTTTATAATCCAGAGCAAGCTGACATATTTGCTGCTGGTGTAATCTTATTTACAATGGTTATCAGATCTGCTCCTTTCAAAACATCAAAATCAAGTGATCCTTACTATTCTTTATTAAAAAACAATAAATAATCATTCTGGAAGATATATAGTGAGATTGCTGATTCATCTGCTCAATTTAAGGATTTGATTGAAAAAATGTTGGATGAGAATCCATAAAAGAGAATTACAATTGAATAAATTAAATAACATCCATGGATGTAAGGTAGTTATTTATTTTTATTTGAAGGATAAATGCTTGGTTAAACAGAATTTTAAAAAGAATTAAAGAATAGATATGATATGATATTTAGTTAATAGATAGTAAAAATTACCAATAAAAGAGACACAAAATTTTCAACAAGAAAATCAATAAAAAAGGTTGAAACTGAAACAATTAGTAAAACTATCTCAAAATGCTCATATGAAAATCTTGAATTGATTGATATGGTAATTTGTTGATTTATATTATAAGATAAATGCTAAGTTGTAGATTAAATGGAATTCGCCAAAAGAATAATTTAAATAATAATCAAATAAGAGTGAAAAATTAAAAGTAGGAATCTAATAAAAATAATAAAATTTACACAGTTTAAGAACAAATTAGGATTCCAAAAGATCAAGTCCTGGATCACCTTCGAACGATTCTGATAATTGATAAAAACCAAATTATATATATATATATTATATTGTAATCATTCAAAATCTTTAAAGTGTGAATTTTATTATTCTTATTTTGATGATTAATTGGTTTTAAAATTAGAATTGTTATGATGATAATCTTTAAAAATAGTTTTTGATAAATGTTTAATTTAAGGTATTTATAGTTATTCTCCATTAATTCTTTTACTAGTGTAATTAAGAATAGTTTTATTTTAATTAAAATTGAATAGTAAATCAATTTTATTGGTTGTTGTTTGAATTGGTTATATATTATATATTAAATCTGAGGCATCATCAATTTATGTTTTCATATGAATTCTTTTTATATTTTATCTAAAGATTGAATACTTTTATGATTATAATTCTTGTTTATTGAATATATTAGTAAAACATTCATTACATAAAGATATCATTTAATTAAGAAAAACAAGATTCATTTTGAATTCTTTATATTCTTACATATTCATTTTTGGATACATAATTTTAATAATTCTTGGGATCAATTATTATTAATCAATCTTAATTTAACCAACTTAAAGATTATTATTTAATTTTAATATATTATCTCGATTAAATTTTAAATTTAATGATTTTCTTATTATTACATTATTTTCCCAATTTTAAATAATATCTTTTAATCTAACTTTTGAAAATTCTATTTAATTTTTATCTTTATCACATCCAATACATTTAGAATTATCAGATAAAATTATTGCTTTTGGATAATTAATAAGTTATTTTTATATTTTGCTTGAAATTTCGAATTCAGCTAAATAAATAAATAAGTAAATTACGCTAATTTAAATGTTTTAAATTATTATTAGATGTCAATATTTTTGAACTGAATAATAAGTATACTTTATTTTTTTTGGCTATCTTAAATAATATTTCCNCTTGAATTGATTGATATGGTAATTTGTTGATTTATATTATAAGATAAATGCTAAGTTGTAGATTAAATGGAATTCGCCAAAAGAATAATTTAAATAATAATCAAATAAGAGTGAAAAATTAAAAGTAGGAATCTAATAAAAATAATAAAATTTACACAGTTTAAGAACAAATTAGGATTCCAAAAGATCAAGTCCTGGATCACCTTCGAACGATTCTGATAATTGATAAAAACCAAATTATATATATATATATTATATTGTAATCATTCAAAATCTTTAAAGTGTGAATTTTATTATTCTTATTTTGATGATTAATTGGTTTTAAAATTAGAATTGTTATGATGATAATCTTTAAAAATAGTTTTTGATAAATGTTTAATTTAAGGTATTTATAGTTATTCTCCATTAATTCTTTTACTAGTGTAATTAAGAATAGTTTTATTTTAATTAAAATTGAATAGTAAATCAATTTTATTGGTTGTTGTTTGAATTGGTTATATATTATATATTAAATCTGAGGCATCATCAATTTATGTTTTCATATGAATTCTTTTTATATTTTATCTAAAGATTGAATACTTTTATGATTATAATTCTTGTTTATTGAATATATTAGTAAAACATTCATTACATAAAGATATCATTTAATTAAGAAAAACAAGATTCATTTTGAATTCTTTATATTCTTACATATTCATTTTTGGATACATAATTTTAATAATTCTTGGGATCAATTATTATTAATCAATCTTAATTTAACCAACTTAAAGATTATTATTTAATTTTAATATATTATCTCGATTAAATTTTAAATTTAATGATTTTCTTATTATTACATTATTTTCCCAATTTTAAATAATATCTTTTAATCTAACTTTTGAAAATTCTATTTAATTTTTATCTTTATCACATCCAATACATTTAGAATTATCAGATAAAATTATTGCTTTTGGATAATTAATAAGTTATTTTTATATTTTGCTTGAAATTTCGAATTCAGCTAAATAAATAAATAAGTAAATTACGCTAATTTAAATGTTTTAAATTATTATTAGATGTCAATATTTTTGAACTGAATAATAAGTATACTTTATTTTTTTTGGCTATCTTAAATAATATTTCCATTTGACATATTTAATTTTAATTTTAAGTAACATTAGCTACATGAGAAACAATTAATCCACATAATAATTCTAATCTTTAAGTAAGAGAAGTTCCTTTTAAGATTCTCTATTCTATAGGTCCATTCAACATTTCAAAAGTTACTGCTCTTTAATATATATCAGCTTTTGAAAAGTTAATTTAATATTTATTAGAAAAACATTCGAAGAAACATAAATTATTAGTCCATGTACATTTAATAACCTCATTACAACTACCTAATCAATATTATTTATAACATTTATACTTTTTGGATAAACAAATCTTTATAGATATCCTTTTGTGTTATCTGGTATTTTTGAAGTCAAAAATTAATATAGTAAATGTTATGACAAATATTCAAAAGTTGTTAAATTTTTAGATTTCTTTATCCAAATTGCACATATTAAATGTTAATCTTCTTTATCTGTTATAAATTCATTTAAGATGTCTTCCCAGTTAAGTTTTGATTTGCTTTTTCTCATTATTTATGAATCATGACTGAAATACCAAAAATATGGTTATCCTTAAATGATCTAAATTGTATCTGGTATATCTATTTTTATGTTATTTTTAAATATTGGATCCTGTAACCATAAAAAATGAAATAGATTAAAGTTGAATCCACTTTCATCCAATGAAAATCTTTAAAAACTCATTGTTCCTTTATTAAAATTATAAAAATAATTAAGTATAATTTATATGGAAAATTAAAGTATCCAATTTAAAAGTAAGAGATATCTAGATTTGCTATATTATATTATTTAAAATTAATATTCAAATCTTGAATTTTATAAGTTCTCAATTATGAATAGGAATAATAATATAGATAATCATTTCTAACACTATTAATCTATCTATAGAGTTTTTGGTATAATCATTTTTTTCTTTTTTCCATCCAATGTGTCTTTATACTCAACTCTTTATTCAGTTACAATTTCTTGCTTTTTGGATTCCTCATTCTTTTTTGAAACATCTTCTTCCTCTATCTTATCATTATTATTATATAACACTCTAATATATTCAGGTAATTCTAAATTTAATATTATATATACATTCAACAGGAACTTCTTAACCAAAGTATCCTTCTTCAATCTATACAAAGGAACAAAAACCATCACAAGAACTAACAGCTATTAAGTTGGAACCTTTATTATTAAATATTTAGGATACCTTTGAAACAAATATCAGTAATAGAGGCATAATGAAGATTTCCAAATATTGCTAGAGGAGTTGGACTATCAGTTGAATAGAGAAGTAAAGAATCAACAGTACCTATGGCAAAAATCATTTTATAAGGTAAATCTATTAATGGCTATTAAATATCAGGGTTTCTATTAAAATATTTAGGACAAAATCTAATAACTAAAGCAGGAGTATTAGTTGGTAAAAAGAAGCATGGAACTTAAGGAGATTATCTTAAGAATCCATAAGCACCCATAATAGGTTTATTATCAACCCAAAATTCAGCAGCTGGTAATATGTAAAATGATCCATCAGGACTCCAATCTGGTCGTCTAACAAAAGTAAATAAACTAGTTTCACCTAAAAATATTCCATTTTATTTTTTCTCTTCTATTTATTATTATTATTGTTAATCTTATGAATTAATTTATTATACATCAACTTTTTATGAATTTTCTAATTTTCTAACTACATGCTATGAATAAAATTGAAGATTATTTAAGTTTTTTCTTTGAGCTTTTGTTAGTTTCCATACTCTTGCTGTTCTATCCTAACTTAAGGATACTATAGATTTAAGTCTTGGATCAATTGTAACTCCTTATACATATGATGTATGTCCATCTAATGTTTATAATTATTTTTATTTCTTAACATTCCAAACAATTACATATTTATCTAGTCCACCTGAAACTAAAATTTCACCATTTTTTGACCATTATAGATCATAGATTTCTTTACAATGTCCAGTTAAAATTGATAATGGCCACCATTATAATCTAGGTTCAGATTAACCAAAAATTTATCTCACTTATTAACTCCAGATTATAATTTTATAATCATCAGAACCAGATGCAAAATATTTACCATTTGGTGAGAATTTTAAACAATTAACAGTTTATTCATGTCCTGAATTAATTGCTCCTGCAAATTCAACCATTTTAGTTGAGTTTTCTAATATTGTCCACATTTTAATCACTCCAATATCTTCATAAGTATTATCTTTTTCAGCAATTTTAGAATCTGAACCTCCTGTCAATAATAAATTCTATGTTGGATGAATTGCAATAGACATTATTCTTTCTTTTTCTCCATGCCAAATTATATTAGGAATGACTAATTTCATGTTTAATTAATTAAATATTAGGCGCGTAAATTTATTATTTACATATATATATATATATCATTCTAAATCAGGTATATCATCATCAATTTATTATGTTAACTTTGCTTAAGCTTTTTATATTAATAAATCTAAATTCTATCTCTCTTATTTCTATTTAATTTCTAATTGTTTTATCTATTCTTATTATTTTTATTGATCCTCTTTTTTCTTTCTCTCAGCTATTTATTTTAATATTTCATTAGGATTCACTTTTGGCATTGTAATTACCAATTCTCCTGTAATTTCTGATCTTTAAATCTTAGATTTTTCAGAAAACACTTCCTCTTCCAATCTAATCTATGTAAGCTTGTCTTTCACTCTTACAGACACATACGTAGGATTCACATTTACTTTAACTAATGAAGTGTCTAGATATTTAGGAATATTCATTTTAAATATAACATTTTCTGGATCTTCCCAATTATTTACTTAAGGTTTATAACCTCCCTCATCACATTATCTAATTCTTCCATCATTCATATATATTGGTGTTTCTTATTTTACTTTAAATTTCTCTGGATTTCTTTATCTTTCTTTTTATTCTCTATATCTATATTTAAATTTAATTACTTTTCTTTTGCTTATATCAAATACATCTCCTTACGTGTTTCTGGTGTATATGCTACTTTATCTTCACTATTTGGATTCATTTCTTTTCTAATCTTCTCCTCATGAATTCTTTACTCTTCCTTAATCTTCTCTTCCTCAATTGCATAAATTAATTCCTTTTATAATTAAGGTAATATTTATTTTGCCTTTATTCTCTCTGTATGTGTTATCTCTTTACCATCTAATGAATGAAGAGAATCAACTTATCCAATCACATAGTTTCTATACCCTTGCCAACTATTCAATATTATTTCAATAATTTACTCAGTGCATGGATTTCCTGTTAAATATAATTCTTTTAATCTACATTTCTATAAACATTACACAGATTTTTCTAAATTTTATAGATCTACAAAATTGACTGTCAAATCTAGTTTCATCAAAGATTCACAATTTTCAATACCTTCAATAAGTCTGATATTATTTAATGCTAAATTTAAATATTCCAATTCTCTCAATTTAGTCAAGTTTTCCATTTTCTCGATTATATTGTTTTGTAACAATAATATTTTCAAATGTCTACAATACACATCTAAATTCTCAATTTTCACTAACTCTTCTTAATGAATTGAAATTTCTTCTAAATTTGTTAACATCATTTCATTATGTTCTGCTCTTTTTCTTAATAATTCTTAAGTAATTCTAGACATTTTAAATTATTATTTATAAATAATTAAAAATTAATTTATATCACTAAACCTATATTTCTAATATTTATTTAATCTTTAACACTAATATTACTTTCTTATCATACATAAAATTGAGAATATTACTTTAAAATATTGATCATTATATTAATCATTATTTAATCACAATTTTTCTATGAGTTATAAATTAATCTCTATCTTGTTGTTGTTAACTATGTCTTTCTGTTAGAAAATTCAGACGTTTGTTTTCTAAATAAATTTTTATAATTACAAAAATCATCTTCTACATGTGGTTCATTATTATTTAAATTTTAAAGATTTAATTTGAAATCAAATTTTTTATTATTTTATATAGATTAAGTAGCCATTTAAATGTATTTTTTTACTATGTCATCTGTTTTTTAAGAATTTATATTCAAAACTTTAGATTAACTATGATTTGCTTATTTTTAATGCTAAGACTTTGTGCATAAATCATGTCCTGTATTTTTCTTAGAATATTAAGATTTAGCTTTTGAATTATTATTCATTTTTTATGTGGTTAGAGTATTATATTAAGAAGGTAACATATAGTTAAATTCTGGTTTTTTATTTTAATCTGCATTTTATGAGCTTCTAATTTTTAAATCATGTAATTTATGAAATAAATCTTCAGCAATAGGTAATTATTTTGAATTTCTATCAGTAAGTGAACCTCCTTTAGTAATTTTATCTAATTAATTTTAATTTATCTTTTTTTATTAAATATTAATTGGTTAATATGCTTTTTTTAATTATTCTTATCGTTATGATATATTTTGTATACTACCATTATTGTTATTATTTTGATCCTATTTAATACTCTTTTAAGAACCTTAAAATCCTTAGACTACAGTAGATGTACTTGCAACAATTAAATCTTATGAAATAGTCTATCTTAATTATCGGTTATGATTCCCTTAATATTCTCTAAGCATTCTTTAAATGACAAAATTATTTTCAAATTTCTAGGTTTTGTTTTTATCATCTTAATCAATAGGTTCATTATTTGGAGGAATATATTCCTAGAATTAATCTACTTATTAATCAACAGAGTCTTTAATTTTAGACATTTTAAAACTAGATTATGAGTGTTTAGATTCACTTTTAGAATTAGCAAGTATAGCTAAAATATATTAATTATGAAAATACCTTTCTTTTCACGTAAATCTTTATGATTAGTTCTTCTTTTAACACTTTTAAGAGTATGTAAATCTTTTATTATATTATTGGTTGATATAATTTATTAACTTTGTGGAGGAGATTTTAGATAAAAATGTGATGGTAATTTTTTAAGTTAGTTGCTCATTTAATTTATAATGAGATAATGTTTATCAAGCATCTAATTTAATTATTAAGTATCTTCCTATAGATTAATAATATTTAAGCCTTTAAAATCAAGACGATTAAGTTTATTTGGTTTTTCTTATGATGAATATATGTCATGTTCTTCAGTTTCATAACTTATTTATGAATTTGAGGATAGTTTTGAATTGAGAACATTGTTAATAACAATATGATTATTTGATTTATTTGAATGTTCACTTTATTGAACTCTTTAATAATAGAGTTTATCAATTCGCTTATTCCTCTTTATCATCAGTTGATGTTAATCTGCAATCAAAAGATAGGGATGTTCATCTTTGTAATTGGTTACATAAAATTCAGTTAAAATATCAATTCTTGGTTTGACTTCATCCTACTTATAATATCTACAATTTAAGGAAGTTCAACTACCTTTTCATGTATTCTTATTGCTCATCTAATATGAGATAATCCTTATAATAAATTACATGAGGAGTATTTGTAATTTAAGATAGGATTTCATTTATAGGCTTAGCGAAATAGAAATTGAATGCTTCAAAGTATTTATTTTGTAATTTATCCAATATGAGTTACTATGTATTTTATCGGCACAATTTACAATTATTCTTCATTTACTCAAATTATCTATAAAATATTAATATAAAAATGAAAAAGCTTAAAAGTAAATTGGAAAGCACAAATACAGATAGTTTTGGTGTTTCTGGTAGTGATTTCACAAGAACTTAAAAATCTCATCGTCAATTCTTGATTACCAGTACAATGAAAATGCAAACTGAATCAACAGAATAGTTGAAATTAGATTTACCTCCTGTTGTGAATTTACCTTTTCAAAATAAGATACGATCATAGAAGAGATCTAGAACTTTATTAAGAACTAGCGATTTATTTAATGTTTATAAGGCACCTTAGACATTAGTAACTAATCCTGAATCATTGTTAAAAAAGAAAAGATAATATCAAATATCATAAAGTATAATTAAGTATTATTCTGATGAAATTATGGCTTTGAAAGATCAGTAGAGTTTAGATGAATAGGAAATAGAAAATGCAATTTCCAAATATTTAAATGAAGCAATACAAAGTCTGGAAATTTTAATTAAAAAGTTACAGAACTTATTATAATACAAATAAAATAGAGAGAAAAGTGAATCAGAAATGAAAGAAATTATGTAAGAATGTTTTAAATAAAAAAATTTATGTATATAATAAAGGTTTTGTTATATATTTGGTAAAATGGAACAATTGTTTTTTAATCCATTATCAGGAGCTATATATTTTAAATTATGCAAACGTTTGTCAGATAATGAAATATTTTATAGAAATAAGATGAAAGCTTATAGAGGATTAGGTGAATGTTTACTTAGAGTCCGACCAAAATTAAGCCAGTTATATTTTACAAAATATTTAATGTCAGCATGGAAATTAAATGAAAAGAATCATGAACTCTATGCTTATGATTTATTAGGAAAATATTATTTTTATGTTGGTCAAATCGAAAAAGCAAAATTATTTCATGAAAAAATGATAGGAGGATATTGTGAAGTATGTAATATCTTATCATCACTGTAGGTTCCTGAATCAAGAGTTAGAATATTAGCTTAGAGTCGTTTAGAATAAGGAAGTTTATCAAATAGAATTAATAGAGAACATTAAGTTGTTGATATTGATGTTGTAACATCTGATGATGAATGCTATGAAATTGTGTTGACTCAACCTTAATAAATTAAAGTAGCTACAGTTAGTTCTGTAAAATATTTTCAAAGAAAGATTCCTGATCTTAAATCAGTTAAAGAAGAAGCTAATACAAATATTAGATAAAAGAAACCTAAATATAATTCATAAATTTTAGAAATAGGTGGAGAATTTAATATGTCAAAATTAATAATATCTAATCCTCATCTCAATATAGGAGCTATAAAGGATAGAGTTTTATTAAGTCATATGAGTCCAAATAGAAAATTAGAAATGTATTAATATCTTTACTTGGCCAGTGATAAAAATGCTTTTAATAATGTTAATCTACTCTCTGGATTGTATGACAGATTTGAAATTAATAAAATCAATAAGTATCTAACTAAATTGATCTCTCTTTTGAGTACAGTATAATAATGGTTGATAAGTTAATAAAAGTAAAAATAATTTACTCGTAGATTCGCTTTAGTTTGAATATTATATGTATATTTAATTTATATACTAATTTATATTTTATTATGTCCAACAGAAATACAAAATCTAAGAGTCCTAATATTTAGAAACCATAAAATTTTGATAAAGATCTAATGAAATATCATATTTTATAAAAGATAACAAAACCTTCAGCATCTATTTAAATGTTAACTAAAACATAACCTGATGAAAATTCAGAGGTTGATGATTTTAAATAAGAAATTGAAATCAAGTATTCTATAATACATAAACATATTTCTAGATTTAAGAAATGTAAAATCAATCACTTATTCAAGTTTCCAAAAGAAGATTATCAATCTTCATCAGATAATTCTCTATCATCTCTTAAAGATGTGACTCTTTATGAGTTAAACTAGAATAATATATAACATCTAACAGATGCAACTTAACCATAATTCATCAAATTACTTAATGAAAGATTAATAAAATTAACAGATTAAATTGAAGATGATAACCTTTCCATTCAAAAACCAATCCCAAATCCTAAATCTTCAAGGTTGATCTCATAATAAATATCAAGATTATAGAAAGTACGTTGTCAAAATCTATCCAACTCTTCTTTAACTAAATAGATTGATTAAACAGTTATTAGTCAAGGACGTGAAAGTGTGATAAATAAATAAAATTCTAATCTAGGCTTCAGAGCTACACCAACATTATCATCTGAAAAGAAGAATTAATCTAAACATATTCAACAAATATTGAAAATTGTACAATAAAAGTAGTTAAATAACAATATAAAGTAATTAAAATTTGATTAACTTAGTGATGCATTCTATAAAAGAACTGTATAAGGGAACAATAATTACATTAACAATAATACATATAATAGTGATAAAAGAAATATAGAAAATATTAGAATTAAAACAGATTATGATGAATAAGATGGAAATTTAAATTAATTTCACATACTTCCAAAATCAAGGTATATATTAATTTTATTGTTCTCTCCTTATAAGACCTAAAAATAGAGACTCCAATAGTAAATTAAAAAAGTAAGACATATCTTAAGGTCATAAAATGTTAAATTACACTATAGATAGTCATATTTTAGAATAATTAAGAGGAACAAGAAATACTAAAAGTTAAAACAAAAATTATAAAAATTGATTTTAATTATTTATTAATAATTTGTGCTGCTTTTCTTATATATTTATATATTATTGATTTAAAATCATAATCATAATATAAGAAGATTTTATAATATAATAGTATAAATCAAGAAAGATGTTTAATAAAAACGGATTTGTAAATAATTAATATTTAATGAAAACTTTTATTGGTTTTACATTGTTGTATTTGATATTGGCAAAGTATATTATATATACAACATCATAGTCAAGAAATCTCATCTATTTAGTAAGATAAATTGCATCCAATATCAAAAATCATTCTTGGATTATCAGAAGTATAAACAAAGGATTTCAATTTCCAATAATTATTTGTTGCTTTAGATGAATTAGCAGAATCTTTTTAAACAAGAATAAATGATGAGAATAGTTCTTATGAACAAGATTAGCAATCATATTTATCAGATGTCTAATTCTATGAAAATTAAATTAATGATTTTAAGAACAAAGTTTATATTCATCAATATAATATAGATAGCATAATTGGAAATTGAAATCAAAGAATTAGGTGATGAAGGAATACGTTTATAAACATTTTTAACTGAAGCTAATTAAGATTTAAATGATGCAATTAAATTATTGGCCTAAAAAGAATAATAAATTAACTCAGATAATACAGTATTTGAATAACAAAATTAAGAATATGCTGATACAATTAATGTTTTAGATTAAGCAATTGCATTACTTAATGAAATCAAAGATGAAGCTTCATTAATCTAAAAAAAAGAACATATTAAAGAAGTCTCTTTAAATATGCACAAAAGGTATCAAATTATATATAATATATATAGTATGAAGAAATTATCATCAAAAAGAGTATTCTATTAACCTTTAGTAAATGTTTTAACATAATTATCATAAAATAACTATGTAGATTAAGAAAATCTAAATAAAGTCATTAATTTTATGAATCAACTTAGATAAAATCTTATTGATGCATAAACATCATTGTAAAATCAACATGAATCATAATCTAAATTATAATAAGATATATTATCTGAAACTCAAGCCAAAGTTAGTGGAATTCAAGATGTTTTAATTCCATTATTAGGAACTGAAATTTCAATTAAACAATCTGAAATTAGAGCATTAAGTTCTATATTGTAAGATGCATAAAGTAATTTAGCTGATGCTTAGGATAATCTTGTTGCAACTTAAAATAGATGGATTGAAAGGTATAATATAAATCTTTATATTTTAGAACTTCAACCCATAATAATTTATTGCAACAATATAATAATGAGTTATTAGCAATTAAAGATGCTGAAAATGCATTAAAGAAAGGTGGTATTTTTAGATAATGATTTTGTTTTTAATCAAAAACAATTATTAATAATATAAAATTCAATTATAAAAGTGTTATGTTAATTATATATAATTTTACAAATTATCATTCTACTATGTTTTATATCTCTTTATTCTACTTTTTTGTTTTATTATTTTTATCTTCTTAATCATTTTAATTTTTATTCTCTTTTTTTTAAATTGATTTATTATTATCATTATTTTATTCCTCTTATTATTTATCATCATTCTCATTTTTATCTAATAAATCCCTTTCTAAAATTTCTTCAATATCTATTAATCCTTATCTTTTCAATTTAGTTTCCTTATATGATATTTATATTGTGCTTAATGATGGAATACAATTTCCATATTTATCATATCCTGTTGGAATTGCATTTGTTAACATCTTAACAAAAAATGGAAAAATAAAACAAACAAATGGAATACTTAATAAAGCATAAACAGTTCTTGTAAAAAATAATAAATCTCCAAATGACTAAGTATGACTATCTTTTATTTTATAAATATATAAAAATACTAATTTAATAATTATAAATTATTACTAGACAATACTATTGAAATGGTTAAACAGATTAGATCATAAATTAGAAAATATTTTAGTCTACCTCCTTTAGTATCAGAAGTAATTGTTAATTAATCTTTTAAAAAGGCTCCTCTAGAATAAGATTTTAGTAAATATAAATATGCTATCCAAACAGTTAATACTTAAATGATTAAAGTAAAAATAAGCACTTGTACTTAATGATGATTTCCAGGTCCACAATCAAAGAATAAATAATGAAAATAAGCTAGAAAACATGGAAATAATCCATTAGTAATAAATTGAATAGATTTATAATCAGCTATATAATTGACTAATTAAAATTCTTCATCCTAAAATTATAATCTATTAATACTTTATTAATACAAAGTAAAATGATACAAAACATAAGTGGTTGAATACCCATATATGGAAGTAATTAGCAAATTTTCATAATTTTAAATGAAATTCTTCTCATATGATCACGATTTGTAAGGTCTGCAGGATATAATGAATAAAGTATAAAATTGCGTATATTTGAAATTAATCCTTTTGATTCCCTCTTTTTAATTTCTATTTTATTTGTTTCTAATTTAGCCCTTAATTCCAATCTAATTACATCAGTGAAATCTTTCCATAAATTAATTGCAGTATCCTATACAAAATCTTACATAAAATCATAAGGAACAGATTTCTTAACACTATCAGTTATTTTAGGTTCAATACTACTCATCAAACTTATAATTTATGTATCAACCTTTCCTGCAATCCAGAGATTAATGTGTTATTTTTTTTCAAGTATTTTATTTTTTATATGTGTGTCTAGTTTTTTTAATTATTTCTAAAAAATGGAGTTATAATTAATTACTTTCACTTATTTTTATGCATCATTTGCTTTTTCTGATACAAAGGTTTTCAATTAATGTAAAGTACTATTCTATTCTTTTGCCTTTTAGGCTGCCACTTCATAATAGTTATCACCATTTTCATCCAAACATATTTTTTTATTTAGAAAGTCTGGAATATCGTCATTTTATTTTGGTTTAGTTTATTTTTTTTTTGCCTACTCTTCAGCTATCTGTTGAATTTCTTATTCTTAGATTTGTTAAATTAGTTCTTCTGGTATTAGAGCTTTAGTAAAATCTAATTAAGGAACCTCAGACAAATTCTTTTCAACATTTTGATTTTCTACATAAAGTATTATTTAAATACAATTAAATTAATCGCTTTTGTTATTGTAATCATCTGATTTGAATTAATTTGGAAGACTAAGTGGTGATTTTGTAAAATCTTAATTTTTATTAGATTCTTCATCTTTCATTTCTTTGTATTGATCCTTGCCAAAATGTTTATTATAAGCATCTTTAGTTTACTATTTCAATTTTTTAAGCATGTTTATATTATTTTTTATTTTAACCAATAAATTTTCAGTCGTTTAAAAAATTTAAATAGTATCAAAATAAAGTTTGATTGAAAGAAATGCATTTCTATTTTTTAATATTATTAGAAGAATAATAAATATTGAAGTCTCTAATTATGATATTTATAGTTGAGATAATTATTGTTTATATTATTTCACAAATAATTGTTTAGTTAGATAAAGACAATTATGAAGTCTGTAAATAATACAATAAGAATTGGCACTTAAATGTACTCTAAATTTTATTATTAAAACAGGCATCAAAAACATAGGTTATTGAAAGTTCCAAGAAAAACAAATCATCACATAACACTTGATCCAATAAATAGATTCAATTAAGTAAAGGATTATACAATTAAGAGAATGGAATTTAAATTAGGAAAATTGATTGGTTCTGGATCATAGGGTCAAGTTTATTAAGCTATGAACATGTACACAGGAGAGATTGTGGCATGTAAAAAATTACTTAATCACTTAAAAGATCAGTAAAAATTAGATGTAAGATGTACTATGTTAATCAGACCGAATTATCTTTTTTGTAGATTCTTTAACATAAGAATATCATAAAATACATCTTTCATGAAAGTACAAAAGATAGCATCCTTATTTATTAAGAATTTATGTCTATGGGTATATTAAACTTATAAACATTAGGATCTATTTCTTAATTAATAAGAGATTTTGGGCCAATAAATGAGTAGACTGTGAAAAGATATACTCAGTAAATTCTCAACGGTTTAGAGTATTTGCATAAAAAAGGAATATTACATTTGGATCTAAAATCAAGCAATATATTATTAGATTGTAATGGATAAGTGAAGATTTCAGATTTTGGATGTAGTAGACAAAATAAAGAAAATTTATATTAAAGTATTTTATAAGGCAGTGTTCCATGGATGGCTCCTGAAGTAGTTAGATAAGAAAGAATTGGACCAGCCTCAGATATTTGGTCTTTTGGATGTTTGATTCTTGAAATGATTACAGGTAGACCTCCATGGAGTGAATAAATTAATTTTGATAATCCAGCAACAAGTTTATTAAGTATAGGATTAAGTGGAGAATATCCTAGAATTCCTGAAACAGCATCAATAGAAATAAAGGAGTTGCTCTTAATGTGTTTCTAAGTAGATCCATTATAGAGAGCTACATTAAGAAAACTTAAGTAGAGTGCTTTTTTATAATGATTTTTGTTTTTTTATAAATTGTATGGTTAAGAAATGTAATGAATTACCAACAAATTAAAATATCTATTTGTTTTATCATTCTAAATGATAATTTAATGATTATATATATAATCAAAAGATAAAAATTATCAATCACTTATGAATCGTTAATAAGAGTAAATTAATTCTTAAGAAACTGAAAAAGAAGTTAAGTTATTGATTAATTCTTTAGTTTTCAAATGAAGTTATCAGAATTTGCATTTTTAATTGTGCTTGCTAATTTTACATGTTAATCTTTAGTTGCAAATTAATATGGTTATTTGATTCTAAATACATAATAATATTTGCTTGGTTCATGGATTTGATAACCTTTGTTATAGTTATGCTTGATAGGAATATAGGCAAAGTATTATCTGTAGTTCATTTTTTGGAGAAAGTCTTGACCATATCGTTTAAAGTAAAATCAATTTTTTTAAAGATTATAATAGATTACTATAGTTATTCATTTTGAAGTCAAAGAAATTAAACTCTACTATATACCAGCAGTTCAATTATTCATCACTATTGGATTATTTCTTTTTTAGGTACTCCATCATGATTAATCCAAAAGAAAACATGTCATAGTAATATATTTTTTATTATTAGATTGCACATTCGTATTCTGTTCTTTATGTGATTTAACTCCTTCTCTTAACCTTGAAATGGAATAACCTATTCGGTTACACATATTATTAAACATTCATAATAGCATGGACAGCACTTGGAATCAATACCTTTTTGATTATATTATTATTGATAACCATGGTTGAAAATTGCTTCCTTAAACACCTACCACAAATAAATGGTAAAAACATAATATTATTAAGGAACTATAATATTTTGGTTTATTTTTTATATATTTGGATTAACCATAATTCCATTCTTTCTATTAAAAACTATTTGTGATTTTTATGAAGGTGACACTATATACAGTAATATCTAATTAGCATCAATTGCTGTATTAGTTTGTATTTTGATATATCTCTTTCTATTTATTTTCTTCACTCTAAAAATTAAGAAATAACTTATGTAATATATTTCTATTAATTTAGTGTTGTGTTATAATTAGATCATAGATAAGCTATTACACCAAAAAGACCATTATAAGAAACTACTTAGAAAAAATGGAGAAAATTAAAAATTCCTATAATGTTTATAAGAATTTCAGCATCTTATTATAAAATGCTTACTCGTTAATCAACAATAGATACTAATACCCGTAATACTAGTTCAATACCTATTTGCAGTGATGTATTACGGCCTGATTCACTTAATTTTCGTCAATCGCCATGTTAAACAATGATGAAATAAATGAAATCAATACCAAAAGATTAAGATTCAGGAGATTTTTGTTTAATTTGTTTTGAGAATGAACCTGATGTAGTATTACATCCATGTAATCATGGAGGAATTTGTAATAATTGTTCTGAAAATATGATAAAAACTACCAAATAATGTTTTCTTTGTAGATCAGAAATTAGATATGCATTGAAAATTAATCAAAAAGATGGTGAGATGCTAGAAGCTACTGATGTATAAAAAGTTTGAATTATAAATCATATATTCTATTATCAATTATCAAGATTTCTTAATTTTTACTTTCTTCTTTATTTTTATTATCTTTCTTTTAATTATTAAATTAATTCTTCAGTTTATTTAATTCTTTTAAGTTATTATTCTTCTTCTAATTTTTGTGGTTCCTTTTTAATACTAGGTAGATGTGGTAATAATGGTGTTCTCTCTTCAGTTCCATGTTTAATACTATGTAAATGTAAATAAATAAATAATTTACCTTTTAATAATTAAAGGTTTTGATTCTCCTTCAATATCTAGTTTTTTAGGTTATTTTAAAGGATCTACTTTAGATTGTTTATTAGAGATTCTGGCAATTTTTTTTACTGGAGGATTATAAATAGAAGCTACTTAATTATTTTTAGTTGAGTTATTTTAATACATTTCAAGTTATGAATCATCTACTTTCTTATTGTTTTTAGAGATTACTGAATTCTCATGACTATCATCAATTCTTCTATTATTCAATCTTGGTAAGAAATCAATATTCAAAGAATGATTTTCTTCAACATTTTCTTAATTTTATTTTTATACAGCCAAAGTTTGAATAAATTAATATTTATCTACTTTAGTCATTCTTATAGGATTATAATTTGGTTTAGGTAATCTATCAGTAAGATAATGCATATTTCTTGGTACTCTTATAGTTTATAATAGAAATTTAGCACCTTCTTCTTCTACCAATATTTTATCATCCAATCTATTTACAATAGCTTACAATTATAAAATCTTATCACAACTTGGTCTTAGATGTGGTTAAACTTATAATAATGCTCTTATAACATTGCTTAAGTCTTAACTATAAATAGTTGGTATTTTAGGGTAATATCCTTTAACAACCTTTTTATAAAGACCACTCATATCTTCTGCTCTAAAAGGTGGTTTAAGTGTTGTCATTTCATATAAAACACAACCTAAAGACCAAATGTCTGATTTAGAATCATAAGGTTAATCTTTCCATACTTCTGGAGATGCATAATAAGGTGTTCCAGTTTATGTGTAGAGTAATATTTTCTTGGCTACTTTAGATACATTCATATCTCCCAATTTAACAGTTCCATCACTATTCATAAATACATTTGCTGATTTTAAATCTCTATGATATATTTTCATATCATGTAAAGCTTTAAGTCCTTTTACTATCTAAAATAATTATTAATTATTCAACATACTTAAATGAGGATATTCCATATATCCTTTTCAGACATCAGAACTCCTTTTTTCTAACTCTCTATTATTTTTTGGAATAAATCACCATCATCTGCATATTCCATAACAATACTAGTAAATTTATTTTGAGAAAGTTACCATAAAATTTATTACTATTCTTCTAAAAACGCTTCTTTATATTGAATGACATTTGCATGTCTAACACTAGCTAAAATTCTGACTTCATTTAGTGCATTCTATTTCTCTTTATCAGATAATGACTGTAGTCTAACCTTTTTTAATGCATATTCTTATTGATCTGCAATTCTTTTTATTTTATATACTTTTGAATATGCTCCTTCACCTTATAAATTGATATTTTTAATTATTACCTAACTCTTATAAAATCTAAAAATCCTTCAATGACATATTTATATTAATGATAAATATAATTAACAAAATAGACAGAGAAAATCACTTATTATAAATTCATTTCAATTATTTCTAATATAAACTTCTTCTGCCAAAATTGGTCATTTCATCTTATTAAACTTCTTCAAAATTTTATTAATAATTAGATATCAATGGTAATTATCTACCTTATGTTCTTTATGAATGAGCTCTCACATCTATTATACAAATATATCAAAAAAATACTTCGATTTGTCATTTACATTTATGAATCCTTATAATCTTTATTTGGAGTATCTCTAAAATCTTTCTAAAAATTTCTTTAAAATTGAGTCATCTATTCAGGTAAAAATCCTGGTTCCTCTACCATCATTGTATTCTTCTTAATAGTTGAAGGCCTTTTTTAAGGAGATTCTCTTTATTAATCAGGATCTCCTAATCTTTCTCTTAATTCAAAATTCTCTTTCTGTAAAAATTGAATTTCTCTATACATAGATTCACATTTCTAATTAATTTGTTCCTCTCTTTCTCTCATCTCTTTATTAGATAATAATAATTCTCTAACCATATTAATTGAATCAATTAATCTATCATTGAATTATGTATATTCAAATTTATTAGCATCTTCATCTGAAGATTCTACCTCTAACAATTTCTATTAATTTTATAATAAATTATCAAAATTGCTTCTAGTTTGTACATTATTCATATTATCAAAATTACTCCTAGTTTAAACATTATTCATATTCTAATTATTATCCTTCTTTTAAACAATATTAGATAAGAATTCTATATGTTCATTAGCCTTACTTAATTCCAATTTTAAACTATTTATTTATTATTTTAAATCATTAATTATTTTTAATTTAGGATCATCATTCTTTACAGGAATATTTGTAATATAAGCTGCCTAAGTTAATGTTTAATTTATACTTTTGTAGCATACTATAATGTTGATACATTTTCATCATAGAATGTATCTAAAGGTGCAATACAAGCAATCATCAAACAAAAACAATTACCTCCTATAGATTACTTTAATAAACAAGTTAATTTTGAATCTCTATAAGGAGGTATTGTCTTATTATTTGTATCACTAAGAATAGCAATCACTTATCTTAATGTCATTAATGATTTATTTATCTCAATACTCTCCTTAGCTTATCTACCTTCAGTACCTGTTATACTGATTCTTTCTGATCCAGCCAAATCTACTAATTCTAATTTTGATGTAATAAAATAATCTGGATTTTTTAGATCTATACTCTCTATTTTTATTTCAAAAATAGAATGACTTCTAGATGATTAAAAATTCAATTTATGACTTGCTGTTATTCTATTTCTACTTCCTAATTTGAACAATTAAATAACTTCTTCTGCTGATTTACATTAATAAACAAATAAATTTTCAACTACAAATTAATCCCTAACATTCCATCTCATTTTCAAACCATTAGCTTATACATTATAACTTGTTTTAGTTGTTTCTCCCAAAAGATCATATATTTTTTCATTATATATTTACAAATATGAACAATAGACTGAAAAGTCTTTTTATAGAGCATTCTATTTTATCTTATTAAACAAACTATGAACTGTTTTAGGGATTATGCCATCTGGCTTAATTGCAATTCCTTCATCATCTCTTAAACCTTCCATTGTAAATGTTTTTCCAGATCCTGTCTAACCATATGCAAAAACTGTCACATGATACCCCTCAATTACAGATTACACTAATTAATCAATTTCACAACTCTTAAACACCTAATCTTATGAAGCTGTTTCAGGTAAAACATGATCGAATCTATTTGATTTACATTTTACTTATAACTCTTTTTATTTCTCTCTTCTTTTATTATTACTTCCTATCCATTGCAATCAATTCTTGAGTTTAAATGACCTTGCCTTTTTTCATGATCTAACAAAGGTCTTATTCGAACTGCCACCCTTATTTTTTATTGATTTTACATATAGTTTAATATAAATTAATATAAATTTAAATATAACATACATAACAACTATAAAATATAACAATTAGATCAATGTATGAAATTAAGACTATAGAATAATTCAATTTATTATTTCAATTTTAAATTATTTCTATAAGTAAAAACATTTCAAATTTTTATAATTATTAAATTTAAACTAGAACTTCATATAAAATATATTACTTTTTGTATTTAAGATGACATATTTATATTATTATATTTAATTGATCCAATCAATTAAATATAATTGAAAAAGATTATGGAATACATATAACAACTTATGAGAAAAGTTTTTTTTGTAAAAATGATGAAAATAACATTTTTAATATTATATAAAAGAAAAAATAAAATAAAATTTACAATCAGGACTTGAATCTCATCAAGTAACGTTTGATGGATATCATTTCTTCTAAGGCTTTTTAGTTTTAGTCTTACAATAATCTGGCCTTTTAGAAGTATTCTTCTAATTTTGGTAATTTAAAGGCAGATTTAACTTTTTCTTATTTCTAGGGATTTTGCTTAATTTATGGGAACATTATTTAATTAATATAATATATTTATATGTGTAATCTATCAGTTCTTTTTGTTTGCTACTTGTGATTTAATTTAAGCTGTTTCAGGTCTCTTCTGTTTATTTAATGGAGACAAATATTATCCAAAATATTAAACATATGTTTATTTCAATTATTCTTTTATTGAAGGGGATTGAGATCTCTATCCCTAATTTAAATGAGGAGAAGCATTGTATACAGGAGATTAAGATCTTTACTTTTTATCGAAATTAGCTCTAATTCCTGAAGGTTTAATATTCTCTAATTCTTCTAATGCTCTTTTAATAGGACTAACTTCATTTTCATGAGTTCTTTTATATGTATACCCTTAAAAATGATTTTACTCTCTTCCTTTTTTATCTGTTGTCTAATACCATGGATCTTATTCATCAAATTTATCAAAATTAGCTGTAATTTTGGATTTATCAGGTAAATAAGGAGCTTTGATATTTCTTATATTGTCCCAATCAATACCATTGAAAAAAGGATGTTTTTTGATTAAATTAACATCACCTAATCTTTCAGTAGAATCAGCCATTAATCTCTTAATTAAATCAGCACAAGCAGGTGATATTTTAGGTTCTTTTGGAATTGCAAAATGTTTCTTCCAATTTACAATTTTTTAACATGTTTTTTAAGGAGTATCACTATAAAATGGTGGATAACCAATAACCATTTCAAATAATATAACTCCAACACTCCACCAATCTACTAAATCATTATATCCTTTCTATGAAAATACTTCTGGTGCAATATAATCAGGAGTTCCAACAGTTGAAAATGCTAATTATCTTCTAGTCTATTATTATTAAGTATCTTATTTTCTTTCTGTATAAGGAATTGATAATATTTCATTTTATTTATTTCCCAAATGTTTACATAATCCAAAATCTGATAATTTAAGATGTCCATTTTCATCAATAAGAATATTATCTGGTTTTAAATCTCTATGAATATAATTGAGTTTGTGCACAGCTTCAATTGCTAGCACTATTTCGGCTGTATAAAACTTAGCCTCTTTTTCTGGGATGATATCCTTTTTAATCAATAGTGTCATAAAATCACCACCGCTTAAAAATTCCATCACCAAATATAAGTATTTTTCATCTTAAAATGAATATTTTAATTATACAACCCATGGACAATTAGCTTATACTAATATATCTCTTTCTGCTCTTATATGTCCTAATTAATTTTTAAATATCATCTCAGACTTTTTCATTTTCTTTATTGCTACAATCTCTTTAGTTTCTTTATCTCTACAAACACGAACCTCACCAAAAGCACCTCTTCCAATTATTGCAATTGGTTCAAAATCCATCACTGTGATCTTCTGTCGCCTTGAAATGATAAATTATTCACTTTTTTCTTAGCTAAATGGCCTCTTTATGTAAAATCTCCTTCTTAATTAACTCTTATTCAATTGGAGTGAAATTCAAATTCTGCATATTTTATTACAATTGTTGCCAAATCATCTTCTTTTCCATTTCCTATTAAAGACTTAATTGATATTTTCTTTCAATGTAGGATTTACATGCAGCCACTCTATCTTTAGTTTGATTGCTTAGTTTAACTTCAGCCATTTTTAATTATTTATATAAAATTTATAAATATATAAATATATATATAATCAACCTTCATCATAATATTATTAGATATTAAATAAAGAGATTCTCATATATATAAGAATAATTTATATTCAAAGATTATAATTATTATTTCAATTATTAATTAAAATAGAGGAATAAGTAATGAAAACTAAAAATAGTATTTTAATCTAACAATTAAAAATATCTTCTTTGATTAAATACAAATTATGTGACTACTACTAATAATTAAAGAATATATAATTAATTATTATTATTTATTATGAATAATTTATATTGCTAGAAGAAAAAAAGAATTCATGAAGTAACTTATGCATAAAAAGTAATCAATTCTGTTAAACCAGATATTGAAAATATTAAACTTAATGAAAACTTATTTTAAGCTCAATAAATGGCTAGACATTCATCTACATTAATTAAAGATATATAAAAAGATGTAAGATTGACACTTAAGAAATATGATTCATATGTTAAAATGAGTGAATCTAATAGAAAAATAACTGATAAATAGGTTAGTGAATCTACTAGAAGGTATTAAAGTGAAAGTCCTCTAAAATAATAAGAATCAACTGATAAAGAACTTGAGACTTTAAGATAATAACAAAGAATTCTAATGACTCTCCTTAACAATTTATAACAATAAGAAAATCTAATAGTTTCTTAATCATTTCCAATTCCTGAACCTCATCCTAAATCTGTTATTGATAAAGAATGGTTTCAATAGAAAACTAAATAATTATAGTAAATTTAAAATACATAAGCATAAATTGAAAATACATCATCCAAAAGATTAGATAAAAGTGATGTTATATAAATTGATCTAAGTAAAGTTAAAAGATCACCTAATAGTAAATCTAGTTCTGCTTAAAATTTCTTTAGTCCAAATAAAAATCCTATTAAGAATTCTCTTACATATATTTAAAATTCTACTTCTAGTTATGCTAAATTACATAGAAAACAATCTAATTCTCCTTAAAAATGGGGTTAATATGGTGTTATAAATCAATAAAAACCATAGAAAAATTTGATAGTAAGTAAAAGGAATGAATAATGGAAACAAAGGGTTGACAATAAAATAAGAAATGAATTAATAAAAAAATAAGAAAGAGAAATAAAAGCATGCACATTTAAACCTAAAATCTTATCTAAGACCCCAAAAAGTAATCGTAATAGTAAAGAAACATCAACAGATTTTAATGAATTAATGTTTTTAATTGATGATATCAATGAATTTAATGATAAAAATAAGAGATCAACTATTAAAAAATGAATAAAAATATTTTATAATGTATATTAAATAACAAATTCTGATTAAAAATATTAGTTTTCATAATCAATAGAATATTCCTTAAAAGTAATATTAAAATTTATCATACCACTTTGCTCTCCAATTATCAAGAGATTAATTTATTAAACTAAATAATTATATATGATATATTTTTACTTTTAAGTAAATACTGATATTTCTCCATCATTTGAACAAGGTGGATTAAATCTAGATTCAAGATCATGTATTGCAATCTCACCTTTACTAAAACATGGTAAAGTGTATCCATGTCCACTATACATCATCTTAACTAGCAACAATATTTAATCTTAATGTTTCTAACAAGCAACAAATCCTTTAAAAAATAATTTTCTAAATAGATTAAATAATTCAGATTTAGTTCCTCCTAAAACATCAATATATTCAGATAATAATTTAAATGGAACATTTTTTTCAAATTCTAATCCTTTTCCAGGGGATATACTTATAAAAAATCCAAAATCAATATGTAAAATCTTACCAGATTTATGTAATAAAATATTTCCATTATGTCTATCTTTTATTTATAGGAAATAACAAATTAAACTATATGCAGCTAGACTACTACAAAAATTTCTTTAAGCTTTTTGTAAATTAGTTGTATAATATTTTTTGAAAAATTGACTCAAAGTAATATCTTTATCAATAGAATTTAATTTCTTTTTAAGTGAATCTATTGTTGCTGCATCTTTAATCATTTCCATTATACCTGAACTAGGTCCTAAAGATTATATATCATATGTTGTCAATTTCAATGGTAAATTTTCTTTTTAGAATATCATTTAAAATTAATTGATTAATTGTAGTGCAAATTGTTCTTATTTTAAATTATCACCTGTTTTAACTATTAAATGAACTAATCTCCAAGATCTGAAATGACAATATGGAGATTATTATCTAATTCTTTCACTAATTTAATTTGAATCTTCACCAAAGATTTCCTATCCAATTTTTTCAAAATCTAATGTTATATCATTAGTTTTCTTTTAATCTTCTTTTTTACTTAATTCTATTTCATAACATTCAGCTATATTTTAATAAATATATATTTACAGACACCTTAACTTTGATTTGATTCTTAAGATATAGTTAAATTAGATTAATTCTTAAAATCACTTAACATATTAAGTTCAACATTAAATTCAGAATTCTTTCTTTCTCTTTTATCTTCATGTTTATTTTCCTCTTTTTCAACATTATAAACTTCTATACATATATAAAAGGGAGCTCTTTCTTTAGTAGAAAATATTTTGGTTTCTTAAACAACTATATTTAAAATTGTGTATTGTCTCAATTAATCTTAAATATTTAAATTAATTATTTTACCTTTTACAAATGGAATATAAACATTAGCAGGTAATCTAGTATTTATTAATGATAAATCAGCTCTTAATGAAATTATTTTTGGATCTGCAAATTTTAATTTATCTGACATAGATATTATATCATTCCAAAAATTGATACAAGACATAAAATCATAACTTTCTTATTATTCTAGAGGTATATATTTTGATAATTGTATATGTTCTGGTAATATTAAACATTTCATAGATTGTTAATCAAATTAAGGTGTACCATAAGTAGATATCATTTCTGTTATTTTATCATCTTATTCCTTTATTTCATAATTTGTTTCATGATTCAATACCATTCTTTTGATTAGATTTTGTAAATATTATTTTACTCTATTCTATATAATAATATAGATACTTTTAAAATTCTGTTACTTAATTATTAAATACAATTGAACTTATTGAATAGAGTGTCCAATATACAACTTATGCAAAATAGAAATTGTGAATACATGAAGTTAATATAAATTAACTTATATTTTCCTAAATTTAGTAAATATTTTTACATTCAACATCTCTTCATGAAACACTAAATAATTCATTAATTATGGAATATAAAACTCTAAATCATTTCTTGAACTTTCATCATTCGAAATTAGTTTACATTAGTACAAATATTGATAAGCCCAAGATTTTTCATCCAATGTATACAATAATATAAGAACATCTAAAACTTAGATTTCTTCTGGATTCTTAGTCATTATTAATACTCATTACTAATTAAATTGCATTCTAATATTTAGTCATTAATTTAACAGATAATTCTTTTCTATTTCTTGATGTTAAAATTGAAACATCATCAGCCTAAAATAGTAAAAATATATCATTAAATAATTTTATACTTTACAACAATTCATACATCTTAGACACCATAATTTAGAACATATTCCATATTATTTCTTTCTTTTTATTGTTATTTTCTCTTCTATTTCAGCCATCTAAATTAAATATCCTAAAATATATATTAAAATTATATAATCTAAAGTGATTCACAACAAAAAAACTTCACTTAATATATTAAAAATTATTATAATTAATGATATCAAATCAAAACATCTATTAAATTATGGATAAAAATTACTTTTTTAGAGAGAAAATTAGCATAAAATTTAGATTAAGTATAAATATAAAGGGAAACAATATATTATTATTATTACTAAAATCAATTAAATTAGAAGAATATTAAGAGAATGACTAAATTAAATGTAAGAAAAAATTAATTAGAAAATGCTAAATTAATAGAAAAATCTATCCATATAACAGATCAATCACTATAAGATATATGAAATTTTAGAGATATCTAAAAACTTAGAAGAAATAAGAGAATTAGTAGATATTTTGGATCAATGTCTATAACTATAATCCTTAAAAATTATAGTTATAAATTTATAAACTTTATTTATAATTTTTATAATCAAATCTCAATGGTTATTAATAAATTGTAGACTTCATTTTAATAACTATATTTACTATAATATTGAATATATTTGAAACATTAATTGGATAATGATAAATCTTAAGAACTTTTGAAATTGATACATCAAAGAATAGAATCTAATTCATAAGTTATTTCAAAAATTTATAAAAACTTATAATCTAAATTAAGAGGAATTTTTAATATTATAAAAAATTAAGATTTCTTGTTATTAATAATGTGTTATTCAATAAAAATTGGATTAATTATTAAATTTAAGAGAGAATGATTAAAGATATCAATCATATATTAGATTAATANGTTTACATTAGTACAAATATTGATAAGCCCAAGATTTTTCATCCAATGTATACAATAATATAAGAACATCTAAAACTTAGATTTCTTCTGGATTCTTAGTCATTATTAATACTCATTACTAATTAAATTGCATTCTAATATTTAGTCATTAATTTAACAGATAATTCTTTTCTATTTCTTGATGTTAAAATTGAAACATCATCAGCCTAAAATAGTAAAAATATATCATTAAATAATTTTATACTTTACAACAATTCATACATCTTAGACACCATAATTTAGAACATATTCCATATTATTTCTTTCTTTTTATTGTTATTTTCTCTTCTATTTCAGCCATCTAAATTAAATATCCTAAAATATATATTAAAATTATATAATCTAAAGTGATTCACAACAAAAAAACTTCACTTAATATATTAAAAATTATTATAATTAATGATATCAAATCAAAACATCTATTAAATTATGGATAAAAATTACTTTTTTAGAGAGAAAATTAGCATAAAATTTAGATTAAGTATAAATATAAAGGGAAACAATATATTATTATTATTACTAAAATCAATTAAATTAGAAGAATATTAAGAGAATGACTAAATTAAATGTAAGAAAAAATTAATTAGAAAATGCTAAATTAATAGAAAAATCTATCCATATAACAGATCAATCACTATAAGATATATGAAATTTTAGAGATATCTAAAAACTTAGAAGAAATAAGAGAATTAGTAGATATTTTGGATCAATGTCTATAACTATAATCCTTAAAAATTATAGTTATAAATTTATAAACTTTATTTATAATTTTTATAATCAAATCTCAATGGTTATTAATAAATTGTAGACTTCATTTTAATAACTATATTTACTATAATATTGAATATATTTGAAACATTAATTGGATAATGATAAATCTTAAGAACTTTTGAAATTGATACATCAAAGAATAGAATCTAATTCATAAGTTATTTCAAAAATTTATAAAAACTTATAATCTAAATTAAGAGGAATTTTTAATATTATAAAAAATTAAGATTTCTTGTTATTAATAATGTGTTATTCAATAAAAATTGGATTAATTATTAAATTTAAGAGAGAATGATTAAAGATATCAATCATATATTAGATTAATAAAATTATCTAATGACTCTTAAGTGTATGTATTAAATCTCTATAAGAGATAATAGTAAGACTATCAATAGATTAGACAGAGCTATTCGAAAAAAGTCGTTATGAATTTGATTTATATAAAAGATTGTCAAGTTGATTAATTAAAAATTAAATATAATCTTGTTAGATAATATAAAATATTTATTAAGAATTTACTTACATATAATTATTGAAGATATTCTGAAACACCGTTTGGATCATCCATTTAAATAAAATGTAGATTTTGCTAACATGTAGATATATAGGAAATAGGGAATATAAAAAATATGCTTTTTATTATATAAAAAATATGATACTTTTTGATGATCATATTATTACATTATTAATTTATAATAGTTAATAATTAAGAATTGAATAGATATATCATATATTAATATATACATATAAAGAAACCATATTATATGGATATTTATATATTTATTCAAATTGTTTATTATTTTAATAAAGAATTCTAATACCATAAGGATTTATTAATTAGTGATTCATGAATTTACACTAATTCTTGAAGCAAATGAATGTAATTTAGAATGCATATAATAAATTTACAAGAATTGATATCGATAATAAAATATGTTAAACGAAAACCCTATTATACTCTATATGAAAAACCCAGATCCTATATTTTATGGGATGATGGATGATTTAGTAATTCAGACTTTAAAAAAATAAAATGCAACAATAATTGTAACTGAATTAGAAGAATTAAGTGTTATAATTGGAGAAGTATTAAATAAAACAATAATAGGAATTTATATTTTTAAGAAATGGTGAGCAAATATAATTTGATGCATTTTTAGGTTATGGATATATGGCACCAAAACACTATTTGGATTATATGTACTTTAATTTTGCCGCATATACAGCAGGAAAAACTACATTATATTCACCATTTACAGAAAATATATTATAAGACAAACTATTGCAATATGCAAAATTTAGTAAATGTTAAGTTCCATTTCCTCGTTGTAGTGCTTCATTCTCTGTTTAATAATTTAAATTAAACTTATCTCAATTTGAAAGCAAAGCAATAATGAAAGAGGTTATAGGATATGAGGGAACAGGTGTGAAATTATCTTGTAATAAAATATAAAGCACAGAAATCTTTTGTAAATCTCTTTGGAATGGAGAATAGGCTATAATATAAGATTTTGTGAGTGATTCTGTTGGTCGATCCATCAGAGTATTAGTTATAGGTGGTAGAGCAGTATCAGTAACAGAATTCTAAGATAATATTGTATTATATCTTAATTATATAATAGGATTTTAAATCTAATGGTTATAGTGATGATTTTAAAATAGAATCTAAGATGGATTGTTAAAAAAAAGAAGAATATTTTAGATTAGCAGAAAAGACATGTTAAGCAATTGATCCTAATTTAACAATTGGAGGAGTTGATATAATAGATTCAAGAAAACATGGATTAGTTGTTTTGGAAATTAATTAATGGCCAGAAATAACATTTTCAGAAGATGTTACAGGATTACCATTATTTGATATTTTTGGCTAAGAATTTATAAGAAAAATAAAAAAGAATAAATAAGACAAAATGTGACCAATTTGATTATATATGGTTATATTGTGATAGACAATCATTATTATTTCTCTAGTTTTTTTCTAAACCATTTTCGCATATTATATGCATTTTCATCATCAGCATAATATTTCTCTTCTGTATCAAATGTTTCATAACCCAATTTATCTCTATATAATCCTAAAGCTGCTCTATTAGATACTCTAACATGTAAAGAAACATAATGTGATTCAAATATTTTATCCATATCTCTATGAGTACTTTACATAACTTTATTTGCCAATCCTAATTTTCTATGTGTTCTTAAAACTGATAAAGATGTTATATGTCCATGCTCTAACTTTGTACCTTCTTCATCTTCTTCATCTTATTTTGCCAATACGTATCCAACAATTCTACCACTATTCTATTCAAAATCTATTGATGTTAATTACTATGTCTTCAGCAACATATAATAATGATTGCCAAACCATTCCATGATATAAGTAATATTTATATGTGTAATTTTCTGGTAAACACCATAAATTGCAATGTTACATATGCTATAAATCTTGCATTTCAGCTCTTCTTATTGATACCATAATTTAATTAGAAATTATTATTATTAATGAAAAGACCATAAAGTGCATAAGTTACAAAAATCTTCATCAATCGACCAAAAGATGAAATTATAGAAACACGACAACAACTTAATCAATTAACTGATGAACATAGGTAAATTAAAACTCAAAACATGCAACTAAAAGTATAAACTAAATAAATCTTTAGAGATAACTCATGAAATATGAGCATATAGATGAAAACCTAATTAATTCTTAATAATTATTAGGACGTACTTCTGAATAACCTAGCATCATCCCTACTCTGAAATATAAAATAAGAGTTTAATAAAATGAAATTGATGTCTTAAGATAACAATTATAAGCACAATAAAAACAAATGAGAATTACATCAATCTAAGAATTATAATATTAAATATAAAAATATTAAGAAGAAACTATTAATCTTAAATAAATGCTAGATGAAGCATTAAATATTAAAAATGAAACATAAAAATCTCAATATATTGGCTATTTATCTAAAATTTAAGAATTGAAATAAGAAATCAAATAATATATGTAATTCTGTGAAAATTAATAGAGAGATATTAAACAATTATAACAATAAATCAAATTGTAATCAGATCAATTATAATAATTAAATGCAGAAAAAAAAAAATATGAAAGTTTAACAAAAGACTCTTAAATATAAAAACAATAACAAATAGAAAATTCTTATACATTCTCAAAATCAGTTGTAATTAAAGATCCTAAAAGAAGAGATGAAAATCCTGAATATCCTATAAATGAAAATACTCTATTATCTTAATTACAAGAAAAAGAAAGAAAAATTCATGAACTTGAAGAAAACTTAACTAGTCTCAATAAAACTCATAATGCAAAAATTAATCAATAATTATAATTTATTGAATAATAGAATGCTTAATTAGGAATGAAATAAAATATAATATCAAATTTAGAATAAGAAGTAAGTAAATTAGAACTTTAAATTAATGACATTAAACTCAAGACATAAAAAATGTTATAAAATAAAGTTTGTGAAGATAAAGTGACATAAATTCCATATAAATTCTAATAGACATATGAAGAAATTAAAACTATATTAAGATTTAGATTAAAGAGATCAAAAATTGAATAGAAAGATATATCAAAATACTTATTAAAAAAAGATGATATAAGATTCTTCTCAATTTAATCAAGATTTTAAAAGTATCTTTACTTTTTCTAAATAGATTCCCATTTAATCTGAATCCTCAACAATCTTATCACATAACCATGTATCTATTAAGTGAAGAATCACCATATGATTCTACTGTTTTATAAAAAGAGTTACCAATATAAGTACTCAAATCCAGAATATTTCATCTATTGGATTCATATGAATTATTAACTATTGAAGAAGAAGGATAATTATTTTAAAGTATATCAAGAAAGATTATAAATAAATTTAATTAATTACAAGATTCTGTTAAATAAATTAAAAGAATTGAAAAGTAAATATATATTATTAAATATTATAGATCAAATATTAAAGATGGATTTTGTCTACCAAAATAATTATTAGAAGCATTTACACTTATTTTAGATAATTCACTATCTGATGATGAAGCTGAATACTTATTTTAATTAAATTTTGAAATCACTAAATCCCCTTTTCTGATTAATCTTTCAAGAATGTTTTAACTATTATAAATGAAACCTAAATCTGAAATTGGCAAAATTTGTAATATTATTTATATTATATTTAAAAGAGAAAGAATTATCATTGTTTCCATCTACTCTACTATTTTCATATAATAAAGAACCAGTAGTCAAACCAAAAAGTAAAATTATAATTATAACCTAAGGAACATCAATGCTATTAAATTAAAATGTCTCCCCTAAATAAAGTATATCAGGATAACAAAGAATATTAAAATTAAATTAAGCCTTTTCAGTAATTGAAGTAATACCAGTAATTAAGAAGAAACCTTTTTTATCAATTACTTAAACTCCATAAATTTAATTAGGTAAATAAAAAAATTATAAACCAAATTAAACTTAAACAGAAGAGATAGAATTAGGAAATGATAAAAAATTGAAGAGTTTGGGAATAGAATAGATTATTTAATTAAACTGGATTCATAAGATTGAAAAAACTGATACTGGAGTTTGTTGTAACCAAAAAGAAATGGTAACTATAAAATAAATTAATATTTCTTATGATTTTAAGAAAGTAAAAAATGAATAAGAAATTTAATGTAATTTAGAATAAGAAAATATTATTCAGATTAATTATGAAGAAAAAGTGAATATTGAGTAAGGTACAAAAGATTTATTATAAACTAATGAATAAGTAAATAAAGAAGATGTAACAGAAATTATTAATAAAGAAGAATAAGATATTTAAAATGTATAACCAGAAAAATCTAAATAAGAATATGAATAAAAAGAATAATAAAAAGAATAATAATAAGAATAATAATAAGAATAATAATAATAAGAATAATAATAAAAAGAATAATATTAAGAATAATCATATTAAAAATAAGAATAGACATAATAATAAGAAAAATAAGTACAATAATCTAATGATTTAAATGAAAATATAGAATAAATAGTAGATTCTTATTTGAATTAAATAGTAGAATAATATATGAAGAATTCAAAGGAAATTAAGAATTAATAATAATGATTTTGAGTAATTCGTTTGTTTGAGGTATATAAGTATTTAATATTATAAAAATAATATTATTTAAAGTTCTCAATTATACTTAAGATATATTATTTAAAGATTTTAAAGAGATTGTAAAATTATAGATTATTAAATGATATCATTTTAATTACTTTATTTTTAATATAATGAGTTTTAGAATATCAATCTCTCCTTAAAGAAAACGTAGTAGTACAGGTATGCCATTATCTGCTCGACCCAGAAGACCATCTCTTAATTCTTCTCTTAATAATGTTGTGGAAGAAATTAAGAACTCAATGTAAAATTATAATATAATAAAAGGAAACAACTCAATCCTTAGTTGTAAAACCTTTTAAATTAATTAATCAAAATAGCATTTGATTTGGAAAAGTAAAATACAAAATTTTATAATGCTCTTCAGTCATGTAAAGCTTCAAGCATTCAAAATGGAGATTATATTTAAAAGGAACCATCTTCTCATCATGATAGAAATAAATCTAAAGATAGTAGTCCAACAAAGAAAGACTAATCTGTTAAAAATATAGAAATGACATCAAGCAGCAGATTAGATCCAACTCCTAAATAAAAATTTTTAATCAGAAGAGGTTCTTTAGATGTAGACTAATAAGTGACAAAAGTAAGAGTTATTTTAATATATTTAAAGGATTAATTAAGAAAAATAAGTTAAGAGGCCATAGATCAGAACTTTATATATAACTTACTAGATTATAAACCATCGAAATTAAAATCTATGACGTATAAAAAATTAAATTAAATCTTTACACTTAATGAAAAAGATTTATATTAATATATATAGAAGATAGAATATTAAGGTATATATGATGTTGTTCAAAATGATAGAGTATTTACAGTACCTTTATGAACCACTTAAGTTTATTAAGGATTTATCAGAGAAGTGCATATTATATATTGATAAATTAAAGAAGATTATAAAATTAACATTTGAAATATAATATTTTACACCATCTTAAACATTTGATAACTATTAGAAACTTCTATTGGAATTGTTTGATTGTGATAGAGCTTAAGTTTATTTATATGATTAGAAATTCCATTTATTTTGGAGTAAAAGCTAAGATTGTTAATAAAAGACATAATATCCATTTAAAGGCATATTAGGATTTGTAACTAAATAAGGATAATTGTTAAACATAAATGATGTTTATTAAGATGTAAGATTTGATTAGGAATACGATTAAAATAAATAGAATAAAACAAAATCAATGGTTGCATGTCCTATATATATAAAAGATGAAATAATTGGTGTTATTATTATATCTTCTACTTGTCAATAATTTAAAAAAGATGATGAACTTTTGATTTAAATAATTTCACAAATGGCAGCAATACATTTTTATTAATATATTTATTAAGAGTATAATTCTAAAACTTGTGAAGCTTTATAGTAAATTTTGAAATTTTCGTTAATTTTATAGTAATCTGTTGATTAAAAATAATTTATAATTTTAGCATAATAAATATTATCTAAAACATATGAATTAAAATAAGTATAGATTTATTTTAAAGATATGTAAGATTAAGAAAGTCTTTTTACTTTTATTGAATAATAAAGAAAAAAAGTACCAAAAACATGTGGAATTATTGGTTATGTTTATAAAACAGGATAATTCTATTTTTCTGATTCTTGTTATAGAGATAAATAATTTAATAAATTAGCTGATATTGAAACAAATCTATCTACTATAACTATACCTATAAAGAATGAAGATAAATGTATGGGTGTTATTCAATATATTGATACTAAAGGTATTGATAATATAGTTGGTAAATAAATAAAAAACTATTAATTATCAAATTTAGATTTGATTCAAACTTTTGCTATAATGCTCAGTTTTGTAAATAGTAAATTGATTATATAAAAATATTGATTTGCATAACATTAAAAAATTTTATTATTTCTAACTCTTTTTTGTAATAATATTTACCTTAAATTAAAATTAAATGAACAATCCATTTCAAAATCCAATAGGGAATCCAAACGATCCAAATAATCAATTACTCTTAATGTCTCTTGCATAAGTAGATTCATAAAATATGTTCTTCTTTTTAATGCAAAACCCTGATTTCGTTGAAAAATAAGATGAAGTATTTCATTAAAAATTAATTTAGACATAATTTAAAAAGACAGCAATAGGCTTTGTTAGAAATACATTAGGTATTTTTGTTTTAGGAACAGTGCTTAATTTGTAAATGAAAAGAATCCCTAAAGTATGATCTAATAATATTTCCAAAGTTTTTGAATTGGCCCCTTTATGTTAAAATTCCTTTAAGAATCCCTGTCTTTTTTAGTCCATTTTTTATATTTTAATAATCACTAACAAATTAACTAGATAATTTAACATAATTGCATCATAAATATTATACAAGAATATTAAGAGTAAAGAAAACTGGTGATTTAAGATACTTTGATCCATAAGGTGTATTACAAAAATAATTTGAATAAAAAATGAGAGAATTAATGAAATGATAATTTATGTATCAATTGTTTTGCCTTTATTTTTTTATCTATTTATATACTCAAAAATTTGATTTTTTTTGATGAAAAAAGGTCGTAAACCATTAGATGAATAGATCAAAATCAAAAGAAAATTAGAGTAATTATGGAAGGGAAATTTTTTAAATTTAGAACTTTTAGAAGAATTTTAACTTTTAAATATCAATCTTCCATAATCTAAACAAATTTTTACTAAAGATTTCATATTACAATATTAAAAATAAAAAAACTATAGATGTGTTAAAATTGTGACATCAAATCTTTTAATTGATTGTAGAACTATAAGATAAAAAGAAATATAAAAAGAAAATGAAGTATAGAATTAATAAGTGAATGAAAACTAATAATAATCAATATAAGTATTTAATGTTGATAATAGACCATAAAATTAAAATATTTAACTTCCTCCTGAAAATAATAATATTGAATTAATAGATTAACCTTCTATTATTGAAATTTTACCTTAATAATAATCCTAATCAAAAGAAAATATTCTTAAACCTTCTAAATTAAATATTTAATCAAATAACTAGAGTATTATCGAAATATAACCCATCCCTGTAACAATAATTAAAAAATAATTAATTATTGAGGATAATAATTAAAATTCCAATTCATTTTTAGAAAGTCCTTAATCTAAAACATAAAATCCAAAATTATAAGATAAGATACCTAAATACTTATTATATGAACCAAGTCCTCCAAATTCACCTTCTTTAAATTTTAGTAAATCTCTTTCGTAAAGTTTTGTCAATCAATTAATGGATGAATCTTTTTTTGGAGATGAATAATTGAAATTGAGTGAAAGTCTATTTGGAAATATTCCAAGAATAATATAAGATCCAAGTCCTAATCAATATGATTAAACATTCACTATGCTTAAGGCTAAAATACATGATATTTAACAATCCTAATTTGAGTAATTATTAATAGCATATAACCATAATTTTTTGCATATACAAAAAATCATTTTAAATGATATTAATCAAATTAAATTACTGATATCAAAATATCAAAAGAAAAAGCCTAGAATAATATGATTTAAATATATTAAATTATTAACTTTATAAATGATATCTTATACTGTTTAATAGCATACATTAAAGATGTTTATTTTTATTTCTTTAAAATCTATCCTTTTTATTTATCGATATAGATATTTAAGTGTAAATCTATAAGATTTCTATTATCTTAAAATATTTTACATTATAATGTTAAATATAAAAAATTAATTTATATAACCTAAGACATCCTTCCATTTTTAATAGATATAGAGCTTATATAGAATTAATTGATTCAATAAAATTAATAATTTTTAGACAAATTTCGTCATCTTAATTATTTATTATATTTATTCAAGATGGGTAATAACTTTATGAGTGTTCCAAGTCGTACATTCATAATGAAGAATGGGTTATAATTCACAATTGAGACAAAGAAATTACAAGGTGAAAAAAATTTTTGTAAACCTCCATCAAAAGATGAAATAGAGAAATAATTTATTGAATGGCTACATTAGGTATCATTTTGATAATTTTAAGATTTGCTTAGAGTAAAAAGAATTAGAACAAATAAAACAACTTGAACCCAAATATAAGTTCAGAATATGTTAATTGTACAATAACTTTATGTTAACATAAAAGAAGAATTAAATAAATGAAGAAACAAAAATAAAAAAAATTCTTGAAGAAACTAAGCTTTAAATAATTAGACTTATTTAGGATAATTCTGATCTTCATCTAAATTGTAAATTTATTAATATATATCACAGCCTTACTAAATAACTTAAAGGAATAATAATAACTCTAATATATTAATGAGAAGCTGCAATTAATTAAATAGTACTTGGTTGTGTAAACATTATTGATGAAATTAAAACAGTTAGAAGAATAGTCAAGAATATAGAAAAATTTTAGGGAATAAACTACTATCTTAGAATTTTTCGAATTCTTGCTATAATTTAAGATTGGGAGAGAATGTTTAATGGTAGATGGTTTTTTTGGAGTATTGTTTAGTAATTTTCATCCAATTGAAACCAAAATTACAGGAATTACACTTAAGATATTATCTGGAAGTAAAGGATTAAGCTGGTAACCTGGATGTGTCTAAAAAATTTTAGAAGCTATGCATAAATTTTAGAAAACATATTAACTATAAAATAGGTTCAATTTAAAATTAAAAATTTAGATTCGATATCTTAGTTAGAACCATCTATGCCTCTAAGAATTTAATTATGGTATTTCTAATAATTAAATTCTTATTCAAATTTCTATATTCCTTAGACAATGAAATAGTTGATGAAGTAGTTAAAGAATTTTTTGATTCTAAAGTTAATGATAAAAAAGTAAATGAAGTATTTTGCTTGGTTTAAGCAAGAATATAAAAATAATTATATTAAAAAGAGGATTGTACATATGAATCTGTTAGAAAAGACTTAAAAAAGTTTTAACATCCCTTAGCATCAGATGGAAATGAATAATTACTAACTAATAGATTTAAAACATAAGATTTCATTATTCCTGAAAAAATTAATTTACAGGATGTAGTACCAGAAATAGTTAAAAATGAATCTTTGAATTAAGATTTTAAAAATGATCAATACTATTATTTTGAGTTTGGTTAAGATTCAATATTTTATGGAATTCAACGAAATGTCTTAGAATGGATAAATGCTATTTTAAATATATATTCATTATTAGATAACAATTAAGATTCATTTCTAAAAGCTGCTAGTGAAATTTAAGTTACTGATTTTTATTATGATAATAATTCAACTTAATTATCAGATCCCTATATAGAATTAGTGCCAAAAGAAAGAGGATCTAGCTTTGATTCACCTACTAAAATTATAAAACAAATTGATTCTTCCAAAAATTCTGAAAATTAACTTACTTCATAATAAGATGAGATATTAGCAGAATTAGAAGATTATAAAAAGTAACTTCAAAGTGAAAAAGAGCTATGTTCAGAAAAAGAACTTGAATTAAAATCACTTATAGATGAAAATGCCATTTTCAAAGCTGAGAATGAAGAACTTAAAAAATAAATAGATAAATCTAAATAAACTATAATAGAATTATAAAAAAAAATTGTAAAACTTGAATAAAAATAACTATTTAATTAAAATAATGATAACAAATAATAGAATTAGGTCAAAAATCATCAAAAAATTTAAGAAAAATAAATTTAATAAGCTTAGATTTTGGTATCATTCAATTTAAAAAAATAAATTTAAAATACCTTTGTATAAACTGAAAACTAGCCTGAAGAGTTATAGAATAGACTTTAGAATTAAATTACTCAAAATTCCTCTACTTTAAATTCAACACCTCCCTAACCTGTTCAAAAGGAAGCATCTCACCCTACACCTCCACCTCCACCACCACTACCACTTCCTAAAACACAAACTCCTCCGCCTCCTCCTCCTCCACCACCATTAAAGAACGGAGCTCCCCCACCTCCTCCTCCACTACCACCTTCAAAGAACGGAGCTCCCCCACCTCCTCCTCCACCACCACCTTCAAAGAACGGAGCCCCACCTCCACCACCACCACCTCCGCCATCAAAGAATGGAGCCCCACCTCCACCACCTCCTCCTAGAAATGGTGGAGCTCCACCACCACCTCCTCTATAAAATAATCAATAATAAACATCTAATTAAATGGTTTAATAATTTCCATCAATACCTATTCGTAACTTGAATTGGGTAGCAATTAATATGTAGAATTAAAATAATTCTATTTTCCAAAAAATATCAAATGATGTAGAAGAAATTAATGTAGATTTTTTGTTGTTAGAAAAGAACTTTACTAAAGTTTAACCAAAAGAACAAAATATAAAATAATCTAGTGCTTAATAAACAATTGCCAAAATTACTCTTTTATCTTCTGAAAGATCTAAAAATATTGAGATAGTTTTGGGTAAATTAAAACTTCCAAATAATATAATAATAAAGCTATTAAAATCTTTTGATGATAAAATATTAACATCTGCCATAATTGAAAGTCTAGATGGAATTTGTCCAACTGAAGAAGAAGTAAAATAATTATCAGAATATTCTGGTGAAAAAGATTAATTGGGTAATCCTGAATTATTTGTCGATGCTATAAGAACAGTTAATGGTTTCTAACATAGATTAAAGGCTATCAAATTTAAAATTGGTTTTAAAGAATAGGTTGCAGATTTAAAAAAGAAGATTAGCACTCTTGATGAAAGTTTCTTAAAAGTAAGATAAATGCCTGAGATTGAAACACTTTTTAAAGTTGTATTAAAAATTGGTAATTTTTTAAATGGTAAAATTTATGAATTTAATATATATAGCATCTACAAGCAGAGGAAATGCATAGGGATTTAAAATAGATACAATAGAAAAATGTGCAGATATGAAAACAAGTGATGCTTAAGAGAATTTACTTTATTATGTGATAGATTTAACAGAAACTATATTGAAAAAAGAAATAATAGATGAATAATGTAATAAATTAATAATATTAAGTACAGCTATATAGAGTTTGGAACCAATTGAAAAGATATCAATATCACAATTATAAATAGATTTGTCGGATATTAAAAAAGGATTAAATGTTGTAACAAAAGCGATGGAATATTAAACTGAAGACTAAGAAGATTAAGTTAGAACATTTCTATAGCCATTGCAAGAAGAAATTAAAACAAATATTTTTATTATAGAATAATAATTAACTTAATTGGAGGATAATTATAAAAAAAGTGCTGCTTATTTTTGTGAAAATTAAAAAGATTCTTCTGAAAAATTTGGAGAAAAAATACTCAAAATGTTACGATGTTTACTGAAAAATAAAAAAGAAAAGATTTAAAAATAGGAAAGAAAGAAAAAGTAATAAGAAATATTATAGAAACAATAATAAAAAAATATGACATAATCTAATTAAAAAGCATAACCATAATCACTATCTGCTCAATCTATGACACATGCATCTTCTGGAAATTCTAATTAAAGTACTCCAAATGTAGCTGCTTTTAAATTAGTAAATCAAAATGAAATAGAAGTTAAATAATTTGGAATTTGCAAAGAAATATAGGAATTAAGATAAATGAGATAAATTAAACTTACTAATTCCATGATTTAAAATGAAGATCAAGATATAGTAAATAATAATAAATGAAAAATAATAAGTTTTAAACTATTTTTTATAATTAAATATAAATCATTTATTGAAAATATACATATATATTTTAGAAAATTATTTATTTATTTATATTTAAAAATCATTATAATCAAAGATCAAAATATCTGATTTTTATATTATTTATTTTAATTGTTTTTTTTTAACAGATTTTTATTATTAAAATTTAGGAATTCGAAAAGGAACACTAAATAGTTTTAATTAATGATAATTTTCAATTTTTTTTTTATTTAGAAAATAAGTAAATTAATTCATTAAAGATGGTATTAAACAACATTATTGGAAGATTATAAACTTTAGAATAATAAAATATTGAGCGTGTCTCAATTGGATACATTCTTGTAGCATATTTTTTTCATAGTCTATAATTTACAACCTATAAGTATGCTCACTTTAATATTTTAACACAGGCATTATTTTTTAGGTCCTTTTTTACTTTAATAATACTTTTCTTTGGATAATATAAGTATGATTTTTATCCTAAAGATAAAGTTCAACTATTGTTTTTTTCATAACTTTTAGTAGCTATAGGAGCATCTTTTTTATTTTATGGAATCTATTATATTACTACTTCAGAAGCAGCTGTAATAAATTCTACTACAGCTGTGTGGAGTTAAATAATAAGTTTAATTGTCAATAAAGAACCAATAACTAAAAGCAGAATGATTAATACATTTATATGTATAATTGGGATAGTATTGATAGTAAATCCAAAACTATCTCAAGAGAATGATATGCAAAGAATTATTGCTTGCTTAAGTGTATTGATTTGTAGTATTGTCTAAGCAGCAGGGTTTAGCAATTTAAAGTAAATTGGCAAGGATGTAAGACCAACAATAACAACATTTTATTTTCATCTTGCAGTGATCTTTGTTATGAGTGTTCAACATCAATATGTAGCTATATTTGAGTACTTTGACCACTATTTTTTATACATTCTAGCTTATGCATTATTTAGTTTATCTGGACATTTATTATAGTTCAGAGCTTAAGCTTTAGTATCATATGAAAAACTATGTAATTATCCATTTTCTTAAATGATTTATTAGANTAAATGAAAAATAATAAGTTTTAAACTATTTTTTATAATTAAATATAAATCATTTATTGAAAATATACATATATATTTTAGAAAATTATTTATTTATTTATATTTAAAAATCATTATAATCAAAGATCAAAATATCTGATTTTTATATTATTTATTTTAATTGTTTTTTTTTAACAGATTTTTATTATTAAAATTTAGGAATTCGAAAAGGAACACTAAATAGTTTTAATTAATGATAATTTTCAATTTTTTTTTTATTTAGAAAATAAGTAAATTAATTCATTAAAGATGGTATTAAACAACATTATTGGAAGATTATAAACTTTAGAATAATAAAATATTGAGCGTGTCTCAATTGGATACATTCTTGTAGCATATTTTTTTCATAGTCTATAATTTACAACCTATAAGTATGCTCACTTTAATATTTTAACACAGGCATTATTTTTTAGGTCCTTTTTTACTTTAATAATACTTTTCTTTGGATAATATAAGTATGATTTTTATCCTAAAGATAAAGTTCAACTATTGTTTTTTTCATAACTTTTAGTAGCTATAGGAGCATCTTTTTTATTTTATGGAATCTATTATATTACTACTTCAGAAGCAGCTGTAATAAATTCTACTACAGCTGTGTGGAGTTAAATAATAAGTTTAATTGTCAATAAAGAACCAATAACTAAAAGCAGAATGATTAATACATTTATATGTATAATTGGGATAGTATTGATAGTAAATCCAAAACTATCTCAAGAGAATGATATGCAAAGAATTATTGCTTGCTTAAGTGTATTGATTTGTAGTATTGTCTAAGCAGCAGGGTTTAGCAATTTAAAGTAAATTGGCAAGGATGTAAGACCAACAATAACAACATTTTATTTTCATCTTGCAGTGATCTTTGTTATGAGTGTTCAACATCAATATGTAGCTATATTTGAGTACTTTGACCACTATTTTTTATACATTCTAGCTTATGCATTATTTAGTTTATCTGGACATTTATTATAGTTCAGAGCTTAAGCTTTAGTATCATATGAAAAACTATGTAATTATCCATTTTCTTAAATGATTTATTAGATATTTTTTGATTATTTTATTTTTGGGAAGATATTATCAATTTAAGGGTTTCTTGGAGGAGGTTTGATAGTGTTTGGTATTTTTAAATAACTTTAAGAGGATAGAAAAATAAAATGATTGATATGTTTATTTAAGAACATATAATTAATTGAAGAAAACATATGTATGTTTAAATTAAGATTTAATAAGATTATCATTATATTTATATTATATAGGTTTCATTGAGTTTTTTTATTTGTTTTAAAATATAGGAATGCATCTTTTCTAATCCTATTGTTTAACTCATTTCTAAATAGAGTATGAATAGTCTTAATTCATTTTATTAAAAATTAATTAAATTATTAAAAATCTTTAAACTATCCTTCAAAGGATAACAATGATATTTAATCATCATTAAAATGAAATTTGTATCGTATTATTCCAGACATTAATAATTTAACATTAAGTGTTAAGGAATTTTGAATTGTTTCAAATTACCTGGAAATTTTTATTCTAGTAATTAAATCATAATTGCTGTGCCTTATCCATCATTAAATTTATAAGACTATTCAAGTATTTTATTAATTATTTATTAATCTATTTCCAATAGAAAATCAAAAAATCTAGTTTGATAAATTAATTCATTTATTATTATTTCCATATCTAAATCATCAATAGAACTTTTAATTACTAAATATAAAAAGTATGCTTAAGGCTTAGTGATCTATACTTTAATCATATAAAATAATTTACATTAATATTTTCATTTGATATAAGAACTTAAAGTAAGGCTATATTTAATTAAAATTTATTGCTTTAAAAAAACCATTTAAATAAGTGAAAAGCATCTTCTTCAGTTTTTATGGATTCTAAAATATTCTATCTAAAACGTTTATCAAGCCTTCCTTCACCTCTTAAATTTTATAATTTTTAAGTATATAATGTTCTCATTCTTGGACTGAAATATTGACAATTACATAAAGCTAATAATAGTGGCATAGATCCCATTTTATAAAATTAATTAGCTATAAATTCAGGAAGAGGTATTTATGGATATTCATCAAATAATATAACCATATTAAGAATAGATGTCTTAGATAATTAAACATCATCATAATTATCTATTTGTTAATTTGAGAAATTTTGATTGTTGAGTTTTCTTAAAAATTAAGATATATCAATTTCACATATAAAATGAAGATACAATAGATTTTTAATGTTTAAATTAATATTCTACATGCTTAGATTATTAAGAACAATTTTCAAATATTCTGCAAATGGTTCACATTTTTTCTTTTTTTCTAAATAGTACAATGACATTTAGTAAACATTAGTTATATTGAAATTTTCCTTAAGCAAATTTAAGCAAACTAATTCAAGTTTAAGAATATCGTTATTGTCTATATAATCAGCAAATATCACATTCTATAAATATTAAATTAAGAAATCAAAATTAAGACTACTTTATTTATCTTCATATTTTTATAACATTTATTAAACTTATTCATGAATAAGAAGTAATAGTGATCTAGATTCTTCAGGATTTTAATATTTACAATTTTATAAGATGGCAATAATAGAACCTGATTCTAAATATTTGACATTCTATTTTGTAGCTTCAAATTTGTCTTCTATTTATTCTAAATACTATTTTTCTGTTATATGATATTTTAGTCTCATATTTACAAAAGTTTTAGTCATAAATGCATATTAATCAACATCAAAACTCTTACATACATTTTTAGAGTAATTCAATACTTATAAAATACAATAAAGATCTACTCTTTTCTTTATTATAAATTTCTTATTTATAGAAGTAAGAAATTGCATAAGTTATACAACTGTAATTTCATTGGTTGAAAATACATAATCAATATAAAGTTTACTTAAGATTTCATCATTTGGAAAAATCATGTCAACACATTCATAGATCATGTTTAATTATCTTGGTAGAAACTAATTATCCTCAATGTATTTTTTAATAATCTATTACAATTATTTAACATCGACTGAATTTAAGAATCCTACACTTAAATTATCATAAAAGAGTTTCTTATACCAATATATAAAGTCTCCTAGATCTAAATTATTTAAAGTAGATATATATTAATTGAATTGTCTTATTAGATTTTAATAGGATTCATTAAAATAATGATCATGAACTGGTAAATTATACATTCCTTGCATTTTAGCGGTAATTTTTAAACTCTATAATAAATGACGTTCTGTAAATGAATATTTGTATCTATTGTAGATATCAATTAATTTAATTGGATCTAATTATGTACATATCAAAGTTGTCAACTCATCTGGTTATAAATCATCACGAGTTAAATCTAATCTTGAACTACAAATTTAGATTTCTTAAGATGTATTATAAGACTTAGAAACCCAATAACAACGAAGTTATGTGAATGATTTTGATAAAAATTTATTCATTAATTAAATTAATTCAACCATCATTCGAAGCATAAAAGAATCTCGATCTCTTAGTCTTAATCTTTCCTTAATTATTTACATCAAAGGCATTTGATTATGAACGCTAATGTTTTCTTTTTTAAATAGGATCTGGGCTATTTTATTCAGAATCTATATGCATATTATTGAAATTTTGTTTGATTACATCCATTGAATTCACCGAACTTGTTGAACCATTAATGGATGATTAAGCAGATACACAAACCAATTTTTATACTTTAGGTTCTTTATTTGAAGAAGATCCACTATTTTCTTCTTCTTTTATTTAATCCGAAATCAGTTTATCAGAACGTTAAGAACTAAGTGTTCCAATTGAATTGGTTGGTGTATTTTATTAAGATGAATATAAATTGAATTTAAATTGTTATTATTATTATTAAATAAATTATTAAGGAATATATTAGGCTTAATAAAAATTTGGGATCATCTATTATTATTATTATTATTATTGAATTAATTGTTATTAAATAAGCTATTACGAAATTAAAGATTGATTTTATGGAATCTATATATTCATTCCCTATAATTATTATTATTAACAAGGAAGAATAGGATTAATTGATTATAATTATGGTTGTATTGTAGGTATTGTTTAAATCTATTAAATCTAAGGTATTTATGGAAATTATTAAAAGTAATATTATTGAGGGGGTATCATATAAGAATATTATGGTATTTAAGGGAATGATTATTCACTATTATAATTTTATTGTTCTTATAGATTAATACTGATAGAGTTCTTTGTATTTTCAACTGGTTTTAATCTACTTAGAATTGAATGAATTAGAAATTCAGTCATTTTATCTAATCCATGTTTTAGAGGATCATCTTAGTGATCTTAAAGTAAATCAGATGGAATTTAAACTATTTTCTTCTCTTTGTTGATTATACTTTTGAATCTATTCTTAACTTAGTTCTCAGTCCTATTTTTTAATTTTTTTGATATGTTTGACCATCTCAATCCTTCTACTAATGTAATTTATAACAAGTTATAATCATCAATTTCAGTCCAAATACCTCTTAGAATGATAAACAAAAAATTTTACCTATTTACTTAAGGATTCAGATAATTATTCCACCTCTCTCTGTATTGTTTTGCTTTTCTAAAATAGATTCCTTGCGATTAAATAAACATTTCATATTACACTTCAAACCACTTGATATTTGGTTCTTTTGTCATTATTTTATAGAGCAATTTATCTTCTTCAGGTAGCCAATTTTTATTTTAAGGAGCAACTCTTAAGTGAGATAACCATTTAAATTAACAATTTAATGAGTCTTTAAATGCTATTATTTCAGATATATTATTCCAATCCTATCCTTACTAAATTAAACTTATATTGATTTACAAATTCTTCACTGCTTTTTGAATACAATGAACAATACTATTATGTTACCCATAATAATATTTTCCATTCTTCATCTGTCCAATTCCTTGAGCTATGCATTTTTAAGAACTCCCTAATTTTTCAAAAAAAACTAAAATACTATGATTGACAATATTCATAAAAGTGGAGTACTTCATTGATAGAAATTGAAGTTTATTGGATTCTCAATTCAATTGTATTTTATAGCTTTGATAAATCTATTGAACTCTTGTCCTCTGTAAAATTCTAAATGAATTGCTGTAATTTTGGCAAGTGTAATTAGAGGGTGGTATTCATTAATATTAAATTAATTTATTAAATGCTCTTATAATTTAACTTCCTAAATACTATCCTAATTGTAAGTTGCATTCAATTAAAATATAGACAATTAAAATAAAAATTACATTTAATCTATAATATTGAGTCAGCTTCAATTCCTAAGTGTTGATATATCCAAAGAAATTGAACCTTAATTTTTAATACATATTGTAAAGTGCATTTTTTTCATTTTAAATAATTGTGAAAATATAATATAACTCACAAAGTCCTTTTGTATAGAATAATGATGATTTGTTAAATAAAAAATTATTATAAATAAATTATTGAAAGCATTTATATGGCCTAGAGTATTATAGTGGGAGCTATTAAGATAAAAGATGGTTTATTCATAGGAGATGAGTATGCATCACAAGTAACCTATTTTTGTTATAAAGGATCGAGAATTCATTGTTAATAACAAAGTAACTCATATTATTAATTGTTCTGGTACAGAAGTACAAAACAAATGGAATACAATGAATATCAAATATCTTACATTCAATTGGTTAGAATAAGATAATGAAGTAAAACATTCCTATAAAAAGGTCTTATTTGATGAAAAAAATGAAAATGTAAATAAAATTTATGCATTCATCGAAGAGTGCTTTCAATAAGGGGAAAGTTGTTTAGTTCATTCACTCAGAGGCTAAAGTAGAGCCTGTTGTGTATTGGCAGCCTACTTCATGAAAAAGTTCATTAATATTATTTACATTATAAGGTATTCATGGACCCTCTACAAAACACTTGAATATCTAAATTCTCGAAGACCAGATCTTGAAATAAGAGCTTCCTTCTTTTATTAACTAAATGCACTAGAATCTAAAATGAATAAGTCAGGACCTAAGAGAACTGCTTCTTGGAATGAATTAACTTAGGATGAAAAGAATCCACAATAACTCTAAGAAGAATTAATTATAAGAAATACATTCCTTAATTCACAAAATGGACCAGTTGATGATATATATACCAATTTACAATCCAAATTAGTAAAAGTTTGAATCACATTATAGCATGTATTAGGAAAAGTTTATAATCAGAAAATAAAATGGAAAGATTAAATAAACAAAGAAAACATCTAATTAGCCACTTTAGTCTATTGTGGATCTCCAGATTTTGTACCTACTTCTGAAATTATTCTGAAAGAAGATTCTGATTGTCAATCCATTTTAAGAGTAAGTTAATAATAATCATTAGGGAGTATAAAAAACTTCATTAAAATAACCTGCAAAATAGCAATAAATTTAACATAATATCTAAAAATGTTCTAATTAACATAAGTAAACTATTAAACAACTTTAATAAGAGGATTGTGATTCATTTAAATAAAATGCTTAAATGAGTAATAATTAATCATTTTAAAATTTATTAATGCATTGTGCATAAAAATAAAAATAAAATTAACAATTGGAAAAAAAGACTCCACTAATATCATAAGAGTAGATAAATAGTCCTTAATTCCTTAATTAAACAAGTGGACTAAGAAGTACATCCTTATAATAAAATGATGAAAAAAAAAATTAAATTGATGTTACCAACAATCGTCCAAGTTCTGTCAAATAAAAGGATACTTCTCCATCAATCTTAACTAACTTTTAAGAATTTAAAAATTAAGTTTAATAATCATTACATTATTTTAATTAACAATCTGAAGCTATTTTTAATAAAGATAAACATTTAATGAATGTTATTTAATAATAATAGTAATAGTAATAATAATAATAATAATAATAATAATAATAATAATAATAATAATAATAATAATAATTATTATTATTATCTTTATAGCCATAATAACAATAATTATCTTAATAGTCATAATAATAATTATAATAATAACCTATATAAAATAATATCTAAAATCTTACTTAATAAAATGATTCAAAATTGTAAATACCTTAAGGAAACTAATCATTTTTAGCTTCTTAATAAAAAACTAAATTAGATTAATTAATTAGCCCAACATTTATTTCTACTATGAGTTCAGCAAAACATTTTGAAATTTAAAAAACTTTAACATAATCAATATCATAATTATAATCAAGTTACTAAAAATTTTAATAATTATAAATGAAAAATTAAATGATGAAATCTTCCTAATCCACCTCTCAAATTTAATAATAAAATAACAATAAAAATCAAGCAGAACTAAGTACTACTAATATAACAAATACATCTAAAATTTAAGATAGAAGCATTTCCCATATAAAAAAAGGAGAAGAATTAGATAGTAAAAATAGACCAAATAGTGCCGAAATTAAGGATTAATATAAAAGCAATAGCACTTAAAAGAAAGAGAGTTTATCTCCATTTCAAAAAGATCCGATTAAGAAAATGCAATAATTTGGACCTCCTTTGCCTTAATCAAACTCTTAGATTTATCTTAGAAATGTTTAATGTAGAAGATAAGCTGCATCCACATTAAGGAATTAATAAAAGCCAAATAATTCCTTTTAAGACAAATATTTAAATCAAAGTGCTAATTAAGTATAGAATAATAGTAGTTTTAACAACAATAGTAATTCAAATATAGACACAGATTCAAAGATGCAGTAAAAAGCAGCTTAGGGATTGGTTTCTGATGTTAATCATCTCAAAAAATTAATATCACCATAATGTCTGACAAAAAGTTAAGCATAATTTTTAAAAAATCAACCAATAAAGGTTCTATAAGAATTGACAGAAAAAACTTAGAGCATTAAATAGATGTATTTGTTATTGATTTAAGCTTATTAGTAAAGGAAAAGAGAGTATTTAATCTGCAGGTCACACTTTAATGTAAAAAGCATAAACTGGAAATACAAAAACATTGTCACCAGCAATTAAAAGTATTTATTATTTAGTATGAATTTAATTAAGATGATGAAAAATATAAAAATAGTAATGTTTGCAATCCCTAGAACTTGAGACAAAAGATAAGAAATTCATCACCTGGTAAATATTTAATTAATTTTAGGTTTAAACAAGGACTAAGTGAGTTCAAGTTCCTTTTCGTATTCAAATACAAATACTACTTTACCAGGTAAAAATAATTGGAAAATGCTTTGAAACAATAAATTCAATTTTGTTTTTTTTGTTATATTTGATATTAATATGAATTCTAACTAAGTATGATCTAAAGTTTCTCATAATTTAATTATTATTATATTAATAATAAAATGAATTAACACTTTGTTAACATCTCTTATTGGAACAAATTATGAAAGTCTTGAATACTGAAAGAATATTAGAGTATTATGAAAGTAAAATAGAAAATTAGAAAGAATCTCTGATTGATCTATCAATTATAAAATTGTGATTTTAGTTGATCAAATCAATAAGAAGTATATTCAAAAAATCCAAAGTAATCTAATCTATTAATAATAAACATTTTGTTTAAGAGTGCTTTTTTGCTTTCTTCTCTGACGATATATTGTTTGCTCTAGAAAATATTTAAATTTTTTATTTTAATGATTTTTCATACCCCGGTCATATTTTTTTAAGGGTTTTAAATTGGAATAAACAAAAAAATAATAATTAAAATAATTTGTTTCAAAAGAACCTCTCTTCCTTCAGAAACCATTACAATTGCTATGACTACCTTTTGTGTACGATTTATTTTTAATTTTTGATTACTAGCAAATAGATGATGTTTTTTAAGTCCTTCTCACCTCTGATTAAGCTAGAGTGATTGCTAAGAAATTACCCCCTGGGTTTAGTGTTAATTTAAGCAGATAATCAAAAAGAGATGTTAAAGTTTTATAATAAAATTATAAAATTTTAGAAAGTTCAATAGGATATATCATCAGAGGAAGATGATAAAGTCATAAAAAAGACTTATGTAGCACCTTATCGAACTGATAATACAGATGAGATGAAGAGATGCTTAAATTTGCTCTAAAAATTGAAAAAACATTAATTGGCAGCACCTTTTTTAAGAAAATTGGATAACGTCAATTATCCTTAAGAATTAGAATATGTTGACTTATAAATAGTCGAACAGAATCTTAAAAATAGTAACTATATCTTTTTACAATGATAAGATGTTTATCAGACAGCTACTCAATTTTGGGTGGACATTAAGAAGATATGGTAAATGTCCTATACAATGAACAGCAAGGGTTCTTAATTATATGCAATGACTTAAGAACTTGAATAACATTTTAATGAATTGTATAAAGAATTAGATAAACCTTATCCATAAAAATAAACAATTGAATAACCAGTTAAAGTTGATAAATAATAAAAGAAACCTCCTGCAGTATAATAAGCATCAACAAATAATAAAAAGCCAGTGTATGAAAAATATTTTAATTGTTTTATAGAAAATAACCAAGTTTGATGGAATAACCAATGAATATGTAAGAAAAGAGGGCATTAGTCTCAAACATTAATAGTTTGCCACCTGAACACTTGAGAGGTGTTTGGGAAATTGTATCTGATGGTTTAAAGATCTAAGAATAGAGTGATGAATTGGAATTCGATATAGATACATTGCCTGTAAAAAAGACTAGGTAATTAGAAAAATATGTAAACACTAAATTGGAATATTTAAAAAAATAACAAAGTAAGAAAGTTGCAGAAGAAAATAAAACATAAGATAAAACTGATAGAATTGTAAAACTTTTTAATATCATTAAGGTTCATACAGCTAATACTACTTATAATTATGCTCCACAACCAGTTCCTCAACAAAAGCAACCTGATACTGGAGACAGTTCATTTAGCAGCGATGCTGATAGTTCTGGGTGAGCATAATTTTTATTTTTGTTTTTTGATTAATTCATTTAAACTTAAATATCTCACAATTTAATTAAAAATCTAATTTATATAAATTTAAAAATTCTATTAGATTGTATTATTATTTTATATATATTAATATCACATATCTATGTATTAATATATTAAATAATTTTATTCAAAATATCCATATCCCAACACATCTTAAATATTTTTCTATTAGTTTAAAGTATAGGAAACCAATTATCATTTTTATTTAACAAATTAGTAGTATTCAATAGTATGTTTAAAGATATTAAATATAATTTGTAATTGCAACAATTTTGCTATTCTCTCCCAATATAACTATACACAAATAATGTATGTTCATATATAACATTATTACTATATATCAATCAAAACTTCTTTTTTGTGAATTTGACAGATTTATAAGTTAAAACTAATGAATAAAGAATATTTTAATAATTTAGCTAATATAGATATAGTTTATGTATATATATATATGGGCATTTGTATTATTGAATCTAATTTCTTTTTAAGATAAATTAAAAATATACTATATTATTAAATTAAATTAAAAAAGATCAATCTCTGTTTACTCTTGTATCAAATTTTAACAATTCTTTTTAAATTTTATTTATTTTTTTTGTATTATATGTAGGTTACTGTTAGGTAGGTTATTAGTAAGGCATCGTTGCATAAGGAAATCCTTAATGATTAAATGCAGGTGAATTGAATAACCTTAATAAACAAGGAACTTCTGATTAAGGTGCACCTTAGTCTAGATTGTTTGTTGATTTCATTAAATCATCAAATAACTATAATTAACTTGAATAATTCTTATTTCTGATTTCATAAGGAGAGGATAAATTATTTGGACTGGACTCTTTATATAGGAATAAACTAAATACAGATTAAATAATGTAAAGGAGAGAAAGGCAACATAGGAGAAAATACAGGTAAACCAAGCATGAGTGACTATTATTATTGTTATTATTGCATCTATTATTATTAATTTTATAATAATTATTATTATTACTATAATTGTATTTATTGTTATTATAATTATTAATCTTATTAATGTTCTTCTTTTATTTCATTACTTTCGATTTATATAATCTTTTAATCCTATTAAGCATACTAATGTATTGCAAAATTATTATTATTATTATTAGTATTATTATTATTGTTATTATTATTATTATTATTGATATTATGATTAATATTATTACTATTACTATTATTATTGTTATTAACTGCTTTTCTAATACGTTTACTAGACAAAGGTTATGGACCCTCATAATCTTTTCCTTATAAATTTGCTAATAATTTCTTAATTGCCACATCTTCATTATCTAACTGCTAAATATCTAAAATTTTCTTACATTTTGTCTTCTATAGGTATTCATCATTGAATTGTATTGATTTTTAACCTAATTTTCTGTTCTTCCAGATATTTTTTTGGAAATAAGGGACCATCTCTTTCCTATATCCTAAACTAATAACAATAATTGTAATTATTCTGGTTATGACCATTCAGATCTAATTAAATGTTTAACCTTACTTTTTCAACTCAGGATTCAAATAGTTATTCCACCTTTCTCTAATTTATTTAGCATGTCTAACTATTTTTGCAGGATTTATTCTATTGAAATCTATTGTTATTTATGTCCAATTTTTGTTTTCGCTTGGATCTGCAATAATGCTTTATAATATTTCATCTTCCTCATTGTTCCAAGGGGCCATTTTGAGATTAGTTTTAAGCATACTAATCCACTTTAAATTCAATAGCTATTCTGTTACTCCTAAGACATTTGATAGATAATGCCAATCTTCTTCAGACTATCATATTAAATTGATATTACAGGATTTAAATCATTCTTATTTATGAATTCAAAGTATTTTAACACAGTCCATACAAATAAAATTTTATCCTTTCTATGCCATTTTGTTCGATGTTCTTCATTGGTACGTCTACTTTTAGTATTATAATCTACTTTGAAAATTCTTAGAAATAATAATTCAAGATATTTTTGCAAGGAGGGAAGCTCTTTTCATTAATCTTTAGAACCTTTTTGATTTGTTTTAATTTAACTGGCCTTTCTTTGAATTCACTGATGTCCTCTAAAAATTACGAAAACTTCGACATTTTAATTTAATTACAATATTTATAGATTCTATTGATAAAAAGATATCAAAAATAATTTGATAGCAATTAATTAATAATATACTCATTAGAACTTAATAAGTAGTATTCTTTTAGCTTAATCATCTAAAATTAAATTTGATCACCTCCAAATGAATTAAAATAAATTATAGATAATAGATATTGATAATACAACACACTAAAATACAATAATGAGTAAGTATTGATTAAAAATAGTAACCTTATTAAATATAGCCAATTTATATTGAAAGAATATACATATCAATAAACAAATTAGCCAAATATTAAGTTTTTTTCATTTTATTTTTATAGCTGTTGGTTTAATCGATTTTAAATACATTACTCTAATTATTAGATAGTTTAAATAGTGAAATATAAGCAAACAATTTCTCTACTTTATTCAAAAATGATATTTAAAATCAACAATAAACAACATTAATTTTATGCTATTGTTTTTAGAATTTTTTATTAATTATATTAATATAATAAAAATTATCAGTGCAATTTTACGCACTTTAAGGCGTATTATTAAAAATCAAGACATATTATTTTTTAAATAAAGCAAAATGATTGACGTATAAATAAGTTCTCTCTAACAAAATAGAGATAGATCATTCATCATCATAGTGATATTGATATTGATGGCTAATGCAAGCTACATGATGATGATTCCACTTTTTCCACCTTTAATAAAAGAAAAGGGATTCACTGAAGCAGGTATAGGAATCATTATGTGTTTTTACCCACTTGGATGTATATTAGCCTCTTGGAAGTTGGGTAAAATACATAGCTCTAAAAAAATGATATTACAAGGTTTGATGGGATAATTGATAATATCCATTATTTTAGGGATATCATATTTTTTGAATGGAACTCTTTTTTTTATCCTCTCCTCATTTTTAAGATTCATTTAAGGAATTGTATAACTATTTATTAAATATTTAGTCGAACACCATGATTTAGGTTCCTTCATATTCGATAACTGGACATTTATTTTCAGAACAAGTTTCAGAGAAAATTGCCAAATTAGAAATGGCTTGTAATTTTGGTTTAGTTTGTGGTCCTTTAATAAGTGGTGTATTGTACATTTTAGCAGATATCTATAACTTTAATACTTTTTAATATTCCTTGTATTTGGTGGCATTTTTATACTTTTTAATTACTATTAGTGTAATATTGTTTTTGGATGAAAGGATATTCAATATCAATCATGAACAAGAAGAATCATAAATAAACTATTATGAAGTATTTTAGATTCATGAATTAAATGTCACCTTTACTTCATATTTCTTTTTAGGAGTTGCAGCATAGGCATTACGTACTTATTTGGTAATATACATTAATTAATTTTAGTCTGTGTAATTATTGGAAGTTTACAATTTAGACGATGCAAATTCTTAGTTCCTTTTTATGATATATACTATTGTAAGTTTTTTTGGTGCATATTATGTTGCTGAATAAAAACATTACACTCTTAATTAATTATACACCTATTGTCTTTACATTGGGGCAATTAGTCTTTTATTGTATGGTCCATCTTAGATAGGATTACCATAATCTATTTATATAATATGTTTTGCTGATATTATCAGAGGAATAGGAATTGGATCAGCGTAATTAATTATTTAAATTTTTAGACCTGCTATTATGATGCCATTGATTGTATAAATTATGGAGAAGAATAAACATAAGGATTAAGCAGCTGAGATAGGTTCAACTCTTTTTATTGCAGGTTGGTCATTAGGAGATTTAATTGGACCTATTATTGGAGGAATATTTATTGATTAAGTTGGTTTTGATAAAACTAGTGTAATAATGAGTGGAGCATTATTTGTAATAGGATTCATATATTAAAAAACCAGTCATATTGATTAAGAATAAGAAGCAATAGAGATGTAAATTCTCATTCATTGATTTTGTGTATATAATTTGAGTTTTCATTTTTGTGTATTAGTTATTATTTTAATTTATCAGTTTAATTTATTCAATAATTTAATTATGTTTAAAATGTATTGAATAATCAAATATTTAAATATTATATTTAATCTTAAAAAATCGATTAAATATTCATATTGATTCTGTATTTGAAACAACTAAGTACTTTGTAATATGATTTTTTAAGATGAAGCAAAGTTTAAATTTATTATTAATAAATATTTTAAATTTAAATATATAATAAATTACTAAGTAAGAATGTTCTTGATAATTCCATTTGTCTTTCCTTAAGAGTTTATAATTTCCATTCAAAAAATTGAATTCAAATTGCTAATTTCAGCAAAATATTTAATGTCTTACCATTTAACTTTAATTCCTTACTTATTCACTGGAAATTATCTATATAACACATTAATGAACATCAAATTAAAATTATTAATCATATGAAATATTAGTTTTTGATATATGGCATCATTATTACTAATGTATTCGGAATGTTTTGCAATTATTACCCTTTGGATCAAGTAGCTTGTGTCCAAAAGACAAAAGGGATTTCATGTAATTCTGATATCAAATATAGGTTAATTCAATTATTTTGAAAATGCTTGTGTGGAAATAAAGAGTACAGATTTAGGATGTATTCCTAATTTGAATTAATAAGCTTGTTTGTAATAATAAAGAAATATAGATGGTTAGGAAGTGAAATGTATGTTTGATGCTTAAATTAGGTTTTTTTAGAACAAGGTGTATTAATGCAAATTAATCTCATTTGAGGAATTTAGATTGTGAATCAAACTTTTCAATATTTGCTTGTGTTAATTTATATAGAAAAAATTGTATTTGGTCAAATAACACCTGTGTTTCATACTAGAGTGAAATAAAAAAGGGAGAGAATTGCGAAACTATCTTTAATGCTCCGGTTACACCACGTCTATGTGCTTAGATTCAAGATCTATAATGTAAATATGGAGAATAAGCGATAGGTTATAATAACGGTTTCTAAAGCGGATATTTTTGTTAGTCAGTATCAGATTAACAACTTCAATAGCTTACATGTAATACCTTAGGACTAAATAAAGATGCTTGTATTGGTATACAAACAAAAGGATAAAGATGTAATGAAAAAAAAAAATATATTAGGCATTTTTATAAATAACATATGTAGAAATTTCTAAGTAGAAGATGAAATAAGTTGTTTAAGTTATATAAATAAAGAAGCATGTTTTAGTATTTCAAATCCATCATTACTTTGTGTTTGGAATAATAAGGGTTGTTAAAATTATTTGATTTAAAGTGAAGATAATTGTGAAAAGTTAAAAAATGTAAATTCTAGTGTATGCAGAGCTATGCCTATATATTGTTTTTATGATGAAAAAAATCATTAATGTTAATCTCCAATATCCAATTTAAAATAGACTTGCTCAACAAAAGGAATTAATTAAATTGGTTGTTTAAGTATAAAGAATTAAAAATGTAATTATACTAATAATTAATTATTTAGGTATTTATATTAGAGAAGAAGGATGTTAGGAATTAAGAGATGATCAATTAAATAAAATAAGTTGTTCTGATTCTATAAATGAAGATGCTTGTATTAATGTTACTACTCCATTTTAATATTGTTAATGGAATGGATAAAAATGTTTAAGAATTCCTTTGAATTAAGATTTAGATTGTCCATTGCCAGAAGAGAATGGAAAATTTTATTAAGTAAATGGAAATGTGTGTTAAGCAATATCAAAATAGAATATAGGATGTAAATATAACTAAACAACTAAACTTTGTGAGAGAAGTAATGGATAAGAGATCTGTACAACTCCTTATCTTAATTTATCAGCTTGTGTTTAAATTTCTTAAGCTATGACATGTATTTGGAAGGAAGAATTTAGCAAATGTGAAGTAGTTAATATAATAGATTAAATAACAAAATGCAATGATTTAAAATATTCAAATCCGCAAGCATGCTCTTAGATTTCTGAATTTATAAATAATAAGGCTGTAGGATGTTATTTTAATAGTAATACTTAACAATGTGATGTTATAAACTAGAATAATTTAGCAGATATGGAATGTTTATAATTAGGATTAAACAAATATGGATGCACAATGATTACAAAAATTGGAGAAAGATGTAGATGGTTTAGAGGATAATGTACTAGTATTAGAAGTAAAGAATAAATAGCTTAAATTTCATGTATTGAACTTAAATATGTAAATCCTGGAACTTGTGGCCTTGTTACTTTTAATAAAGAGGTGTGTAAATATAGTATTGATGGTTATGGATGCGTTAATAGTATTAATTCGAGTGAGACTGGAGATTATTGTAATACATTAGGTTTGAATTCTTTTGCTTGTTCTTAAATTACAAGAAATGTTGAAGGGTGTTATTTTGATAAAATTAATAATGTCTGTATATTAGCTCCTGATAAGAAATCATCAGATGAAAGTGTTTTAGCTGCATCAAAATTATTATTAACAACTGCAAAATGTTTAGCAAGTTCTCCAACATAGAATATTTGTATTTCTATAGAAACTTTAGGTGAATAATGTACTTGGAATTATAGAACAAGTGGATGTGATTATTAGTATGTTTAATTTAATGAGAAATGCTTAGATTATAATACAGGAGAGAAATAAAAAACTATTCCTGGTATTAGGATTTCTGTAAATGCCAATGTTTGTGCAAGTATTCTAATGAATTTTGTAATTTTAATTATAATTATTATTTAGCCTAATAAAGATCCAATAGTGACAACAAAGATAGAAGATCCTTTAAGAGGTTATTGTTAATTTGATGGCAAAGGAAATTGCATAAAGTTTTTGTAAACACCTTGTATTACTAAATGTTGTACAGAGTTAGTAGGAATAAATGCTCATGTTTGTAGTAGATTTACAACAGGCACTTATTGTTATTTTAATGAATTTAATAAGTGTGTAGAATTAACAGATTAAATTGTTGATATAAGTTCTATTTAAGCTATAAAAGACTACTATAATTTCAAATAATATAAATGTTCATCAATGAATAAAAATTCATGTTGGATGATTGATTGGTCTCCTACTTAATAATGTTATTGGGATGGACTTGTTTGTACATAATTTAATTTTAGTGACTATCCTACATTTGTATTTTTAGATAGACGTTATGGAATGAATAGATATGGATGTTAAGGAATTGAAGGAGATAAAACCAAACCATATCTAATGAAATACTTTAAATATAATTCAGATAATTTTTGTGTTGATTATCCAATTGAATTGACAACTTGTGAAACAGAAGGAATCAACTCTAATGTTTGTTTAGGTTATTCATCTAATCTTTATTGTAAATGGGATAAAATTAATTTATAATGTGTCACTATTGATGATTATTTATCATTATATACATGCAATGAAAATCAAAATGAAAAAGCTTGTATTGCTAATCCTTATGCTCCATGTGCCTTCCTTAAATCTACTGATAAATGCATCACTAGTCCTTAGGATATTAATTGTTCAGATTTTAATTTAGGTTAAGTCTATGAAGGATTAGTGAATGAAAAAGCTTGTTAAAATATCACTAAAGGTGGATAAATATGTGAATATAATTCAATTTTAAAAAAATGCTAATCTATAACTAAAGCTTAATAATAAAGTTGTGATTTACCTGGTATTAATTCAATTGGATGTTATTCAATTACTACTGCAAATTGCAGATGGGATCCAATAAATTTAAATTGTTATGAAGAAGGAGATGTTGATGCTATCAATACATTAAAATGCACTTAGAATGTTAATAAATAGTTATGTTTATCACTATTAAATGATAATTGTGAATGGTCAATAACTGATATGAAATGTTCATAAGTAGAATAACTGAAATTTGTTAAAAGTGAAACATATTATAATGCATAAGCATGTACAAACTTAGTAGGAGATGCTTATTATTTTTCATCCACTATCACTAATAGTATTATAACAACTTAATGTTAGAAATTAACTACATTTATTAATAAATGCACATAATATGCAATGAATAAATAAGCTTGTTTATTAAACACTAGAGGATATAAATGTATATTTGATCCAACTCAAATTCCTGAAAAAAAATGTTAAGATTTCAAATAAGAATAATTAGTATGTTAATCATTACTTTAAATTAATATAGAAATATGCATGAATATTCCATCATAATGTTATTTTGAAGAATCCTCATTAAGTTGTAAACAAACTAAAATTTAAACTAGTGATAATTGTTCTACATTAATAGTAGAAGGTATACATTATAATAAAATCTCTTGTTCATCTATAAGTAAATCATTATCTGATAAATCTACAAATGATACATTAAGAATTTGTACTAAATAACCTATCTAAAATAATGCTTAATAATGCTATTTTGAGAAATATTGTTCCTGGGATGAAACTACATATGGATGTACATTATAGAAAATAGTTTCTGGATCATATTCACCCTCTAATGGACAATACGGACCTTCATGTTCTCTTACTGCCTAAAAAATTACTTGTTCAAATATATATTCTATGGCTCTATGTTTAGAAATTGGAGAAGGTTGCTACTTCAATATAAATTAAGGTGGATGTAATGCTTATACTTCTAATCTATTTAAAGTTACAGATTGTACTTAAATTAATGGAAGTGATTGTACAACCAGTAAAACATAGAATGCCTATTGTAAGAAAGTTATAAATGAAACTGATTTAACATAAAGTTGTGAATAAGATCCCGTAAATTAAGATTTTTGTGAAAATGATACAAATATTATAACTAAATAATGTTTGGGGATAACTAGTCCAACTGATGGAAGTGAATGTGCATAAGCCAGTGATATTTGTTATTTTAATACTGCATGTGTTGTTCCAACATCTTATGAAACTATTACTTGTACAAGTCCTGGAGTTAGCAAATTATTATGTTTATTGTTAGATCCTCCATGTGATTTTTCTTCAGGTTCTTGTACTCCATTGACAATTCCAACATTGAACACTGATAAATAAAACTATTATTACATATGTAATGAAGTTAATTTACTAATTACAAACAAATCAGAATATGCATGTGGTAATATAAAAGCAGCTCCTTGCAAATATTAACTTAATTCATGTTAAAATGCTTTTTTTGAAGAATGTTCTTTATTATAAGGTATTACTGTCTCTGTTATTGCTTGTAATTAATGTAATGGTTTTCCTACTGTTTATGATTATAGTACTAATAAATGTAATCAAGTTACTCATTTAAATTCCAATTGTGATAGTCTAAATAAAACAGATTGTGAACTTGATCTTAAAAGTTGTTATTGGGATGATAAATCCAAAAAATGTCATATTAATTTATATAGATTAAATAGATAAAGTTGTTAATAGCTAACATTATAGATTTTAGCAATTTGGGATGAAAATAAAAATTTATGTGAAATAAAAACTGAGAATGAAATATAAAGTGTTACTGACTGTTCTATTTTGAGTAGAAAAGCTTGTTTGATACCTTCTAAATCTTGTTGGATTAGTTCAATTACTTTATAATGTGAATATGTTACTTAGATTATGGCAAGTTGTAGTTAAATAAATGGTTATGAAGGCTAAATATAACATTGTTTAGTATCATTTAAAGAAGCATGTAAATGGAATACAAATTGTGTAACAGCAAATCTAGCATCTGAAGGTTGCAATGTAATGAATAGATATGGTTGTCTTAATATTAATAACTCATAGAAACTTAGTTGTGGTTGGTCAAATAATGATAAAAAATGTGCAGCTATTACTATTAATTTAGAATTAGGTTGTATTAATTATCTTCCAAATGCTTGGTTAAATTATTAATAAGTAAATCCTTATGTATGTGCATAATTAACATTGGGAACTTGTTATTTAGATTCTAATTCTAATAAATGTACTACTGTTGGTACTAAGGATTTATACTGTAGTCTACATAAAGGTATCAATAAATTGGCTTGCCTAATAAGTACAAAAGATAGTTGTAAATTTGATTCAGAATTTTCTTAATGTATTCCTACAAATACTGAAGATTAATAATGTTCAGATTTATAAAACACTGGATCATGCTGCTTAAATACATTAAATTAAGTAGCATGTTTATCTATGCCAAATGCTTATTGCAAATTCTATTTAAATGTTTGTTCATCCTTTTTTGTATTGGATAAGCTGACTGTAGGACTTGCAAGCTTACCTTTACCAGAAAAAATGTAAATATCTCCTAATATTTGCAATTATTATAATAATAATATTTCTGGAGCCTATTTTATTTATGATCCAGTTAGACTTTAATGTGTTAATATTGATAAACCTAGTCCATCTAAATATTTTGCTTTATGTAGATCAATTTCTCTTAGTCAAAAAGGTTGTTTAGAAAAGACAATGGAATATTGTAATTATATTAGTATAAATATTTATTAGGTTAATATGATAATAACTCTTGCAAAGCTATGACTTTAGATTTTGTTAAACAACAAACATAATGTAGTTAAGCATACAATTGGAAAGCTTGTATATCTATCAATGCGTTTTGTAAATTTTAAGGAGGATAATGTATTCCAATTTAATAAACTGATACATGTTCTAATTTGACTAATGCAATTGTTGGTCCATAAGTTTGTGCTTAATTTCCTACACCATGCAAATACAATACATTAACTTATTCCTGTATTGTTGTAATTCTGAAAATAGAAAAATGTTCATCTCTTGGATTAAGTAAATCTGGTTGTTTATCTTATACATCTTCATCTTTCTGCATTTTTGATGCACTTACTTTTAAATGTACTTCCACTTATGATAATTCACTTCCTTGTACAGATACAAGTATTCCTAAAAAGTGGTTTGTCAATCAAACAAAATGCTTATTTATTAAAACTTCAGGAAATGTATATATACATATATTTATAATAGTATTGTTAATTTACTCCTGGAGATTAAGGAGAATGTACAGATATTCCAAGTAATCTATTCACTGGTGCATGTTTGGTACCTAGTATTGAAACTAATCCTATTACTTGCACAAGAGCAATAAATGAAGTTTGCTATTATAATTAAATTACATAAAGATGTGCTATTGGAGATGTAAATATTATCCCATGGAATCTTGGATTTTCATTTAATAAATTGGCTTGTTTAAGATATAATAATCTTTTGTTTTAAATAAAATTAATTTGGGATGATGAAAAAGGTTGTATTGAATTAACAGTGAATGATTTAGCCAATATTTAATGTAATTCTCCAGTAAATAGATTGGCATGTGTTTCAATTACTAATCCAACTCAATTTTGTTAATTCAATATTGCTACATTTAAATGTGAATCTTATGATTACATTATCCCACCTAAAGATAGTAAAGCATGTGCTTTACTTTCTAATGTAAATAGATTTGAATTTTGTTAATATTCAAGTGAGTCATGTGTCTATAATTCATCCTCACGTAATTGTGTTTCAGTATCACCTACTAATATAAATAATCCAGGAGATTGTTTCAATATAGGAATGAGTAAATTAATGTGCCAACAATTTTCTAGTTAATGCTAATTTAATGATTCTAGACGTTTTTGTTATGGAGGAAATATATTTTGTAATAATAATACTCCATCTACTTGTAAAGATGTTAAAACTGAGCCTTGTTGGATTGTTAATGAATTATGTTAAGGTATCAGTTTTGAAGATCTTAATACTATTGATTGTGAGGATGTTGTTAATTAATAAGGTTGTACTTCTATTACAAATCCATCAAAAGTATGTCAATATAATATCTAAACTTCTACATGTAATGAAGTAATCTCACTTACTAATACATGTGCATCATATAGTAATGTTAATACAAATAGAGCATGTGAATAAACTATTGATACTGCTTGTAAATTTGATTTCTTAGCTAAATCTTGTAAAGAAGTATCTTTAACAGATGTATTTGAATGTGATCGAGGATTAAATTATAAAGCTTGTATAACATATACAAGACCTTCATTATAATGTAAATTTGGTAAATATTGTTATGGTCCTACATCTGGAATTACAGCATGTGCAAATTCATTAAATAAAGAAGTATGTTTGAATTTCATTTATTAATGCACTTGGGATCCCATAAATTCATTGTGTACTGATTATAATTTAAATGGATAAACTTGTTAATAACTTTAAGATCAAAAAATTGTTGTATCTAGTTAAGTTTGTTATAATGCTTAAGTTTCAGATGGAAATGCATGTGTTTTTGATGTATATACATTTACATGTAAAGTTATCTAACCAAAATCATGTTTTGAACTTGAATCATAACATTAATGTCAATAATAAAATGAATTACCATGTTTATGGTTAAATGGTGCCTGTTAATTATTTTAAGCAATTTCAACTGATACTTGTTTAAATGTTGGAAATTTAGGATCTAAAAATGCTTGTTTAAGTATTTTTAGAAAAGGATAATTTTGTCAATATCAAAATTTAAATTGTATATCATATAAAGAAAATTATGAAGCCAATAATTGTTTAGATAACATTAATAAAATAGCATGTATCTCTCAATAAACTAGTTCTTGTATATGGAAAACTACTCAAAAAGAAATTTACATAAATAATTCTTAAAAAATATAGATTTTATTGGGATCATGTACAAAATTTGAAAGTCCCAATAATTATGATTGTGATAATACTCTTAGTTATTTATCATGTCTATCAATATCCAAATATGGTTAACATTGTAGATGGATCAAAGGAGAATGTTAAAGTATAGAATAAATAACAGGAATAGTTATCAATTATAATACATATTAATTAATAAATTAAAATGCTTGTGGACTTGTTAATCAGGATAATGTTCGATATTTAGATTAAACAAAGTCATGTTAATTAATTAAAAATAATGAAACAATTACTTGTAAATGTGGTAAGGAAACAAAAGGATTAAATAAAGGTGCTTGTTTGAGTATTAAGAATGAAAATTGTAAATGGATTCCTTCTTAATCAAGATGTGCAGAATATTTGAGTTTATGTGATATTAAATGAATGTCTATGAGATTTTATATTTTTACAAACTTAATAAGAAATTATTCAATCATATTAATATATAATATAATAATGAAAGTTTCACTTGATCATGATGTATATAAATGGTTATTGTCTCTTACTATTGTTAAGCCTCAATAAGTTAAGAATACTGGTAAGGTTGAATTAGATGAGAACTAAAGTAAATTATTTGTTAATGGCATTAAATTTGGAGAGACTTTAAATAAAATGCTAGAAGCAAGATCTATTGTATAAATCATATATTAAATTTTAAGCATGTCCCAAATTTAAGTGAATAAATGAAAAATTAAATTACTCCTGGAGTTAAATTATTCAATTGGAATATTTTATAAGATGCATTTCAAAAAATTAACTTGCCTTTAGACAATGATATTAAAAATTTAATTGTTAATGGTGATACAGAAATGATGAATGAACTCCTAAAAGATATGATGGAATTAGATAATCAAATCAATAGAAAATAATAAACAAGAGGATCAGTTAGATCATCAGATGATTCATCTTTTGAAACTTCAAAAAAACCTCCAAGTAGACCAGCATCAAAATTACCATAAACTAAATATGATATTTAGGGAAATAACAATGAATTAATTTTAGATGAATTAGATACTAAAAAACCATTAAATGAGTCTAAATCTTTACTTGAATTTTTTATTACAGGATTATCAAAACATCTAACATTAAAACCTTAATAAGCTGCATCTTTAATGTCAAATGGTAATAAATATTTAGCTCATTTACTTGTGAAAGGAGTTAAAGGAGAATTCGAAACACTGATTAATTGGTTAAGTGATATATATGCAAATATCTCGAGAGTATTCAATTTTCTAGAATAATAAGATTCTAATGTTCATTATTTTTTTGCTACTATTAAACCAGGATTATTGTCAAAAGAATAAGAAATTACACTTTGGACTCTAAGGATTATGGGCAGAACTTATTTTGAACTTTCTGAAATGGAAATGCATTAATTAGGATATGAATGGTTTTGTAAAGAAAATGGAGGATTAGCAGCAACATTTCTATGCATGTAAAGACATCCAAATTTATTAAGTTAAATTTGTGAATTATATAGTTAAGTAGCAAGATTTAATATTGTTGATTTCTTTACTGTCTAATTTAAGAAATAATTATCTGATAAATGTATTGATATGTTAAATTCTTTGATTGAATTTCTTCATTAATAAAAAATTCTAAAAGAAGAATTAATTTAATAAGGAATTATATAATATTGGGCATAAGCAGCATTAAAAATGTCAGATTCTGATCAATTACCTATAAAAATGCAAGGTCTTAAATATTTAACATTAAATTGGTTATTATATCCAATATAATTTGAAGAAGATTAAAACTATCCCAATTAATTCTTATTCCTTATGAAAAAGGGTACTAGAGATTCCTCAAATAATTTGAAATATTTCTCATTAAATATGTTATTCCGTTTACTTGATAAATTAGCTACAGATAGAAATCCATATGCAGCTGTTCTCTATAAAAAATTAACATTTACTTTAATTGAAAATTATAATGAACTTGATATAAGAGAATTTATGTTAAACAATTTTATGTATCTAATACAAAAATATTCATCTATTCCTATTGATATTCTATTAGAACCTTTGATAAAGTAGGTTATGTTGAATGATGCTTTAGTTAATTTAACTGATATGATGTTATTTAAATTTATTAGTAAACATCCAAAGATGAAAATAAGATTAGCTATATTATTATTGGATTTGCTTGCTAAAATATATTTAAATAGTGTGACAATGTCTCATTTATCATTAAATCCAATTTAAGTACTTTTGGCTCGTTTTGCTGAATCTCCTTTGTTAAGAGAATATGCTTTTAAACTATGTAAAATTGGTTTAGCATTACATTATGGTAGTTTAAAGAGTAAAAGATAATAGGTAAAAACAAATGATTTATCTGTACTAACTGCATTACAATAATAAAATAATGATCATGAAATACTTGAAGCTTAAAAAAGAGCTTAAATAATTGAATTAATTAAGTTTATAATAAATATGCAACAAGATGAATTAAATGAATAAATAAAACCATTATTATGTCATTTTTATATTGAATTGTAAAATTATTATTGTTTATAATTAGATAAAATATTAGTATTAAAGATAAGGGTGTAATTACATTATTAAATATGTTTGGTAATCCTGAAAAAATAGTTTAGGTTATTAAATAATAATGGGATGCTGAAAAATAAGAATAAGAAGAAATCCTCAAATAATCTTAATTAATTATAGATAATGAATTTGTATAGAATTAATAATACTTGCACTCTGCAGAATAAACTCCATAAACTGTTAAAAGTGAAAAAATTAAATAAAATGATGTAGATCCTTTCAACGATTTAAGATAAAAGGAATTAGAAGATGAAAAGAGATTTTTAGCTTAAAATGGAGTAGGATTTAAAAAGAGAGTTGTAGAATTAGAGAGAGGAAAATAACCTATAGCACCTACTCCAAATATATAATAATAATAATAATAATAATAATAATAATAATAATAATAATAATAATAATAATAAGTTAAGAAAAAACCTTAATAAGTTGATCCTAAAGTATTAGAAAATATTGCTAATATAAAATTAAAAAAAGAAGAAGAATTATTGAAGAAATAATAAGAGGAAGAAGAGAAAAGAAAAAGAATTGAAACTTTATAAAAAAAAGCATAATAAGAAATTCAAAAAAGAACAAATGGAAAAATAATTGAGAAAACAGATGAAAAGAAAGTTGAGTTAATTGATCTTGATGATCATGAGACACATGATTATGAATCTATGAGTATAGCTATTAAAAAGAATCATAAAGCAATGAAATATTTATTCTCCAAATATTCTAATACTACTAATTAAGCTAGTAAAAAATAATATTTTGGGGAACTTTAAGAATAATATGAAATTATTTAGTTATCTGATATAATGAGAATGTTAAAAGATTATTAAGTGAATATGTCAAAGGAAGAAGTACAAGCATATGTTAAAGCTATAAATTAAAAATATTCTGAGAATAAGAGTGATTAATTTAGTTTAGATTAATAGAATTTTGAAAGATTTCTAGCTTAACTTTCAATGAAAATTGAAGGATACACATTTTAAAAAAGACCTGCAGGATAATGTTTAGAATAATTTATGTAAAGTTTTGGTTCAATTGCAAAATCAAAAAGTATAATTGTTAATATATTTTAGATGAAAATCATCTCATATTTTTAGATCCTGATAATATTAATATTGATCCAGATAGAGATTTAATTAGATAGTTAAATTTTTAACTTTAGACTTAAGATATCACAGTTCCTAATAAATTTAAGAAGGTAACAGAGAAATAATTGAATTAACGTTTCGAATATAGATAATCGGCTATATTAGGAATAGAAAATGCCTGGCTTGATTGTCATGAAATAGTCAATTAATTAATCTCTGAAACTTTTAAAACAAATGTTATGGAACCATTATCAGATATAAAGATTATTTGGAAAGTAAAACCAAATCCTCAATAATAATAAGAATAAGTAGTTTAGGTTAAATAGAGAGATAATTCATAATAGAAGAAAGTTATTAATAGAGCAATTGAAGATAAATTATTAAAGTAATAGGAAGAAGAATAAAAGAAAATGGAAGCAGAAGAGAAAAGAAAAAAACATTAAGAAAAGTTAAAATAAGAATATTTGAGAAAAAAGAAAGAGAAGGAAGAATAGGAATAATTTAAGAAATAAGAAGAGAGATAAGAGATGATAGAAAAAGCAGAAAGGGAGAAAAAATAATAGGAATTATTAAAAAAAGAAGCAGAAGAAAAAAAATTAAAATTAAGAGAATATAAAGAAAAAATGGCAGAAGAAAGTAAAATTAAAGAAGCTTAGAATATTGAATTATAAAAATAGAAATAAGAATAAGAAAGAAAATAAAGAGAAGAATTTTAAAAGAAATAGAAAGAAGATGTAAGTAAATTATTGGAACAAAAACAGAAAGAATTTAAAGATAAAGAGTAATAAGAGAAATAGAAAGAATAGAAAGCAAAAGAAGAAATTAAGGAATGGAAAAATAATGTTGAAATTATGCTTTAATAAGAATAAGAAGTAAGATAGAGAGAAAAATAAATGCATTTAAAGATATAATAATTGTAATAAGATTAGGATATTTAATCTGTTTATAAAAAATATGATAAATAATTATAAGCAATTTATCATGCTTATCAAGAGTATACTGATTGGAAGATAGAAAATGCAGGTGTAGAAAAAGAATTATTATAATTTAAAGGATTTACTAATTTTGCTTCTTAATTCAGTATCTATCCTGCTATTATTACTCCTGAAGATGCATAACTAATATTTAGATCAATAACAAGAGAAAGAGAAAGATAACAATAGTAATTGAATGAAAAAAATGGATTCAATGCAACACCACCAAAAGGAATGAATTATCATGAATTTTAATAAGCATTATTGAGAATTGCCATTAAAGGATAGAAGTATTTTGATCTTCTGAATGAAAAATATGAAAATAACATGAAAACTATAGATATGCTTGCTTTAAAGAAGGATTAAGTTATCTCAGAAGAAGGACCACTAGAAAAAAGAGAAGATCATTATTAACAAGTGGATGCAACAAGTTCAAAAACAATGCAAGGTTTAATGTATTTTTTAGATATGCCTGAAGAGAAAACAGAAATGAATTCTAAATTAAGAGCATTAAAATTAGAATTTTAGAAAGTAGCAGCACAAAGAGATAAAAAATAAAGTAATTTATTATAAATTTATAATAGTGGTTTAATAAAAGTTAACAGAAGAAGTTAAATAACCAACAAAAAGAAAATAATCAATAGGATAAAAGGAGGGAAAAGATAAAAGTTAAGAAAAATGTATTAATTAAAATTATATTATAGAATAACCTTAAAGAAATAAATCTTAAAATATTAGGGTTGATTCTGCATAAACTAAAATGAAATCATCTCAAAAGGATTAAATAAAGGCAGTTGATGAAAATGAATTAAATAAGCAATCTCCAAAGAGTATTTAATATTTAAATAATCATTATTAGAGATAGAAACTACAGGACCAGATGGAAAGAAAGAAAGTTGGAAAGTTAATTAATAAAAACAATGATGATATATAACTAACTATTAATTATGTATTTTAATTTCAAGATGATTTATAAGAAATTTAAATATCTTATCTTTTTGTTTAATTTAATTATTGTATATTATATATGTCATTTATATTCTTTAAATATAATAATTTTAATATAATAGTCATAAATTATAAATGACTTCAACTACTTTATTATAAGTGATCCCTTACTACTTAAAATTTATTATATCATAACAAAAGATTTAAATACTATTAATTTAAATATATTCTAGATCTTAAGAATTCTTATTTTATATTATAATAAATTATATTTATTTGATGATATATATTAATAATCAGATTTCTACTTATTTACTTGTTTAGCCAGTGCTATCATCCTCTTAAATTGAATGTTCATATCCATTAAATGCAATTTGGAAACAAATACCTGTCATTGCAAACCAATTTGATACTGGAATATTATAATCAAGAGAAGTGTCTTTGAACTTAATATATTTAAAAATTCAAACTTAAGCTGTATCTGATCCTATTCCCATTCCGATTGTTATTAAAATCCATCCAATTAAACTGATTCCCAATGATCCATACCCTAAGGCAGCTTAATCAATTGCAATTTTAGCCAAACTAATCAAGAGTCCTAATAAAAGACAACTTGCTCCAGCTATATTCATTATAACCCATGTTTAATAATGATCCATTCCTGTTAGATCTGCAATATTGTAAGACTTAGCTTGATAACAATATTATGCCATCCAGCAAGTAACATACAACATCATTCCAATATTACTAATAAAAGCGCTATAAACATATTAATCTAATATTTTACTATCCTCTTGGTAACCTAAAATATTAATATTCATTACATTTCTTCTTCTTGCAGAATAATTTAAAAAAATAAATAATATCAAAATATTAATTCACAATCGCATTTAAATTAAACCAAAATAAGACTTATCAAATTTTATCTATATAAATATTTGCTTTACAAAAAATTATCATATTTCCTATATTCATATTATATAGAAAAAGATTTTAAAAGTAAAATATGTAATACATATGTTCATAAAATAAAACAATTCAAAATATAAATTTTTTATATTAATCATATTTTAAAACAAAGTTATCAAGATTTTTACTATCATTTGAACTTATCCTAAATCAATAAATATTCTTTATTTGCATTATCTAAATGAGTATTTTATGTTTGATTTTAATTAAATTCTATAACAAAATACACTTTCACACAGAAGTTCTTATAATAATAATTATTTTTCTCATCATTTATTATTCAAATCAACTTTAATCATAGAATACTATTGTTTCTAAAACAAATTAATTGTGTTTATTAAGTCTTTTTATTTTCTAATTATTTTAAAGACTTTAATATTCTTTAAAAATTACTAAAAAACTTTATTTTAACTAGAATTGCAATCAATCATTGTTTAATATAATATATTTATTTGTTATTATATTAATAAATGTAATTATCTCCATAATCACAAACTATATTTCAATCCTTATTCATTGAAAAAACTAAAGATCAAATTAATAATATTCTTCAATATAAACTATCCCAAGCCACTAAAGCAAGATAAAGATTTGTAAAAAATTAGATTGATAGGCCAAATACTTCGATGGTTTAGTAACCAAATGAAATGGATTTCTCACAAAACCAATTCGAAAAGCATAGAAAAATTTCAATGAATGATTCTTAGCTTACTGTTGTTACCATAAGAAAACCTTAAAAAATTATGCATACAATAGAACTTAGTCCATAAATTACACCTATTACTTCATTTCATTCTTAAAGAAAATATAGACAGTTGTAAATGTGTGAAAAATCAACAAATCCAACACCTTAAGTTCATAGTCCTGATAATGAAAAATAATTTTATTTCAAGCAAAAATAATATAGAAATAAATTACAATTAAAGAATAGTGAGAATAATAATATCAAATTAAAATAATATGCCAAAGAATAACGTTCAAATAGTAAAGGAGTTTAAGAATATATTAAATATTAAGATGAAATGGATGAATATTTTAAAGATAAACTATTTTAATAATAAAGACAATTGATTGAAAAAATCGACAACTTTAAAATGTCTACAAAAAGGCTTGATTAATAATTAGAACCAATAGGACGCTTATTAGAATAAAGACTTTAAAAAATGAAAAAAAAACAACAATAATAATGATTATTAATATGCTAATTAATTTAATTATTCTTAATAATGAAATCTTTCACTTCTTATTATATAGATTTTAATAAGAGGACTAATAATTATCATTAATTCTAATTTATTAAACAATTATTCTAAATTTTAAATAGGATTACACTTCTTATTTATTAAATTATTGTTTTATATTTTAGGTAATAACATAATATATATTATATGTATATAGTTTTTATGAAATTAGAATATTTATTTTTCAGAGTTTTAAATGAAAATTAGTTTTAGATTTTGTTTGAATGATCATTTTACTTATATTGATCAAGAATACTATAGCTAAAACAAAGTGATTGGGATCTGTATGAAAGAAAGCTGTAAACATTAAAGATTTGTTTGCTAAGAATGTATATATAAGGATCATTCAGATCATTAAAATATGATTTCTACTTTTGATAATTTAGAATAACAAATATCTAATAGGTTTGGGGATACTTTTTTAGATATTCATGATGTTTTTGATTAAATCTATCAATAATAGGAATTTCAAGTAATAAAATAATAAATATATGATGAATTTGACAAATTAGAAACTTAATTTAACGAAAATTAGAAATAAATTAAAGAATTATTGGATGCTTACAAGATTATTTCTAAAATAAAGGATGGATATATTATGGAAATTAATGTGGATGATTTTAATATCCTTTCTGAAATATTTTAGAATTAGAAGATTAATAATTAATAAGCTTTGAATTCTAATTTAACTTTACTAAGAAATAAATCAATGTAATTGACTACCAAATTAAAAGAAATTTAATAATATATTATTTCTTCTAATACTAATATAGAAAACCTGGATTTTGGCAAATTTATAAATAGAAACATCAAATAAAAGATTATATCTTAATTTTATACATAAAACTTATTGGATTATTCCTTAGTTCCTTGTGAATATTAATATATAAGAGGAGTGAAAATTGGTGAATTGGAAAATAATAATGAGATATATTATGGATAAATTAATGAAAAGTAAGTTAAACATGGAAAAGGTATTAATTTATATTAGAAAGGTATGTAAATCATTAAAAATGGCGATATTATTTATGAAGGTATTTGGGAGTAAGATTAATTTCAATGGGGTTAAAAAACAACATTTAATGAAAATACAGAATGTTGTATATTTTAAGGTAAAATGGTTAATAAAAAACTTAACGGATTAGGCTTAAAAAAAAGTTCATTTGAATATGAGTAAAATTACATTCATTTTTTATAGAATTAAAGGCAACTTTATAGATGACAAAGTTTCAGGAAATGTAATTCTTACTACAGATAAAGGAGATTTGTATTATATATCTAATATATTCTTCTAGATATAAAGGAGAATTTTATGAAAATAAAAAGCATGGAAGGGGAGTACTATAGACAATAAAAGGAGATAAGTAATTAATACTCTTATTTAGATATGATGGTTCATTTTATAATGATAAAAAATAAGGAGCAGGAACTTACTATTTTTCTAATGGCGACATGTAAATTGAAAATTTATTTTTATTTAGTTATAAAGGTAGTTTTTAAGATGATTAAATTAATGGAAGAGGACAATTAATATGTTATAATACTGGAGATGTGTAAAAATTATTTTGAATTATAGATATACAGGGATATTTAAAAATAATAAAAAAGAAGGAGAATTTGATGTCAAGCATTCAAATGGATAAATGTATAAATTATATTATTAAATAAAGTGATTAAGTAGTATTCAAAAATGATTAATAGAATGGGAAAGTAAAGGCAATCATTAAAAAATCTGCTCAAGCAATAAAAGGAACAATATTTCATGATAGAAAACAATGATTTATAAAATGAGTTTTTTAATAAGATTTCTTATTCCTTTAAACATTCAATATTCTAATTTTATCATTAAGAATGATAATTTATATATAAATTAGATATATAGTAAAATTGATTATATGATTTTGAATGTAATTAATGAAAATAAATCTTAATGATTTAATATTATAAATTAATAAAATGTTTAAGATTTGTAAATTGTAAAAGATGTATCTAAAATAAATAAATTAAACTTAATTACTCCATATTTTTAATAATTCTATCATATTAATGACTTAATTTAAAATAAATTATAGAATTATATATTATTAACTTCTTAATAATGTAAAATCAAAATCAATGGACCTTGCTGAAAAATCCAATTATTTTCTATATTAGAGCGGATACAACATAATTGTCTTTAGCTGATTTACCTCCGTAAGCTCGAAAAGCTAAGCTTCATATATGCTTATTATCTGGGGGATGCAATAATGGGGAAACTGTTACTTGGACTTTTTTTACAAAAGTAGATATTATTAAAATATGTGGAAGACCACATTGGCAAAATGCTTAGACTATATATAGTGAAAATTGCACAATTAGACTTGATGAGAGAAAAATAATTGAAGTAAGTAGAGATTAGGGTTTTCCTGGTCCTAATTTTGGACTTAGTTTTGAAGTTTTAGGATATAAATGAATAAAATAATTAATTAATCTTAAGTTGAATAGAAATTATCTAAATTTAATATTATTCTTAAGGATTGACTGATGACTGCTATTATCTTTTTATTGCAATATGATTATCATTTATTATTTATTTTATTAAATAATATATATGGCTAATTAACCATTTAAATTATTTTCATTTTAGTCACAAGACCCAAAAATTGAGGGTTAAGACTAAAATTCAAAGAAAGATGAAGAATCTGAGGAATAATAAAAAAATTAAACTATTTTAATGCTTTGGAATACTAAGCCAACTCCCAATTATAAACTTTAGTTTTATAATTATTATTCAGATAAGGTTGGAGTAGATTTTTCTTTAAAGACTTATAATAAATTCACATCCTATCATATTCCAAAATTATCTCATTATTTAAGGTATTGAGTTAACAATATCCTTTAGATTTTCTTCAAGACTAATTCCAGAATAAATAGAAGCTACAAAAAATTTATTTTATAACTCTTTTATGTCAGATCCTTATGAATCATCAATAATAATGAAACCTTATACAGGGTAATACTCAACATAACCTGATTATCATTTTTTTAAAAGAAGCTGATTTTTAATTATTTATAATATAAAAATAATTTATGGAAACTCATAAGAAAATTTATAAAAGGAGAAATGAGCTTCCTTTAAACAAATTTCATCAACTTAAAAGATCAAAAACAAATCAAAAGGAGGGAGAGAGTTGTAAGAAAATAAAAAAGTAAATTAGAGATCTTCAAAGATTAATAGATAAAGTATATTAATAAATTAAATAAAGGGTCATATAAATGAAGAAGTAAAATAGGCTAAATAATAAGATCTAGAGGCTAAATAAAAATAATTAAATTAGAAATAAAATGAATATAAATAGCAATAGAAAAAAATTGATTATTTTGCCAGAAAATATAAGAAAATAAAATAAGTGGATTTAAAAAAATTAAAGAGATAATTAGAGAAGATTTAAAAAGAGCTAGAAATAACAGAATGTAGAGAACCATTATTGTAGTAAGAATCTGAGATATAAGAAAAAATAAATTATGTTAAATATTATCCTAAAGATTAAAAATATATTTCATTATTTGGTAAAAATATAAATGAACATGCAAAAGAATAATAAGAAATTTTAATTGATAAAAGCAAAAAGAATGTAATAATTTATTTATAATATAATTTTAGTTTAAATAAAAAGAATCCAAAAAGTATAGAATGATTGAAGAGACTCATAAATAAATGAATGATGATTTTTTGATGGATGAAGAAAATGATTAAATTATTAGCAAATAATTAGTTGATAAATAAGGGAAAGTAATTAAATAAATGAAATTTAATTAAATGTAATGATAAAAGTTAAATTTTATATAATGTATTTAATCAAAAAAATGACTAGAATATTAGTTATTAAATTTTTTAAATGAGAAAGAGAACTAAATGTTAGTTTATAGAATAAGAAGCTTCTGAAGGTTATAGTAGTGAAGAAGAAGATGATCCAAAATTTGAAATAAATAAAAAGGAAGCTGAAAGATAATTGAAAGAAATATAGAGTAGAAGAGCAAAAGCAAAAGAGAGATTAAATAAAAGACTTTAAGAACTAATAGAATAAGATGCAATAGATTAGACTGAGAATAATAGTGAAAATAGTAGAAATGATTAAGATGATTAAGATGATTAAGATGATGATGATGATACATAATTAAAAGGTGGACCTAAATTAAATGATCCAAAAGTTTGGAGATTTAAATGTGGTAGATCTATTTGTGAAGTATAAAGAATACTTGAAATTTCAAAATTATTGCCAAAAAATAGTCCAATTGTATCTGTTTTTTATACTCCAAATGTTAAAGGGAATATTTTTTTTGAATCTTACTTTGAAAAAGATGTTAAAGAATTCATGAGATCTATTATGTATGGATAACCAATGTATATTTAACCTGAAGATTGTGATAGTTTATTAGAAATAAAGAAAAATAATAATATTTAAGTTGGTTAATGGGTAAGATTTAAGAATCATAAAAATTATGGTAAAGATTTAGGAAAAGTATTAAGAATAAATTTAATTTAAAACTTTGCTATAATAAAAGTTATAAAAAGAAATAAATAAGGTTAAAAAGAACCTATTTCATGGTAAAGAACTAGACAATAAACTAGTGAAATAGAAATTAAAAATGAATCTGAATTTATATATTCTGATGTTGAAAAAGAATATAAATGTGCTATGATTGATGGATTTAATTTATTAAAATGTCCTCTTAAAAATATTGAACATAATATTACAATTACTGATGAAGAATTATAAATGTTTTTTCCTGATGTTGTTGATAGAAAGATTCTAGTTTAATAAGCTAAAAGAGAAATACTTAGAAGAGTAGATGTATAATTTAAAGAAGGATAAAAAGTCAGATTAATAGGTGAAGATGATCTTAATAAAGGTCCTAAATTTACAATAGTCAAAATTTTTGATGATTAAATGATAGAACTTATGTGTAAAAAAGATAATAGAGAATATACATATTTAGTTCATGCTTCAGAAATACGATTAGCTTTTAAATTATATTAAGAAGCTAAAGTAATAGATGGTCCTCATAAAGGAGATGTAGGTGTTATTATATGTATTAAATAAGGTTATGTTGTACTTTCAAATTAACATGGTACATTTAAAGTACCTCATAGTGTTTTATAATTTGGATATAAGAATTTTTAAACTGATAATTCTTTAGTTAAATTTGGAAATAATGACTTTTAAATTGGTTGTGTTATATAATAAAAATTATAATCTGCTGTTATTTTAGATATTAATAATGAAATTTAAGAAATAAGAAATGAAAAATTAGAAATTCTCACTATTAATGGAATTGAAATGAATGAATTAGGAGAAACATTTAGAAACAATGATAATGTAACAATTATATCTGGCAAATATGCTAATAAATATGGATTAATCAAACATTGTATTAATGGTAAGCTTTATTTATTTAATCATATATTTCCATATTAAATTATACTTGAAAATGTAAATAATTGTAAAATGGTATTTAGTAAATAAATTAAACCAAAATAGAATGATTAAATGTGTTTATATGGATAAATTTGTTAACTTAAAATTGGATAATGGTAAGGATATCGTGGATAAATTATATAAATAAAATCTGGATAATTAATTGTTCAATTATCTGCTAATAGTATAAAAGTGAAAGTGTCTGAAAAAGATATTCTTTTATTATGAAATAATATAATTTTATTCAATATTATTATTATTTTTAATGATATTTTTAGAATTCTTTAGAATCATTTGAATATATCAACACACTTAAAAAAAGAAAGAAAATTAAAAGATAATTTATTATTATTAAATTACTCATGCTTCTGAAACTTAAATAAGACATTGAATCTTTGTTAGATAATGTACAAGCTTTCAAAAAAGAATCTAAACCAATCTATCCAAATTTAAAGGATAAACTAGATGTATTATAATTGTTTAATGTAAATTTAGGAAAAAATTAATCTCATAAAACAGCAATTTAATAATGTAGATGAAAAGATCATTAATAACTATTGCAATAAAATTCATGAGGTAATTTCTATTTAAACTTATAGCTCAAATAAATAAATAAAATAATGTAGGATCTTAAGTTAATATTAGACATATCAATTATTTCAGGATCTTCTATATTAAAGAAAAGTCATTTGTTGATTTAATAAGAATGCAAAGAGTATTTTATAATATAATTATAATAGGAATATTGCTACTTTACAAAATAAAATAATTCTTAAACTTAATTAACTTACAGAACTTAAAGAAATAAATGATGTAACAAACAATACTGAAAGTGAGTTTGAAGGAATTTGCATTTTTAGATTACATTAAATTTATCATAATGAAGTGGAAAATCTGTAATATTAGTTTTAATAATTAAAATCATATAATAATGAAAGATTTAATAGATTATAATAATCATTCTCTGATATCATAAATGATTCCAAATTTATTAAAATATAAGAATAAATATCATCATTTTAAGAAATTGCCAATCTAATAGATTAACTTAGAGATAAACTCTTTGAAATAATTAAATCTAAGAATGATTCAATTCCTATTATGGATAGTAAATAAATAATATATATATATATATTTAGGAACCAAATCTTTATAAATTCTATCCTCTGTGTCTTAAGATTTTATTGAAGATGAGGATCATTATGAAATTACAAAAGGAAAATATCAAAATAAAATGAAATAAGAAGAAATAAAGAATAAAAGAAAAGAGAGTTCATCAGAAACTTGTATAAATTGTTTAATATTTTGAATTAAATTATTATCATTTGAAGTAATCAATTATTTCCTAGTATTTCAAATTAACAATTCTCTTATACTTCTCATAAATTTTAATAGCAATATAAGTTTCTTATCTATAAATTAATAATAATTATACTCTTGACTTAATGGAATATCACAATATTCAAATGCTTTCTTAAAGTAAGTTAGATCGCAATTATCACCATTTAACATGAGATAGTCAATTAACTTATTCTTATTTAATTTAAAAATCTATTTTAATTCTTGATGTATAGAATCATAAAACTGAGGATTAAGTAATTCAAATGGTTTAACAAGATTTCGGAAGATACTAATAACTATTACAACATCATTTGTTTGATAACTATCATAATAAATCCATTCTTCTTATTCAGGTTCAGCAAGAAATCTTGCAACTAATAAAGATTAATCATCAGGTAAATCAAATGGTGATTATTTAAGTATATCATTTATTTCACTTAAATTAATAATACCTCTTGATGATTTTGAATAAATATATGAATCTAATCTTTAAAATGGTATTTAAGCAAGTTAGAATTTCAAAGCTATCTCTTTTCCTATAATCTCTACTTCAGTTGAACTAACTTTTTAAATCTTTTTTCTACTCATTAATAATTAAGTTTTTTATTTTTGATAAGATTATGATGTCTATCTAACTGATTTTTCAGATTAAGATTCTTATTCATCAGAACTTTATTCTACCATTTATTCTTTTTCTAAATGTTAAACAGTTTCTTTTAATTATCCTATTTGAATATTCAAACTATCTATTTCTCTTTTATAAAAAGCTTCTTTAAGTTGATAAGCAGCTTTATCTTCCTTTAATGTTTTTTCTAAAAGATTAATCTTTTCATTTCTTAATCTTAATTCATCTTCTAATTACTATTAAATTAACTTTTAATTTTCTAATCTAATTTACCATTAACGATTTAAATCATTAATTGTTTTTTTTGGATTACTATATTCAAACTATATTAATTTCAATTCTCTTTCTTTATCAAATACTAACTTTTCACTACGTATTCTTTTAAAATCAGTTTAATGTAATTCTTACTGAATTTTCTTATTTTATAATTATAATTCTTAAAGTTTTTATTAAGTAATAAGTAATTCTTAACTAATTTTAATATTATCTCTTAATAATTCATCTTTTTGACTAAATTAACTAAGATTTAATAATTAATAAAATACATTTAATGAATTAATGCTTGATATTTAAATTTCATTTTATCATATTCTTCTTTAATAACTTTACATTCTATCTTAAACAATATGTATAATACTTAACCTAACATTCTTATAATTTTGTTCTTCTTGTATCTCTTTTTAATTCTTCAATTTATTATTAATAATATTAATCTCTAGCTTTATAATCTTTAATTTATTTTTGATATGCAATAATTGAACATGTCTTTAATAATAATTATTTATTATACTTCCTCTGTTTTCATTCTTATTTATAAATCTAAATCACTATGTTTAGATTCAGCCTTTGATTGTTTATTCAAAATGAGTAACTTTTCTTATTTATTTAATTATTTCTAAGTAAGTAGAATATATGTTAAACCTCAAAATGTAATATTTATTATTTTAATTGTTTGTTTTCTTCAAATAATAAATTATTGGATTATTTAACCAATAATAATTATTCATTTAGATTATCAATTTCTTTTTATTTTTTTGATTATTTGGCTTCTTTTATGATATTGATTTATGATTATACTTTTAGAAATGAAAAAAGAAGGTTTGGTCTCTGTATTCCTACAAGTAAATGCTCTTGAAGCAGAATATAATCTAAGAGGAGATTGCATAATACAATATTTAATGATAATAATAATAATAATTATAATTATTAATTTTTTTGATCAATTATTATTTTATAAAATGAATAATTAACAAACAATTTCAAATAATTGCATGGTATTAGATGATGAATCATATGAATAAGAGGATGATGAAGATTTAGAATAATACACTAAACAATTAAATCTAAAATAATTATTAAAGAACTAAGGTATTTCACAAAAACTCAATAAGTTTTAGATTCTTTAATGTAACAGATCAATTTATTGAATGAATAGGCAACTCTAAAAATTAAATAGTAGAAGTACAAAGAAGCATTGAAATTATTATAATAATCTGAATAAATGTTAGAAGTATAATAAATTTCAATAAAATTAGTTTGCTGCTAGTTGTGGCAGAGTTATCGATAGGAATCTTATTATAATAATTCTATATAATTAAGCTTGTGCTTATTAATGGTAATCAATACTTTTATTCAAGTTAATGGGTTTTAGATAAATGTTCTAAATATTTGGATGGCGTTATCTATAATATGGAATTAGCAATAAAAGAAGATGAGTTAGATTTAGAGAATTTTGCAACAGCTTAAGAAAAATAGGCATAATTAGTGAAGAGATACACTTTTTTAGCTAAAGCATATTTACAATATACAGCAATTTTAAGTCAAATGGGAAAGTAATTCAAAAACTAATAAATCATAGACATAATATGGCACTTGTAAATTCATAAAAGGCAGCATCGACAATGAGAGAGTTGTTTAAGATAGCTAATCATTTCTGTTAATAGTGGTTATAGAATAATGGATTATCAGGAACTGCCACTACATCTTAATCAAATATATCAATAAGAAGCAATCAATAAGAATAATAAGATTAAGATAAATAGAAGAAAATACAAAAATATCATATGAAAGATGAAATTGAATTTGGTAAATTAGTAATTGATGGAGCAAAAGATATCTTAAAGGATATGATAAAATAAGTAGATCTTGAAAAAATTCCAGTTAATGAGAAATAATTATTAAAAGAAGCAAAAAAATAATTATATTTTTGGAAAAATAATCCAGAAAATAATGAAAAACATTTGAGAAAAGAATTGAAATTAGTATCTCAAAATGAAGAATATAGATCATTATTAGGAATTTAGAATTTGGCAGAATGGATTAAGAATTTCAATATTGGATCTATTATGCATATGATACCATAAGTTTATGATGATTTTACACAATTTGGTGAAATGATTTATGAATTAGCAAAAAGATAAATCTTAGAAAAAGTAATCTATTTTTCTATTTCATACTTTACTATAGCTACTGAATTAAGATTTATAGAATTAGAAAAAGCAAAGTAAATGGGTTTAAAAGAAGACAAAATAGATACTGAAGAATTTAAATTAAGTGATATGTATCACTTAAAAGCAATTGAAATAGCATGTCGTCATATTACAACATAATCTCCATACATTAGTCATCTAATAACTAGTTATCACAAACATTATAATATTAATTTAGATGTAATAAAAGAAGAATCAATATTATCAAGCACTTCTGAAAAATAAATTACTTTTTTATCAAATCCAGAAAGTACTTAATAATTAAAACATAATTAAAAAATATAAATCCCAATTAATAATCATAATAAAAATAATATTAAATAAGATTAATCTCCTAAATTAACTAATAATTTCATTACTACCTTTTTAAATTCAAGATCACCTCCAAAAACATAATAATAATCATAAATTAAAAATATTATTAAGAATTAAACTAACTTAATTGAATAAATGATTAATTAAAAAAGAGGATCTGATTATTCACCCTCAAATTAAAAAAATAATTCAAAATAATAAAACTAAGGATAATTTGATTTCATGGTTTATCTTAAGAAATAATCTAATCCTTGTAATACTAGTAATAGTAATATCAATTCTACTTAAGATTTCATTAATAATACCATGACTATTTAATTATAACCTCATAAGAATAATCCTAATCTTAAATCAAATCATATCTAATAATAAAGTCCTACAAACAATAATAATTAATTGAAATCTTTACTTTCTGATGTTTGTAGAACTGAAAGATAAACAGCAATTGATAAATAGAATTCGCATACTCCTATTAGTTATAGAGTAAATAATAGATCTCCAGATTCTTCATATATAAATTCTTAAAAAATAAAATAATAATAATAAGGTCATTTAAATAAAACACCTTAAAATCGACCTAGAACAAATACAGAATAATAATAACCATGTATACAATATTTTTATTATAGGTTTTCCATTTAAGTTCGAGACTATTCAATCCTTATTGAGAAATTAAGGAAACATTTATAAATAAAAGTGAAATATTATAATATTGTAATTTTTTCATATTACTTAATGTCTGTCTATTCTGGATTTGCTACTCGATAACTAGAAAGTTAATATAACAAACTAATTACCTCTTTGCTCAAAATTTTATAGCGTAGAATTATTAAGTTCTATAACAATGAATTAGCTGATGAGAAACAATTCAAAAGAGTCGTCGAAGAAGTAAATGTAATCCATTAATCAGACTCTTATGAAATTGAATCAAATGGAGCACCAGAAATATAATGAACCTTATATTAGTGCCATTATGGGAGAAATATGCGATTATTTATAAATCTAGTAAAATTGTGCAACAGGTTGCTCATGCTAATGTCATCTTTAAATTAGAAAACAAACATTTTTAACTTAAGATAAAGAAATCCTATCAAATCCTTCATCTTGTAGAAAGTAAACTGTAAGTTCTAGAAAAACTAGTGTTAAAGGTATTAATAACACATCTGTTATTGAGAAAAGTTAATTTTCAAAGATTCAATAATTTACTTAATTATCATCTACATATAAATCTCCTTATTATTTGAGTTAAAATAACTAATCATATGGTAATTCTAGATTGAACTTTTACTAAAATACATCCAATATAACTCACAATAGCTCTATTGAAAGACCTACAACTAAAAGTTATCAAAGGCCACAATCAAAATCTCCAGGTAGAAGAATTCCATCAAGAATTATGAGATCATCAGAAGGATAAAGGGCCAATCCAAATGAAAGTTTAGAAGAAAGAAGATATGAGAAACCATAGAACTTTGGTTAATAATATAATAAGTTTTTTAAAAAAAGAAATTTTTGAAAATAAATAATATTATATTGAATATATATTAACTATTATATAAATTATCCTGCTATTTAATATCATAAGAATGACGACTATTAATTTATAACCAAATAAATTAAATATTTTTTCATTAATTAAAATAATTAATTTAAGGTTTTTGGTGTTACAATGTGAATATTATAGTGATGCATATCACTTAATTCATAAGTAAACTAAAACCATAAGATTTTTTGTGTCTTAGCTAGCAGTTCGATTACTAGTTAAGATGAAAGAATCGAATAAACAATTTAATTGTTTCTGCACTTGTTGCTGATATTTGAGTTTGTTTAATCAATCAAATAATTTCTCACAGGTGCTAAAGAAATTTGGATTCAAAAAGCCCGGTGTTGTTCAATTATATGGCTTCATCGGCGTCGAATACCAGATATTATATTATAAATTCTAAAATTTATTTATTTATATATAAATAATTGTTAATCCTAAAATCATGGATCATAATAGTAATTGTTTTCATGTTATAATAAATTAAAATATAATTTAAAATTGATTTATTGATAAGAATAGTTAAATTTTTGAGATCCTAATAATTTTTTTTGAAAATAATATATTATTTACATCAATATTACTTGATTTTCAAGGTTCATATTTATAAAAATAAAACATATTTAAAATAACACCAAAATAAATAAGGATTCTTAAAGTGTTAAATAAATTAGAAAATTAATTTCATTCATTATAATTTATGCATTGAAAATAAAGATATCATACGAAATTTTAAGATGATGAGATTGGCTCCAAATTATATACGATAGTTAAATAGTAAATATATATTTCATAACTGATAAGATTCAGAATAACTTTTAGTTTTAAAAATTAAAAAGGAATTAACATTATTGATTACAATAATAAAGTTTGTTTTGAACATAATATAAATAGGTATATTGCTGAACTTTTTCAATTTATCAAATATATTTATTTTTAGAATATTTAAGAGCAATATTCGATTTATTATATTATCTTAATGTAAAAAAATATATGCTCTTTCATTTTTGTGAAACTATTTCAAGAAATTCTTAAATAAACAGAAAGATGAATCATTTTTCAATATAATAATTAATGATTTAAAATTCAACCACCACTCCTCCAAATGAAGACTCATTTCGTAAGCCAATCATACAAATTATGACTCAAATCAACCAATAATAAATGAGAGTACGCAATCCTTCTTAGGAAAGTCGTAAAGCATAAATTGACAGTCATTAAATTAAAATTACTAATTAAAAATCTCCTACTGTAACTCAGATCAGTGTATAGTTAGCTTCTGATAGGATATCTCCTAATAATCAAAAAGATTTACTTCTTATTAATGAAGAACCAAACAATAAAGAAGACTCATAAAGTATTATCAAGAAATCAAATGATTGCGAATTACTGTATCGAAAATCCAATTTAAATAAATCAAATACACTTCATTCATCATTAAAGTTATTGTACTTTTCAAGATCAAATTTGTTCAAATAATAAATGTTAACGAAATAACAATTTAAAATTATTCATGACTTATCTTCAGTCTATATCATTCCTATAAAACAATAAATTCTAAATCGAATAAAATAAGATTCTATTCTTAAATAAGTAATCTATAGTATCTATATATGCTTTTTAATCTTTTATTTGACTATTTTATTAATAGAATTGGGCTGTAATAAATTAACAATATGTAATTAATAGATTTTCCATTATTTATTAGTCATATTTTAATTAATTGATTGTGCTTATCATATTATAATCAATAAATTGTGTATAGGAAGTATGTTTGCAGATATAGTAACAATATTACCATTTTTTGCATTTTTAATGGATTTAGGTGATGCATAGAATATATTTTATATGCTGTATCTAATAAGAATCTAAAAAATTACTGATTATATTCAAAACTTAATTTTTTATTTAAATTAATCTGATTAGATTTTTATTATTGAGACAACAATTTAACTTCATTTTAGTACATTTATTGCTTAAACTATTATATATATGTTTGCTGAATAACAATAAGACTATATTAATTATATTCAAAGCATATTCACTGTATTATTTCAGAATCCCAAAATAATAAAACAATATTATTTTATTGTATATTTGATAAGAACACTTTTATTGATCTTTTACTTGTACAAAATTAGATAGATAATAAATTATCATACACTTTCATTGGATGAATAGATAAATTATGCTCCTAAAACTTTGAAATCTATAATCAATTATTAATAAGATAATAGATCTATAAAATTTGATATGAAAAGTTTACCAATACATTTACAATAATAAATGAAAAGAGAAAAATACTTTAAAATACTATAAAATATTCCTATCTTTTAAAAATCATTTTCTAATTCAACCTTATTGAATTTGTGTGAAATTATAGAGGAAGATATTTTATAACCAAATAAAGTGATTTAATAGAAACAATGTCTTCATATTCTTTTAGAAGGACAAATTGGAATTGTTTAAAAATGTTAATCCTCATAGAAAGAATTCAAATTGGCAAAAATTTATAATACATTTTAAATCTTCAATAACATAGCTTTTTTTAAGAATTAAATATAAGGAATAGAATTCAAAAGTATTGGATATTCAAAAATAGCTACTCTAGATTCATATCAATTTCAAAAATTAATAAGATAATGTCCTAGAGAATTCTAAAAATATAGAATGCTTATTGACACTCTTATGATTGAAAATCAATCTCATTTAATAAATATTTAATGTTTTAGTTGTCTTAAGGAACATGATATTACTGAATGTCCTATAGTAAATTATAAACCTAATAAAGCCTAAGTCATTAATAATTATATGTTAAATAAAGATTAAAATAGAATTATTGATTTTAGAAGAGTAAATATCTTTATTATTTAATTAGTAAACACATCCAAAGAAGAGAAAGATTCTTGCTTAAATTGATTTAAAAGAAGATTCTGAATCATTAAACTCTGAAGAATACGATAAAGTTGAATCATTTTAAAAGGTTTTACCATCTTCCAACTCATTATAAAGTTAGAACAATAATAATTTTATAAATTAATTAGAAATAAGTTCTGTTCCTTATGTTAATTATTCACATAGTGGTTAAACCTTATAATCAAAGAAAATTGATTCAGAATTCTTTATATAATCTTAAGGAGTGAGTAGCAGTATTAGTAGTAGAAAAATCTTTGTTAATGAAATCAAAGAAATCGCACAATCTAAATTTTAAAGACTTGATTAAACAGAAGATCAAGGATCTTAATTAAATAATCAAGCTTTACAAAGAGTATAAGACAGTGTCTTACAAACAAAGAAAAGATTTAATTAAAATGCATTAAAAAAGGATGAATTATAGTAATTTTAAAGATATCAAACTGATATCAAATCTGAATAAAAAAATAGAGATTAAAGAAAGAATCAAACAATGGTTAATAGTCGGATAGAAATTCAAGATAATTTTAATAGAAGAATATCAATAGAGAACAATTTTTTAGAATTTTTTGACAAAATCAATTCATATGAGGATTATTTTCCCCATTATAATGTTGATTAACAAATTAACAACTATTAAAAGATGTAATCTTTAAAAAAAGATTTTAATTGATAATAGCAATGATATCTTTTGTTTATATAATTCTATTGATTTTAAATATATTTAATTAGAATATTTATATATATTAAATTTAAAAGTTTCAATACAACATATTATATAATCATATAATTCTCTAATTACTCAAAATTCTTTTAAGATAAAAGACTTACCATCCTGTAATAGCAATTATACCAATAACTTCAATTAAACTGAAAATCAACAATTTATTATTTGCATTTTAAACCTCTCTCAATCCTCCTTCAAATTATTAAGCAGCCATTTTATCATAAAAATAATTATCCTTAATGATATTAATTTAATTTACCTTCATAGCTGTGGATAATCTTTCTATTCTAAATGTTAGAGGATCTAAATCAGTCAATTTAAGGAACTCTTAATGAGAATCATGAACATCAATTGCAAATGTTATTGTTAATGGTTCTTTAGTCTAAAATATAATATAAAATACTCTTTTATTTATGAATATGAATTTATATTCTCCTTTTTCAGGAACAGCAATTTAAAAAATACCCTCTTAAACTCTTTCCTTTGAATATAATAATGTATTATTGGCAGTCTTAATGTAAAAATCTATCTTTTAATCCTATCTAAATTAAGGTATAAAATATGCTCCTCTTATAGTAGTTGGCTTCTTTATTGTTTCACATAAAATCTAAAATTAGTTATTTATTTGAAATACTTCTGTTGCTCCAGATTATAATTCAAAAGTAAGCAAATCTTCAGGATCAAAATCAGTCATTAATTAATCCCATTACAACATTAAAGGATCAGCCTCAACCTTTTATATTATATCTTCAATAGGATCATCTGCAGTTGTAGTTTATTATTATTTATTATCATTTTCTTATTCTGATTGATCTTCAATTACTTAACCATCGCTATCCCTATCTTTATCTCCAAATCTAAGCTAGTGTATAAGTCAATTCATTATTTACCCCAAATAATGGTCTTAATGCTTCAAGTAATTCAATTATATTTTCTTCTGCATCTTCTATCATATCTGCCAAATCTTCATTATCTATTGATTCTTTCTCTTCTTTTTTTTTACTTATTTTGTTTTCCTCATTAGAATTTTCTTATGGATTAAGATTCTGAGTTGAATTTATTGCTTCTGATTCCAACTCTTCTAATTTTTTTATATTTTCCAAAGCTTCATCTTCATTAGTATTTGCATCAATATTATCAGATGCCAATACTAAACAACTTGCAAAGAGAAACAAAAATATTAATTTCATTGTTAAAATTATTGATTTATATTTATATTACAAATCTGATAAGTTTACTTTTTATATATCCATTCATCTAAACATAATTTAAGAGATTTTGAAGGCATTTTTGTTCTTATTTGTTTGATTAAACTTGTATTTTATTAATTATTTATTATATTTTTCTATTTCTTTTTTCATTACATTAAATCTCTCTAAGTATTAGAAACTATATTTGATGTAATATTTTTATTTGCAAAAAACTTTCTATCTGTTATCTTCTATAATAGATAACCTGGAATGTTGTCAAATATTGCATAATTGTATATTGACTATATGTAAACTCCATATCAATATCTTGTTTATTCTAAATTGTAATAACCTTAACCTAATTATCGATTTTAATGAGATTTATTGAAAATTCTAAGAGCAAGTAAGATGACAACATTTTTCTGCTCTATCTGTAACAATTTCAATATTTTATTCAATTTAAGATAAATTAATTATTTTATTCATTTATATCCTTAAACTTCTACAAAAAGTGAAAAATTTCCAGAAGGAAAACTGCCACTTCTACTTACTTCAATTATTTTTGTCTCATCAAGTCTTATAGTGCAAGTTTCAGTATATATAGTCTAAGCATTTTGCCATGGTTTAAGAGATATTTTATGAAAATCTACTTTTGTAACAAAACTCCAAGTAATCTTTTCCTCATTACAACATCCCCCAGATTTTAGGCATAGATAAAACTTAGCTTTTCGAGTTTACGGAGGTAAATCAGCTAAAGACATTTATGTTGTATCCGCTGTAATATAGAAAATAATTGGATTTTTTAGCAAGGTCCATTGATTTTGATTTTACATTATTAAGAAGTTAATAATATATAATTCTATAATTTATTTTAAATTAAGTCATTAATATGATAGAATTATTAAAAATATGGAGTAATTAAGTTTAATTTATTTATTTTAGATACATCTTTTACAATTTACAAATCTTAAACATTTTATTAATTTATAATATTAAATCATTAAGATTTATTTTCATTAATTACATTCAAAATCATATAATCAATTTTACTATATATCTAATTTATATATAAATTATCATTCTTAATGATAAACAAGCTCTTATATTTAATCTTGTATTTAGTTTCAACTAGAAAATGATGAAAAAATTTTAAGCATCCTAAAACAAATTTTGATTATCATATAAAATTCTGAAAGTCGTTTTAAAATAAGATGTAATCTATGAGACAATAATTTACTATTTGTTAATTCTTAGTTATACAAAAAAATGAATAAAAATGAATAAAAATGAATGGCACTTTAGGTTTTGATAAAAATTAATTATAATATTAAAAGGTATGGGATTTTTGATTATTATATATTTATGAATTATGAAAAGGATTGAGTAGAGGATATGAATTTTGAAGTAGGAAGTGTAAAAGTAGAAATAGAAAGAATGATTGTTTATGATAATATATATGCATCAGTTATTAATTTAAATAATATGCAAGCATAAGCAAATGTTTATTAGTTTGAAGCTGAGCCATAAGTATCTCACCCAAAATACCGAGATTAAGATATATATGAGGACCTCACTGACCTTCCTGATGATGAATCAAAAATAAAACCAGATTATTATATTGATCGACCTGTATGTGTAACTTAATAGTCAAGCCAACTCCGGAATATAAGCCTTTACCTAAGGGAATAGATGTGGAAACACAGATTGAATCTTATGAACCTGATTTGTTTGATTACATTTTAGAAGTGGAGCCAGTCTTATAAGTTTTAGTGGGCAAATCAGTAGAATAAGCAAGAATGGAATTGATTGAAGAATTAGAAAGGGAAGAGTTGCGAATATAGAAGGCAGCCTTTGAAAAAAAACGAAATGCTGAATTAATGGTAACTTAGAGAATGGAAGCAGCATATGTTAGAAGAAAAGAAGAAAGAGTATATAATTATAATGATAATTAACTTAGGAAAGAAGAGTTTTGTAACACAAATTATATTAGGATTAGATGAAACTGTCATAATAAAAATTCATAGCAAGAACTCTATCTAAAAATGTAGTGAAGGGAGTGAATTATAGAATTCTTAAGGATCTTGAAAATTTAGGATTATTGAAAAATGATTATTTATTAGAATTAAAAGTTCACTCGTTGCCATGGTTAATTTAGAGAATAAAATAAAATTGTGAAAGCAATTAAAATTGTCTTGATAATTTTAATAATCTCTTGAATGAAGTCTAAACACCAATAACATAATAACATTAAAGTTTTTATTAGTAAGAATAATAAAGAAGAAAAGCCATATTAGATGAGAGAGAAAGAATTAGAATTGAAATAGAAGAGCGTAAAAAGAGAAAAGCAGAAATTAAAAGAAGAAGAGCATTAAAAGAAAAAAGAGAGATATAAAGAGGGGCATTTTATAATCTAACACTTTCTAAAGCAGAATCCCTTAATTAAATATTTTAAGCTAATATATAGGAAGGTACAACAGAGATTGGATAAAAGGGAGTGGTTTTACATTTGGATCTATTTCTTTTATTAGCAGAAGGATTAGATTTAATTACTGGAGATTAATTGGATTAAATAGATGAATCAATTATTTAAACTATATGGATGGATATCTTAATGAATAAGTGTAATACATTTAATATTACAATAAATTCTTCCCTTTAACAAATTATTTAAGAAGCATTTGCTAAAATGGAAGAAGATTTATATATATTTGAGAAAAATTCAAAATAAGCAACAATTGATCAACTTAAAAATTAAACACCATTTTGGGCATCTTATGTTTCATAATAATATGTACCTAATATTAGAAAGATCATATTAAATAAATTATTAGATGGTTTTTTTGATATATATTTTAAATCTGTAAATTATAAAGAACCTAAAGCAAAAACAGAAGTTAAAATTAAAACAGAAGAAGCTGATTAATAATAATAATAAAATGATTAACCACCTCCTTAATAAACTGAAGATTAATAATAATAATAATAACCAGATTAAATTGAATAATAACCAATTGAGGATGAATATTAAAAACCTGAGATTACATAACATGATTTAGATATGGTTGAAGCAAAAAAGAAAATTAATCTCATTTTTAAATAACCACAAAATTAACTTGAGAATGTAACTGCAGTAGTCAATTTACTTGTACCTTGTTTTGTTGAAGAATAACCTGAGTAATAGTAAGGTTAAATCAATTAAGATTCATAATAATAGACAATAGAATAATAATAGACAATAGAATAATAATAATAAGAAATTAATGAACCTGTTAAACCGGTTGGAAAATGGGATTTTGATCCTAAGACAATTGATATTTATGATGGTGAATAACCATTGATTTAAGAAGGGGAAAGATAAGTTGTGGATTGCTTATTTTAATATGCATTCTAAGAATAGGTAATTGTGAATGATGAAAGGGCAGTTGAATTTTGTAGATTTTAAATTTATACTTATTTGAAGGAAAAGTAATTTATTCTATTTAATTCTAGATTGGAATCATTTTTAAATATTCCTGAATTTTAAAGTCTTTAATTTAAGAAGCTAAAATATTCCAATCTTAATGTCCCAATATATGATTTCGAATTATGAATGGCATTGGTTCCTTTATTATTAAAAATACAATAAGCTATCTTAAATTATTAATAGTGTTATAAATATTGTTGTTGTACATCATTATTCAATTTTTTTATTTACTTTAAATACCTTATAGATTAAAAGATTGTTTTAATAAATCAATATATGAGATATTAATTCAATTAATAATTTTCATCTATTTCTTTGATTTTTATAGAGAGAAACTATAAGATTTATATTAAAATAAATGATATTAAATTGAATAAAATTCTAAATATAAATAAAGATATAGTCATTGATGAATATAAATTATTGATAAAATTGATAATAATCTTATAAAAAAAATAAACTACTTATATATTTAAGTATGTAATAATTCAAATATAAGATAATAATAATCTACAACAAAAATAGGTTATGTATTAATAATTGTTTCTATTAACTTAATTCAAAGAACAATTTAAAAATTAAATGTAAATATTTGCATGGATTATTGGAGCATTCATAATATTGATAGCTATTTTAGTTGGCTATAGACTAATATATTTAATAAAAAGAGGAGATATATAAAAATAAGAATATTAATAAAATAAAATAACTCATTGGTATTACTAAAATTTCTAATCGCATACAACTTCAATAGATGAACGCATTTTAAAATCATAATCTAATGATAAATTAGAACAACAATTTAATTCTTAATACCCATCAAATAATTTCTAATAGAACAATTCAGTCAATTCTGAATATTATAACATACCTGAGGAAGATCATAAAAATTAAAGCAATAATATTCCATAACAAAAATATCACTGTAATACTCAAAAAAGTTATCGAACATTTAGAGAAGCTGACAGAAATGATAAAAAAGAAATAGATTATTTGAGTTCTAGGGTTTAAAGTAGGACTAAAAGTTAAAAATTTTAAAAGATTTCTAATCATAATAAGGTATAAAACAGCTAGATATTTATAAACTAAAATAATTATGTTCAATGTTAAAAGGAGATGGAGCCTTTAATTTCAAATAGAAGTCAAAATCAAAAACTTATAAGCAATAATAGTTAAAATAATTCTAATGAAAATAAGAATGATCACACTATTATTAATATTTTTTAAGATAAAAACTAAGATAATGATAGTTAATAATATGAAAATTAATAGGATAAAGATGAAAAAAAGAATGAACATTCCATTATCCATATTTTTCTAGAAAACTATTAAGATGATGATAATTAATAATATGAAGATTAGTAAGATAAAAATGATAAATTTGCTAACTCAAATTAAAGAGAAAGTTATAAATCTAAGATTGAATATAAAACAAGCAATTTATAAGATCTAGAATAAAAATTTGATAAAAATAATTAAGATTTATTGAATGAATAACCATCAATTAATTAGAATAATGAATTGGCTATATCATTCAATTAATTTATTTAAAATTAAAATTAAAATTTGCTAATATCGAATGAAATTGAAACAATAGAAAAGAATAATGAAGAAATAGATAATTAAAGTAAATTATAGTCATAATTATTTGATTTGCCATCTGCTGATAATAGGGATTAGTAGATTTATAAATACATAAGAGTAAATAAGAATAAAATTATGTATGTTAATGATAAAGATAATTATTATACTGGTGTTGCATTCTTTTATTAAGTATAATATGATAAGGATAATAATCCAAAGTTTGAAATTTATGAAGGATCATTTAATAAAGGAAAGAAATCAGGAAAAGGAATATTATATGGAGGAAAATCTAAGTTTATTAATTATGAAGGAGAATGGAAAGATGACTAATAAAAAAAAGATTAAAAAGAATAATAAAATGAAGTTAAAATAGACATATAATAAACAGAAGTTCCAAAGAAAAAAAAAATATTAATTTATGAAGATGGTGAATTAGTTTAAAATGATAAAAATTAAAACTAAAATTAAAATTTAACAACTTTTGTTTAATAACCTTTATGGATTAAGTATAATTAATAGTATTCTATTAAAGATATGGATATTTTAAAAAGTGAGACAAGTTGGTTTACAAGCTCAATAATAGATGGATTAGTATAATACTTAAATATTTAGTAAGAAAATTATTTAAAAAACTTTTTTAAGAAAAATACAAAAAGATATTTGTTTTGTCCTAGTTATCTTTACACTAATATGTCAAAAGATAGGATAGAAAATAATTTAATTACATACTAAAATTATATATTAGAATATCAACCAATAAATTTCAATCTGAAACCTTTATTTTCAAGAATTTATTTTGCTATTAATAAAAACAATACCCACTTCTTCTTAATATATGTAGATTTACCCTCAAAATCTTTAAATATTGTAGATTCTATAAGCAAGGTAGAAAGTTTTTATTAAACTGAAATTGAAATCTTTTAAAATCTATTTTAATAATAAATCACTTCTATAGAATTAATATCATGTATCTAATAAAGAAATGGTTATGATTGTGGACCATATACTTGTCTTAATATGTATAAAGATTTTTATGATTTGATTCAAAATGTTTGTCCTTAAAAATAAGAAATATAAATTAATAATCCATAATAAATGAGAAAATTTTTATTTGATATTTTACAAAATCAAGATAATAAATGAGTTTATGAAAAATAAGATTTTAGAAATTTGAGAATATTATTTTTAATTATTTATTAAATAATAGTGTTTTACATTCACACTATAATGAAATTATTGAGAATTTACATTTATACTATATATGTAAAAAGAACTTTATTATTAAATAAATGATTTCATTGTTTATACAATATCAAAATGCATTTAATTATATATCAGATATCATTTAATAGATTTTTATTATTCTTTAATTTAATATTTCTTTTGAATTAAAATTGTATTCTTTTTTAAGTATTTCTTAACAAAATAATTGATATTTATGATATTTAATAAATTAGTTTAGAATATATTGATAAGTTAATGTAGTTTATTGATGGTTATTATGTCTTAGAAAAAGAGTGTAAGTTTTGGTGATTCTTAATAACGTATTATAATATTAATAATATATAATTTTGAATAATGGATGAAACAATCTTATCAAAATAAAATAACTTCCCTGGTTCTTATATTAAGTAAGATTTAAAGGAAGCTGATGAAGAACATAGAAATCATAAAGAATTAAAAGATAAGAAATATGGCTTTTATTTTTTATTGTTTTAAGGATTAGTTTATTTGATTACAATAATCAGTTTTGGATTTGGGAATCCAGATTAATTAGGGAAACCCTATGATTCAGATTGTATTCTAATACACTTTATAAGTTAATAGAGAATGTGTGTGGAGTTGATGTAGGGTTAGAATAATATAAATTTATATACTTTACAAATCCAACAGATTAGAAGCATTTAGACAGAACAGTATGTGTTAAGGAATGTCCAATTTTGACAGTAGATAATGATGATGATGGTTCTATATTTATTTATACTTTAGAATCATTGCAATTGTAATGTTATCCAAATAAGGCTATAAATTCATGCAGAAATAGACCATCTATTGATGATCCAAATTATTCAATGATTTATTATGATTCAGTACCATTTATAGATGTTTGCCTTCCAAAGAAATCTACTTATTTCAATAATATTCAAGATGGATTAAAATAATCAGGTATTATAAGCTTTTTATCTGATATGAGTAATGGAAGAGTAATTATACTTGCTAGTTTAGCATTATGTTTATTACTAAAGTAAAACATTAAATAATTAATAAATCTAGTTAATTATTCTATTTTTTGATGATCAAAGTATAAAAGACAGCCATTTGGGTGATTTCAATAATATCAATATTTGGTTTATTTTTATCTGGGTTATTGGGTTTGTTTTATTATTTAAAACAATCTTAATATTCTGAGCCATTGATAACTACAACTAAACTAACAAAAGACTAAGCTATAGGTATGATTTAAGTATAGGAATCCAATATAACTATTATTCTAATTTCAAGTGTATTTTTTCTTTTATTTGGTGTTTATTTCTTAATAGATTTAATATTAAATCGTAAAAAATATAAGACTATGGGAATAAAGATATAAATAGTCAATTATTTTTTTGATTTTTCATCATCAGGAATTCAATAATAAGATGGATAACCATCAAGATTCAGAGAAATTTTAATATTATTAATGGGCAGTGCAGGTTGTTTATTGATTTTCTGTGCATTATGGGTATGGATGGCAACGTAATATAAATTCATAATATTTTAATAGTAATTTATTTTCAATAGGAAAAGCAGTATAAGGATATTATGCTTTTAATACTTATTAGTTGAATTGGACAACTTACATTATGGGATTTATTCATATTTTTGAATTGGTTGTAGTTACTTTAGCAATTATAGGAAGTGAATAAATGTTATTGATTGGAAAAGTTGTTGAAGTTTATAAACATATGGGAATATAGAGATAGAAAATAGATAGTCATGATCCAGAATTATCATTAATGGATATATTAGAAATTTATGCTTTAAATAACTTTGGATCAGTTGTTTTTGGAGAATTAATCATATTTTTATTGATGATTCCAAGATTATTTATAAAGTTTTATGTATGGATAAGATAAAAAAAGGATTCTCATTATTAAATACCATCTAGATTATAATAAATATTGTGCATAAATGATAGAGCATATTTATTGGCTTATTTAAGAAATGATGAATTCTTATTGAGTGCTAAATCTCAATATGTTTTTGATTAAAAATTAAAAGAAACAACAAATGTTTAATATCATGGTGAATAATTAACAGTCACTTATTGTTTTGCTGTAGCTAATTTATGTGTATCATTAACTTACATATTAATTATTACTACAAGTTCAAAGATAGGAATTCATTAACCAGTATATTTTCTTTTGGTTTCATTCATCTTTTCTTATTTCGTAATTATAGATTCAAATTTGCTTAGATATCTGTGATGTTTTCAACAGTCTATGGAGCGACAATTGATAATTTGACTATATTATTATACAGAGACACTACAGCTGATGGTTAAATAGTAGGAACATGTGTAAGAAATGTAGTAAGATTAATGAAAGAATAAGAATTGGATGGCTAGACTCATTAATAATAATAAAATAATAGATAAGATTGAATAACTATTGCAATACAGTATCTAAAATACAACATATATTAATAAACAATCAATTATCTTCCTCCTCTTATAATCCACCTTCTTCTATATCCTCTTTATCTTCTTATTCCATCTTTTATATTTCTTCTCTTTCCTTCATACATAGATCATCTGTATTTTTTGAAGTGCACTATTAAATTAATAATATAATATACATCTTCAACTTTAGGTCTTTATTCTGGAGCCACTCTATTACTAAAGTGATTAACAATCTATTAACTTTCTTGCATATCCCAAACAAATAATTCACCTTAACTTGATCCACATCCATAAGTCCATGGAGAATCTTAATAGAATTAACCACAATAAAGTGATTCCTAAATTTATTATTTAATTTCTTACTAATTTTGGATTATATGAACTTATCAATTATAATTAACCATTCTTTATAGGAGCATCTGTATCAAAAACTCTAATCTTTCCATCTAAACAAGTAGTAGCCAATAAACCTGGAACTCCTGAACTCATATGTACACTACTAAGTGCCTTTTTATTTACATTAAAATTAGCTAATGGTTATTCACCTATTTTTCTAGCATCTAATAATATTAAATTTCCATCTTCAGTAGAATAAGCTATTTAATATCCTTTAATTGGATCCCAACAAGCACTTTCCAAAGATCCTAACATTTTATGTTAATGAATTGAATCTGGTGATCTGGCATCAAATAAACAAAGTTTTCCATCTTCACCTCCTGATAATATTACACTTTCCTCTTTTGTATTGAATTTAGAGATTTAAACTTTATCTTTATGATGATTGTAAGTAAACACACATTTCTAAAGCATCAAATCCCATATTTTAACTGTATGATCTGCTGATCCTGATAATAAAATGTTTGGCTTAAATGAATTCAAAGACAAACTCAAAACTGAATCAGTATGACTGTCAGGTTTATAAGATTTCTTACTCTATTTCTTTAAGTTTTTAACTTTCTTATAATTCTATTCAATCTCTCCTCCTAAAACTAAAGATGGTTCCAATACATTAACTACATCTAAATTCCAAATTTCTATTTCAGGTAAAAATGATGAGACTATTGCATAATTACCCTTGATTGCAGATGTACTCTCAATTTAACCTGGTTATATAGGTAACCATTCTACTGCTAAAGGGAATGCTGATAATTATATCTCATGATGCACAAATAAATTGGCCTTTTCTTCTTCATAGATATACACTTCTAATGATGAAAACTCATTTTCCTAAAATTTAGCATTTATTTATTTTATACGATCTTGGCAGCTATAATCAAAGCATCCGATGATTTGATTTGATAATCTTCTTTTTCTTCATCACTCAAATCCTCTATTGCTACTGGATATCCATCATCTGGCAATTACTACTTTCCATGCATTTCTAAATCTTAACAAAATACTGGAAGATTGTCTTCACTTGAATCTTCATCTTACTCTTGTATTTTACCCAAATCTTATGTCAAACTAAACCTTATTTAAATCTTTTACTTTTTATTTATTAGTTTATCTTACTTCATCTAATTGATCTCCTCTTCATCTAAATCAAATTCTTTAGGCTACTTTATTGCATACCCTCTTGAAACCCATGCTATAGCTGATATTAGATTTTATGCCATAAATTATAATTTTTTATTATTTTATAAATTCAAATGTCATTACTCATTCTCATTAATCCCTTTTTTATTTAATAATGTTCATAGCTGCTCTTGCAACAAGGCATTGAAGAATCCAAAAGCATAGCCTTCTCTATATCATGCAACGCTTATATATATTTACCGTTCTTCAAATATAAATTAGATCTCTTTTTAAAAGCATCTGAATCAGCTTCATTCTTTTCAATATATTTTGTTAATTAAACTTCTGCTTAACCAAATTAGTTTTATGATATCAAATTATCCATCTCTTTCATAAATAAATCTCTATCTTAAACATTCCCTCCGTCTTACATATATTATATAACTATTATTTTAATTATTCTAACAATCTTGATTGATTTCAATCTTAAATCATAAATTCTTATATCTAAATAATTAACATTAAACTATAATCAAGTGATATAATTCCCAAACAAAAATATTATTATTATTATATGTACTCCATACATTTATAATAACATTTACAATAAATACTTTATATAAATAAAATATGATTAATAAATTTTTATAATATAGATTTATGTAGCAACTCACCAAAATATCATATTTGAATTAGATACAATCATAATAATTTGATATTGAATTGATGTCTGAAGATGTGGGATTTACTTTGGATTAATTAATGGAATTGGCTGGATAAAGTATTGCAAATACAATTATTTAATTAAATAAGGAAGGAAAATCTTATAATAAAATTTTAGTTTTATGTGGACCAGGAAATAATGGAGGAGATGGTATTGTTTCAGCTAGACATTTAAAATAGTTTGGACTTTAACCTGAAATAGCCTTATTTAGAGAAGTTAAAAATCCATTTTTTAATAGATTGCTCAATCAATGTAAATACAATTTGGTTCCAATTCATTATGAAATGTAAGATTTCGAAAAATATGATTTATTAATCGATGCTATTCTTGGATTTTCTTTTAAACCTCCACTCAGAGAACCATATGATAAACCTATTTATTAATTAAAGACAACAAAGACTCCTATATTATCAGTAGATATTCCATCTGGTTGGGATGTTGAGTAAGGAAATACTCAAGATTTATTTACTCCAGAATATTTAATTTCATTAACTCTTCCAAAATTAGGAGTAAAGAGTTTTAAGGGAAGACATTTTATAGGAGGAAGATTTATTCCATTAAAACTTTAAGAAAAATATAATTTTATTGTACCATAATATTAAGGAAGTGACACTATTTTAGAATTATCAAATTTATGATAGTGATATATATTAAAAAGCTCATAATTTTAAATCTAAAATATTGGACTTTAATTTTTAATCCTCTTAAAAATAGGCAGTTTCACAATACATTGATAAATTACTATTTTCTTTATCTTATTGAGATTTTCTAGTGTTATAAACATATGTAGACAAAGTATTAGATGTAGCTTTCAATTTAGGTTCTGATTTTACAGACTAAACAGATTAGTACTTATTAGTTTATTTGCTTTAAATATTATTTTAAGATCTCATATTGATATTAGGTTTAAATGTTAGTTCTTTATCTACTTCTTATTTAATATGATATATATGTCTTTTCTTTTTATCTACATGATTTTTCATTCTTTCATAAAGTGATTCATTATTTTAAATTGATGATTAATCTTTAGTTTTATTATTATTTTATTTTTGTTAGCTATCATCAAAAAGATTTTTCTTAGATTTAGTTGATAACATATATAATCTATCAAAAGCAGGTTATTAATTTGGTGAAAAATTAAAATTTGTATTAATTTTTGGTTTGAAAGTACATTATTCTAACTATTTTGTTTCTTTATCTAAACGTTAAAATGCTTAAACTTATTATTTTTCAGCAGATTCATTATGTAATCTCTTAAAGACTATTTATTAATATTTAATAATAAATACTATCATCTCCACTTCTATTTAATTATCTATGAGAAATCTAAGGTTTAAATGTACATTCTTATAATTCTTTTTATTCTCTAACAGGTACATAACTTTGTTTTAAATTACTTCTTGAAATAGATTCTTAAAATAATCTATCAAAAATAGGTTGTTGTTATCTTAAATTAAGATAATAATTTACTTATTTTCAAGAGTTTAAAAATTAGATATGGATTCTTGTTTATTAATTGATGGTGTAAATGTGCATTAACTAATTTCTTATTTTTATTTTATTTCAGAAAAATCATTTTTACTAATTAGTTAAGTTTTATAGAGTCGATCGAAAACTTCAATTTCATTTTATCTAAGTGTGTCAACATTAACTTATGGTTTAAATGTGCATTCCTTTAATTCTAATTGTTATTTTTCCTATTCATATTATCCTCTATGTCAGTTATTATAAAAATACTTTTTCACTTTTTAAATTATTCCATCCATATATAGTCTCTCACAAGTATCATTAAAACCCATTTAACTTAATGCCTTTTTATTAATAGGTGATTAATAGGATTATTATTCACTAATAGTAGATTTTTAAGAATTTCGAATTTTATTTGGACTGAATTACATTTTTGTACTTTTTTAATAAGATTGTAACATTTTGAATGGTTTTCGAACTGCTATTTTAGATAGGATTTTAATTAGATTTCCTGGATTCTTCTTTTTAGTTTATTGTAATTTCCAACTATCATATAATCTTAATGCCATATCAAAGGAATCTGAAGCTGATAGATTCTTCAAATAATCAGAGAGGGAAAATAAAATGTTATTTGAAGATATTGAATATTTGTTAACAATGATCCCTATGTCAACTAGATAATCAATAAATAATGGCATTTAATTAAAATTATTATAATCATTATTTGAGCATATTCATAAACATTTAACGTCTTAACTCTAAAAATAATCTTCTATCTTTTTTGCCTTTAAGTAATCTTGCAATCACTTTACAAGCTAAGAATTTTTCAATTTCATAATCATATTATTATTATTACTTTTTTCTATTATCTTTGAGTTTTTCAATAATTTATTAAGCATAATGTTCTTTTTTATCTAAATCCTAATGATATTAAAATTCCTATTACATCAATGATGTGTAATTATTAATCAATTTATTCTTATAATTGTTGTTAAGTTAAACGAGCTAAAGCTAAGTCTTCTTTTCTTTTTGTATTAACTTCAATCATAACTTTTTCTTTTTCTTTTGAATCTTACAATAATTTAAATAGATTGGCAGATTCACTATCATTTTAAATTAAATTTTTTTCAAGTTCTTCTCTCATACCTTCTAATTCTTATTTTCTTTCTTTAGCATTTTTTGGTCTATACATAAATTTCTTTTTATTTTTAGAATTTTAAGTTAAAGTACTTTTGGAATCTGTATTAGCTTTATTTTATTATCTTTTGATTAAAATATCAATTTATTTTTATTAATTTTTATCTTCTTCAATAATTCCTACAACTTTATCTTCATCATATACTTCAAATCCATCTTTACCATAATCATCATCTTCTTATTGAATAGGTTATTTTATGATTTAATCCTCATCTTCAAAATCATTATCATAATCATCTTCTTAATCTTTTTTATTATTTACTATTTCTTAATAAACATTATTATTTAATCTTAACTATTCTAATTTATTTTATTTTTATTGAATTTCAAACTATTATTTTTTTAACAAATCTTCTTTAGATGATGTTGTATTCTAAACTTTAACTTTTTATAGAAACTATTCTCTATTAGATTTTTCAACTGTTGAGAGTCTTTTATTTTTTTCCTATAACTAGACAGCTTCTTTAATATAAAATTACCCATCAATATCTTCTTCCCATTCAAAAAGACTATAAATTTCTTTTTTTACAGGTTAATCTTGTTGTTAGGGTTTATTATTATTCTGTTGTTATTATTGTTGTTGTTATTTTGGTGCTTATGTTTTACATACTTTAGAACTATTAGGTTATTTAGTGAGTTATACATCTGAACCAGGAATCAATTAATTAGAATGAATTACAGGAATAGTTTCAGATATATAGGTTTATGCAATCTTAATCATATTTGAAGTATTTTGTGGTGGTGCTTATTAATTTGATATAACTTATTGTTTTTATTTTAAGTATTTATGTTTTTTTTGGGGAATTGTCTTAACTTTCTTAGTTTAAGCACTCATTGGTCTTTATGGAAGGAATTTTGGAATTTGATTTTTTTACATCTCTTCAAACTTTCTAACATGATACATATGATCTCTCATTTAATCCATAAATTCTTTTGTGTAATTAGGTATCTATTCATTATCAAATTTGACTTCACTAAAATCTAAATTTAATATAGGTTTCATAATTTATTTTATATTTATATTTATCATATACTATAATTATTCAACAAAATATGATATATATCTTTGGATATATTTTAATATATCCATAATTCTAAAAATATTTTATATATTATTGTAAATTTAATTAGTTTTGTATATTACTTTTAATGATAATAAATGATAAGTAATTTTATTAACATATATTATTAAAATTTATTTGCAAATGAATTAACAATTAGATGACTCAAAAGAAAGTGTTTAATCATAATCAATGGAGAGATATCTACAAGCAGAATCTGTAGGTAATTCTCTCTCACCTTAGAGATTGGTATAAACATCAAGGAATCCTCAAGTTGGAGCATCTATATTAAAATTATAGAATGGAAAATATAGCAACTAATCAAATGTATTCAAAGATGCACTCAATAAAAAAAAGACTGAATTGCATAAGAAATCATAAAAACCAATTGTTGAAGCTCCTAAATATGAAATTACAATTAAGTAAAAATAACCTAAATGTATTTATAATTATTATTTTTAGAAATGGATAAAGTACATTAAAATATTAAAAATGTTTAAATAAAAGCAGAAGAAGTTAAAAAAAAGAGAGAAGAAGAAAAACAAAAAGAAGAAAAAATGAAATAGAGTAAAATTGAACATTCATAAGAGGATCTTAATGAAGGTAATTATAACACTTATAATTTTTAGTATTTTAAGAAACAGTAAACAGATTATATAATTATGAAAAATAAAGATTAAAATAATTGAATAAAATGGTTGAAGAAGAGAAAAATAAAGATAAATTAATTATGAGTGCAAGACCTATGATAAATGAAAAAAGTTGTAAATTATTAGAAAGAAAACTAAAATAACTTGTAAATGAAGAAGAAGATTATAAAATGATATATTAGTTTAAAGATGTAGATGTATAAGTTGATTTATTACCTAATTTACCAAAACTTAAAGATTATTTATCTATTAAGTATAATCAAATATTTATTAATAGTGCTAAGAAGACATAAAATATTGAATAGGAAATACAAATCATTAAAGAAGAGAATATTATGGAACCAGTAGATCCTGCAGAGGATGTTTAATATCAATAAGGTTAATGTCATGCAATTGTACAAACTAATGAAATTAAATTTAAAATTGGTGATACTATTAAAAAATAACAATAATAATAATAACAATAATAATAATAATAATAAACAACATAATTTATAACTCAGGATACTCCTAATAAAAAAGTATAAAATTAAAGACAAAAACGTTTGGATTTTATGGAAACTTAAGGACAAAGAGTTAAAACTGAATGTTAATATTATGTACCATTACATATTCGTTAATAAAACGTCATTAAAAAAAAAGAAGATTGGGTGAAATCTTAGAATGAATTAAAAAAATAACAGGAAGAGGAATCCATTAGAATAGAATAAGAATAATGGGAAAAGGAGAAATAGAAGTGGTCTAAAAAGAAGGATCACAATAAATCTATGTAATAGGAAATTAATGTTGAAGAATTTGCTAATTCTTAAATTCATTGGTTAGAAAAAAGAAATGAACACATTTTAACTGAATAAATGAAAAAGGATAAGGATATGCAATCTTCATTAACATTTAGACCATAAATCTAAAAAAGAAATATAGAAAATTATAATTCTATCAAAGTAGAAGATAGATTACTTGAGTATCAATAAAAAAAATAAGAAAATCTACATAAATTAGAGAATAAATATTTACCTACTTTTTAACCAAATCTAAAATAAAAAACTGTATCTATATTATTTAATTATTTTATAGATGTTTACTATGGATTGGGCATCAAAAAGCTTCAATAATACTTCTATGAATAAATTATGGTAATGATTGTATATATTTTTATTTCATTTAACTACAAACCATAAATTATTAATTAAATCATAATCTCAATGTATCATAATTATTAATAAAACTAATAAATAATATCATATATTACAGATTGAAGGGGGATATACTTAATTATTTTTATGGATTTAAATTTAAGATATTACTTAATAATATTATTATTTAAAATGAAGTCCATATTTATATCTATTTTATTGATCACTGTTATAGCTAAAGCATAAACAATATTTCAAGAATAGTCATTTAATCAATATAAATATTTTAGAGTTGAAAATATTGCATTTAATTTCAAATATACCCATTATACAAATGTAAATAAAGAAGTTGATACAAGAAATTATTAGAGAGTTAATTCTAAATCACCTGGAAATCAAGAATTGATTACATTATTCTATAAATTATTAACTATATAAGTCTGAATAAATAATATTCTTCATATTGTTACTACTATTACAAAGATGATTACATTTTTATTTGACTATAAAATATATCTAAAACTTATTTTCTATAAGTCACTTTAAGTATGCATTGCTTTTTAATTTAATTTTAATTTACTAATTGTAATAATATAACATTAATCAATAATAAAATAATCTATGGAATAGAATCTATTAGTTAAAGGTGTTTCTATTCTGTTTTTAACCATAAATTATAATTTGATATTTAGTTAAATTCAGAACACTATATTAAGATCATTTTACTAAAAATAAATAGATTATTTACAATTTCATAATAATCCAACACAAACATTTTAATTTTGACAACATTTTGTAATTATTTATATATATATTTATATTTTTTATAGTTCTTTGAAAATTTATATATATAATTCATTTAACTTTTTCAAGAATATCTAATTTCTCTTAAATTGGAGCCATAATTACTTTAATTTTGTTAAATACAGGTTTAAGCAATGTGCCAATAAGTAATGCTCCTTGAGTTTTTTCATGATATAACCAGACTGCATAGAAAGTCTTAAGTATTGAATATCCTGGAATCCTATTAATTTATATTTAATAAATACATGAACAATACTCCGAATGATATTTCCTCTAATAAATATATTGAACTCATCAAAATCCAATAGACAATCCAAATTTATAATTTCTCTTGTAATTTATAAGCTTAGTAAGTCTGTCTGAGTGGATAGATGATACCTGCTATTAATTAAAGAAGACAAGTATATATGCAGGCACTCATTATTTAAATATTAATAAATTAATATTAAATTCAATTATGAGTTATAATAGTTTAAATTACTAAAATGAAGTGTTTCCTAAAAGTATCATACATTTATAATGTAGAATATTTAGAATACATATATGATTATTTAGAATAATTAGTTTTAAGTGATAATAATTAGATTTAAATAAGAGTAACCAATTAATAGGATATGATATATACTAAACAATAATAGTAGTAGAAGTATCTGATTTAAAGTCTAAGTTTAAAGTGAAATTCTTTATTTTATTCTTATTTTTATAAGAGATTGTTTTAATTATTAAATTGATTAAGATATAAATTAATATATATAATGAAGAGAATAAGAAATTTAAGATTATAACAAAAGGTAGTATTTAATTTATAGATTTTATGAATGCAAGAATTAATGTTGGATAACTGCTGATTAGTAAATGTGAGAAAATTGATTTTATTAATAAATAATAAATATTAATATTAATGACAACTGATTTAGACAATGATCTCTATAAGGAAGATGCAGACTTCCAATATGATTAGTTAGTTCAATTCAGTCAAAGAGATAAACTACCATTTCCTAAATAAGAGGATTTCATAGGTATTCAATCAAAATGATTATTAGATTATGAAATTAGAGATATCTTACATGCACCAACAATAAAAATAGTGTAAGAAGGATTATTCACTAGTTGGAGAAGATATATAAGATTGAATAGACTAGCATTTTATAAACATTGTAATGAGAATGACTATAGTAGAAAGAGTAAATAATTGTAATAAATTTAGTTAAATTGATATTGAAAAATAAAGCATTGGAACCAGAAAGACCAAAAAGAGAAGGATTATTATAATAATGTTATAAAGGGTATTGTTTAATAGAAGATTTCATGAAGATTAATTTTAAACATATAGAGACGAGGGAATTTGTAGACTTTTTAAATGTTATGGGTGTTATTAGACCAAAAGTATAATTAATAAATTATCTATAAATTATTCGCAATACTTATATTAAATTACCTATTTTGATTGAAATGAGATAATTTTAGAGTATTTATACACATCAAAAATTTAATGAAGAGAATGCAGCTAATTTAATATAACTTGCATTTCGTAGATATAAAAATCATATGACTGAAGTACAAAAGTAAATACGAATTATGTCAAGTCTTAATGCTGAAGAATTGTTTATTATTATTAAAGATAAAATTAGTAATTCAGATAAATCACTTAAAGAAGTCTTTGAAATATTTGATTATAATAAGGATGGACATATTGAATTTAATGAATTTATTTAAGCATTCAGAGATTCTAATATCCCTATTGCAGAAGAAGTTTTATAAACTGTATTTAAATATTTCGATATAAATAATAATAATTCAATCTAATATATGGAATTCTTAAGTAAAATTTAAGTTAGAACTGTATCTAATGATTCTTTATTAAGTGTTTAATTTAAAGTAGAATAAACTGTTGAATAATTAAGATAAGTAATGAGAAGAGAATTTAAAGATTTATAAGAAATGATAAATTCACTTTAAGCATCAGATAGATTAAAAATTAAAAAAATTGAATTTTTAGATTTTGTAATGACTTATACTTTACGTTTTTCAAAAATATAACTTGATAATATGTTTCATTATTTGGATCATAATAATAAGAATTATTTAACAATTGAAGATTTTTCATAAATATTTACTCGTCAATCACTTCATGAAGTTAGAGAAGAGAAGAAAGAAAATAAATAATAAGAATAAAGAGCAATATAAAATATGTAATCTGAAATTGATAATGCTAAATTCTTATATCATTATATTTAAGCTGAAGATATGTAAGGATTTATATAAGAAAGAGATAATCAATTATTAGATTTATTGAAAACAAATACACAATAAGGTAATGCAGGAAAAAGAGTTAGTTTTAGTATGGCTGATATAGAAACAAGAGCAAATATATATAAGAATTCTCTATTAAAATTAGAAATACTCATCTAATAAATTTCAAATAAAGTTCTCTTGAAATTATAATAATCAGGATTAACAGTGAAATAATTCTTTAGTTAATTTACTTAAAAATTTCCTGAAAAATTCATTGAACCTAAAGAATTCTTATTAATGCTTAATGTTCTATTCAATTAAGTTATGGATGTCTCTCTTTCAAATGCATTATTTAGAATCATAAGTAATTAATATACAGCACGTGTTAGTTTAGCTAAATTTGAAGAATTAATTATGATTGGATAACAAATAAGTCCAATTTAATTAAGAATGAAATTCAATTATGGTTCATATGTTGCTAAATTAAAACCTAAATTATTAGAAGAATTTTAAAAGATTGCCACTATTAGTATAGATATGAAAACAGTTACATTAAAATAAACTTTATCTATTTTAAATTAATTTGGTTTAAAATTAGAAATGTTTGAAATCTAAAAATTAGCTGATTCATCAATTATTAGTCTTAAAGATAGAATGTATACAGTTGATTATGGAAGATTACTTTCATTAATGTTTCCTGATGTTTATTTGGGAGAATAATTAGTTCTTAAGAAATTTGGTATGGTAATCTTAAAATTATGGAGAAGAATGAAATAATCTTATTTTCTAAAGAAAGCATCTGGTAAATTCAATAAGAAATAGAATAAGAGATAACCTAAACCTTTAGGTACTAAAAGATCACTTAAAGAAAAAATGAGTGAAACATTACCTGCAGTATAAAAATAAAATGAATACACTAAAATAAAGAGTGGTGACTTATATTCATATGCTAAAACAATAATACTTGAATGTGTTGAAGGTGCTGTATATTTTGCAGAAACATAAATATTTACTTAATAAAAATAATAAACATTTTAAAAGAGACCTACAATAAAAGATTTATTTATTTTTCATCCTTTTTAATCTTTTGAATTACCAAATCTCTTAGGAACATTATCTTATGATTATTTAACTCAAAGATTATATATGCCTGATAAATAGAGTATACTTTATACATAAGATATTTGTGGTAATAGAATGTTATAAAATATTAATATTGGAACTAAACTTCCATTTAATAAATCTTTTATTGTAGATTGTCTAATTTTTAATTAAAAGATGTTTATTTTAAAGTCTAATTGGTAATTATAAATGTGGAGTATGTCATAAAAAAGTGATAGACATGAATTAGCAATTGATTTAAGAGAGGGTGCTCCAAATGCTTAATAAAATGCATAACATTTATGTCAATGTGAAGATTTATTATTAGTAATTTCAAGTCTAAGAACTCATATTCATATTATATCTTCTATATCATTACATATAATAAAAATTGTTAATTTTGTTTGTATATTGGATTTTCATTTTAAATATATGAATGAAATTATGAATAAGGTAGCTACAAAATTAATTTAAGAAACTAATAATAAATTTCCTATTAAATTAGAAATGACTTTGACAGAAATGGAATAATAAGAATAAAAAAGAAGAGAATCTCTTAATTTTATGGTATAATTTAAAGATTCAAGAGTATAAAAAGGTAAATTATTACATTTCTTTACTAATAATTAAAGTTCAGATAAAGAAATTGTTAAATAATATTTTGATTAAATTTGTGATGAAGAAGGTTATATAAGTTAATAATAATATGAAGAAATATTAAAAGATAAATAAAAAAATAAATATAATATATATGATGCATTAAATATAATAAAAATATCTAAAGTTAATTTAAGATAATTATTTAGTACTTATGATGATGGAAAGAATATTGTTACTTAAAAATAATTATTTGAGATGTTAGAATCATTCAATATGAAACCATAAGTAAGACATAATTTTGTATGTGCTTTTCCTAATGGTATTTCATTTCAAGAATTTAGTAAATTAATTGAAAGTCCTATTACATATGATGAATTATTATATAGATGTGAATCTAATCGTATTGATTTAGTTAAATTATTTTAATAATGTGATGTATATAATGTAGGGTTGTTAGATAGAAATGATTTCTATTTTGTATTATCATCATTACCTTTTGGTTTATTAGATACAGAAATTGATTAATTGTCATCATAATAAGTTTATGATTCAGAAAGTGGTAGAATTAAATATCGTGAAAAACCATAAGCTATGAAATAGAGAGTTAAATAAGTTTAATTTATAAATGATCTTAATGTTGTTATTGTATCAGTTTATTATCCAAAAAGAGGAACTATCTTTTGTTTAAATGATAAAAATATTTTAGCTTTATTAGAATATCATAAAGAAGCACCTATGTTATATTATGTAAATGAATCTGGATGTCTTTTAAGTGCTGAAGGTTTAGAATTATGTATTTGGACTATTTATAGAGATTTAACACTTAAATATGATGTAAATCCTCCTTGGACAATTAAACCATAAATCAATATAAAATTAAATGCATAAATATCTTAAATTGGATATTTACCATTTAATTAATTAATAATGGTTGCTACTACTGAAGGAATTAATTTTTATGATCCAGTTAGTTATTAATAATAATCATCTAAAGTATAAGTACGTGTTAAACCTGGATATTATAAGGAATTAGAAGAATTTACTTCAAATTAATAAGTTCCTCTTGTAAATTAATTAGAATTACAAAAAATAGTTTCACTTAATACAGGATTACTTTAAACTCCTTTTGAAAGTGAAGATGCTACACTTGGTAGTACTTTATTAAGTTTAGAATTTATGATAATAATGACAGAAATACCTATGGGTTAAAATTCAAAGAATTTACTTAATCCTGTTAAAATAGTTCTAGTTCATAGATAATCATTAGAAATACCATCAACACAATTAGATGTAAGTGTTCCTTAAAATATTCTTAATTAAATTTAAAGTGATTTAGAAAGAATTTTATAATAAGCATTAATGGGAAAGAGAGCAAGAGGAGTTATTGGTATAGAGAAAGAATTAAATAAAGAATAATTAAAAATTCATACAAAAAGATAATTAATAAAACTTAGTAAATAATTAACATTAAATAAATAACCATGTT